GCGAGGAGCATAACACTGGTTCCTTTCTCGTCGCGTCTTTTCTAGGCAGCACCCATTGCTCCTGCTCAGCTTGAGAACGAATGATGACGAGCGCCAAAGAGGACAGCTCAGGTGGGAATGTGACACTGTCCTGGTGAGAGAGGTCGCCAGAACGAGACGGAATGTGGCCCTTGCTGGGCCGCCGTAACAACATTTGGCGTCAACGAGAATGAGCGCACGCGTGTAGGCAGCGCACGCGCGTAGGGACCGAAGAGCGCTCTTACTCTCGTCGATGAGCGCCAGCGAGTGAGGTGCCAACAAAAGTAGCGATCGCGAATCCGAGACGATTAAGGACTCTCAAGGGCACTGTCATGCGCCTCCGCTTTCTCTGCTTGACTTGTCGATCGAGTTTTGCTTGTGAGCGGAAGAAGAGGGAAAGGCGCCTTACACAGCATGTATAGGCCGATTGAGCCGGGCGATTTGTGACTCATCATCGCGCCGCAGTGAAGAAAGTCGCTGCCTCAGAGTCCTAAACTGATTACGAGATCAAGGCCAAGACCGCCAGACTGCCAGTGTTATGAGAGCAGTGGCGTGCGGTCGATGTCCGATGAGCAGAATCGCACGAGGGGAGAGGAAGTGATACAACCTCAAATGCTGGTAAGCAGAAAGCGTGAGTGAGCTCAGTCGATGAAGGGACATCGTAAGCAGGGGTGTCTGCCTAACCTGAGAGTGCAGCGAGGCGACGTCGGGGCGCTCTCCTAACCAGATACGAGCACCTCGCTATGGTAGTAAGACCAGAAATGCAGGGCGGAAGGCAGCCCACCGATCGCCGGGAGTAGAGTCGCGTTGTTGATGGAGCATACCCATGTCTCATCTCAGTGGGTGTTGCATCGTGGAATAAATGGCAACCTATTGGCTGAGCCATTGCAAGAGTCCTTCTTGACTACCTCCTGCGGCATCACGCTGGCTTCGTACTGCTCGAACAAAGACACAGCGTCTTCTGCGCAAGTCCCGCCGCGAGGTGCATGCTTCATGGCTCCTCCTATAGACCATGGCGCTGAAGGGCAAGCAACGAGGTGCGTCTGACGACGTTCGAAGTGCGGTTTTTGAAAATTTGGATCTAGCTGATGCAATGAGAACCGCCGGACCTGGCCGCGAGAGTTGGTGCATGAGCGCGGAAGCCTGAGGGGTGCGCTGGCACAGCCGTTCAGGCCCTGTGAGCGCATCGCGATGGAAGTAGTCCGTCGGCTTTGATGATGCGCTAGCACAGCCGAAGAGGTGCTTGACTGCAAGCAAGGGGACAGCGATGACGATGAGCGCTGGAGAAATTGACTCGCGCGAACTAAATATCATAGGATACGACTTACAGCGTCCGTGCTGACGTTTGCTAGGGTCGACCGACTAGCGAGGGGTCGAATGTCGTGGATCGTCAGCTCCTGGTTCAGGTCCTCCGGTCGCTCCCTGAAGTTGATGCACCCAGCGTCACCCAGCCACGGGCGCTGCTCGCTCGTTTAGCCTCGGGCCCTCGTGGTGTTCCTGAAAGCATGGCCGAGATGAATTGTGTCGAGAGGGAACACTCGCATTGAGTGGTCGGGCTGCGACTGCGCACATAGAGGCCGACATGACGCTAGACGTTGATAGCTTGCGGCTGTATCGAGAACGATCGAGTCTAGTTCGCCCATCTTAGAGGGGCATAGGAGCGCGCCTAGATCGAGAGCCGTCGGACCGTTTCGAAGACTGCGCTAGAGTGCTGGCATGCATCGACTTGCCGATGCGTGAGGCATGCTGGGGTCATGCTTGAAGAGTAATCTGAACCGAGGTGTTCGGCTAGTGGTGGTGGACGACGACACAGCAGCTAGCTGAGAGGTTGTTGACAACATCGGCGCTGAACTGCGACCCATGCAGGAGATCTTCGCTGCAAGATCACAATCCAATGCTCTTGTCGCCCGCTGCTACCTATAGACGACTGCTGCTCGACTTGGGCCCAGCAGATGCCCATTCGCTGCGGGTCAAACGAGTGCAGACATCCAACACCGCATCCATGCTGGCCCCACCCGGCGCATGAACGTCGGTGAAAGGTCAGTCACCCACCACGTGCATCACGCCCCTGCTCATCGAGTCCTCTGCTACGAGCAGGTCGACTCACCTGTCGCTAGTCTTGCCGTGCAGGCGACTTCTCCCCATGCCTCATCCTCCCAATGCCTCATGACTGGCTGATCCGGTATGCCTGAACTGTCTCGCCGTCCACCCCCGCCCACCTTCTCGCCAGAACCTCTCCACCCCAAAGCATAGGTGCCGCGCGTGATATGCGAGCGGCTGCTCATCTAAGTCCAGCTCCCGCCGATAGCTGGGAGCAATCGGGCAGTATCAGCAATTGCAGGTGCAAATACGCTCTCCGCTCCAAGACTTGCCTGAGATATCCTGAGCCATGATGGCAGCCAAGCGATGTCAAAGATGAATGGGGAGCAACGTTAAGTGGGAGAGGGCACCTCATGCTCGCTTCCGGTCTCGGTCTATCTTGCAAGACCTCCAAGTGGCCCTCGATGAGTCAGGTCGATGTAGGGGCCATGTCATGCGCAAAGACGCTTGAGATGGCTGCAAACGTGCGAGCGCGGCCTCGCCGAGAGTGCGCTGCCCGACAGCATGCTCGATGAGGTGAAATGATGACCGCACTAAGCCAGCAGTCTGACAAACGATGCGAGTTGTAGAAGCGTCAGGAACTGGTTCTGCGCCCCTTACTGGTGCCGAACCCTCACTCGATCTGTGAGACTAGGTAGGAGTCGCATCATGATTGGTTGAGATATCTCCGCAGTGGGGCAGTTGTGCAGCAGCGCGAAAAAGGTTGGGGAGTCTGTACAGCATTTGCAGGACATTCGGAGATCGAGCGGAGAAGATATGCTCTGGCAGAATGGTGTACAGTGTGGTGGAACGTTGTGTTGATGAATGCGCGGTTGCAAAGTCTGGGAGATGGGGAGATGGTGTACGATGTGAGCAGAGGCAGGCTAAGAACGGCCCGGAGTTTATCCATCCCCGTGCAGGTAGGCACAGTCGTGTACCCATGACTTGTAGGGCGCGCCCCCGCGCGCAAGCCTCGCGCTGGTCGCGTCACGCGTCGAGCCGTCCGTGCACATGCATGCGGCCGAGATATCCGAATTTCGCTCGCGAAAAGAGATCACGTGACGGGATGCTGATCGTCTGATGCGCACAGCCTCATCGAGAGCCACAGGTCGTCAAGTCGCTACTGCAATCATTCAATTGAATGGCCGGGGCTTGATGCTCACGTACCTAAATGATCATACAGCAGTCGAGTCTTAGTCGGAAGGCTAAAGAGCAAGAAAGTCCATGACAGCTCGAGCGTGAACTTGCATTTGTGCGCGAAAATCCGTGCCAATCCGGCGATTCAGCTAGCGCCGCAGACTGAGGCCGAGGGACGCCGATCAGCTGTCCAAAACTCCTCCGATGGCACAGCTGCATCCACTTCTTGTGCTGGGCACACCGTTCTTTGACCAACCATTTGGGATCGAAAAATCTTGAAATAAGAAGACGCCTCTGAATCTTGAATCAATTAGCAAAGAGAACGATGTCTGTCTCGCCTACGACACTCACGAAGCGCCATTCACGTGATTCGTGATGCTTTGATTCTTGATTTTTGATTCACGATCGTGGGGCAAGGATCCAACGGGGGTGCCCATCAGGTCACGTGTTGCTCGGCCTGTGCCCCGGCCCAGCTAGCTCTCTGGTCGCGCTACACGGGGTCGGCCGATGTCGACCGAAGCATGCACGCCTCTTCCCCGCCCGCGCGCCCGCTGCTGACGCGTTTGCCCGCGGCTTGGCGTCCGATCTGTGGCTTGGAACAAGGAGATGCGTGAGGCTGTGCTGCCCGGTTCGGGTACGTGTGCGGTAAGCATCCTCAAAGGGCGCGTGCGCGGACACTTCCTTCCCTTCGTGACTCACTGATCCATCCACTCACACTGTGTTGTCATGCTTGTCAAGCTACACCCGAGGCATTCGCGAGCCACTTCAAAATTCATTCTAGTGTCGAGCAGGTGGCAGTCATAGGGGACGCGATCTTGGCGAGCGGTACGATCACGAGGCTACTCGCTCCTTGGCACTCAAATGGCTGCCCTCGTGCTTGACGCATCAGAGCCATGTTTGAAGCTGGCCAGGCAAATCCTCATCCGCTCTTAGTACTTGGGGCGTTCAGAGCCGGAAAGAAAGCGATGCACGGGCGGAGTCTCTCGACTCGTGCGCCTGAATGCGGATCGGAATCACCTCCTGGGGGGCTCATCGATCTTAAAGCGCGGGCTTCCTCGAGTCATTTCCGGACTGATGATCAGCTTCCAATTTGGCTGATCAGCCAGTGACATGTAGCTGCTGGATCAAGCCAAGCTGATGTTTGCATCACCCGACATCGAGGCGCGCGCCGACGCGAGGAGTCATTCGAAACTCGGCGAAAACCAAAGAAGATCGTTTCTTTCTTCCCATTCACGATCCCGAATGCTGGATTTCTAGAGTCAGTATATTGTCCTCAAAGAGCATTCATTGCAAGCAAAAGTGGACTGCTGGTCGCAAGTGAGGCTGAACAGCCCAATATGGGGGAATGAAAGCGATCCGCTTCAGTCGTCGGAAGGCTTTCGAGGGAAATCTTGCAAGCCCTGAGTCAGCGCGCTTCTTCGCTGATGATCGAGAAATTCGATGACGGAACGAGCAGCGCTTGAGTCTGCTCAACAAAACATGGAAGAGCCATGTTAAGAAGACCACAGACGTCAAGCGCACGCAGTGACATGCCGCTCTTGGACGACGCGGGTGAAAGCGGAAAGGAGCCGCCAAATTAAAGTGGAAGGAATGCATACAAGGTCTCCCTCACGCGCATTGAAGGCAAAATTTCACCCGCCCCCCAAAATGCTTACCTTCAGCCGCTCGTACGCAAACAGTGGTGCCCAAGAATGTGCTCATCAGACCTCACAGAGTCGGTCATTGTGATCGGTCTATTCTGCTATCACCAGCGGCCGCCGAGAGCCTGGTGGACAGGCACGATTTTCCCGAGGGCCTACGACATCCACGTGGTGAGCCAGGTTCTCGGAGTATTCGGAAAGGAACAAATTGAGAGGTTGCCGTGCTTTGAGTATGACTGAGGCTTCATGGCCTGCTTAGCACCCGACTCCTTCTTCGCAGGGTCAGCTATGAATGTTCTTCGCGCTTACAGTCCGGGTAAACCTCCGTATCCAGCATCGAACAAGAGCGAACGCTGAATTGCCTCACACCAAAGGATATCAGGCTCTCATATCTGATATTGTCGAGGGTGCAAAAATACGAAACTAGGTCAGTCGGCTCGCTGAATGTCGTCTAGATGGCTGATCAACGACTCACTACCCAGCTGTACACCTAGGCCCACAAGATCCTCATCCTTGTCCACGTCGAGCTCGGTAGAGGAGCTGCATGTAGCCAGCTGAGAGGCCGATTGACTTACTGAAGACCCGTGCTGAGGAGAGGAAGGGTCCCCGTTGCCTCGTGGAGATTGCAAATGCTGCTTGAAACTTGAATTCTCGAGTGCGGGTGGCGAGGCAGCCATGCCGGCGTAGGATCGTAGAGAGGCTGACGTCGCTGACTGCATTTGGAGTGCTACGCGTCTCGATATGGGTGTCGAAGTTGCCGCGTCCAACGAGCGAGATGAAGAGTCAAGTTTGTCGAGAGGCGCTGAAGAGGAGCCAGCCTCAGACCACCTGGTGCCGCTGCGAAGCTCCGATGCGTGGTAAGAGCTTGCTCCACGTGCTGCCCGAGAGTGAACGGAATGGAGATCTAGAGGACGTGTCACTGAGTCTTCTGCCTTCTTTCCTATGCTTGATTGACGTTCTTGTGCGTGAGTACGGTCGCCCGCCTCCGAATCTGCCAACTTCTGAGTTGGAAATGGACTTGGGCTTTTTGCAAGGCGAGGGCGTTTCTTGCCTCGTCTGGTCTTGCTCTTATGGTTGGTCTCTGCTTGGACTTCAGAGTCTTTTGGCGCACGCTCGATGCCGAATTCCCTTTCAACATCGGCACAAGCTTGCTTCAGCTGCTCTGGAGCAACATCTTTGATACGTTCGAAGAGCGCCTAAGATATGAACGGAGCGTCAGCGGATGTGATCCTGGCTGTCCCTTGACTGACGCTTGTGGGTTCGCACTTACCGAGAACATTTGGCTGTTGACTTTGCTGCGCTCGCTGTTACGCGCTTCGAGCCAGTATCCAGTGCTCTCGTCTGGGATGGTCAGCCCAGCAGCTGCAGCAGTAGAAAGATCACGTCGGATCTGCGCGGATTTGTGGGCATGAAAGTATGCATGAGCGAAGGGAATGCGAGTACGGCCCTCACCAGAAGCACTCACTTGGATGAAGGACAAGCGCTGGCGTGCCCTTTCGCTGGCTCTAACGCGCTCTTCTGCCACACCTCTGTCGTACTCAGCCTCTCTGTGCGCAGTTTCGAGCTCCTCTAGACGAGTGAAGCGCCCAGAGTCATTGTCGTGCATGGCCAAGTTGAGCTCGTCGCTCCACTTATTCTGCACGTCGATGCTTAGAGGGTTCAGACTTGCGCTTGCGCTGGCTGCAACACTGGACATGGTGATAGTGCGCTGGCTTGGTGAGCTCAAGAGAGGCAAGGCTGCAAGAGATGAGAGCGCGAGCGCTGAATGTCGGCCGGCGTAGGAGATTGCTCAATTGCTTGACATGGGGACTCCGACCTGAACTTGTGTTTGGTAACCTCTGATTGGAATTCTCGCCATACGATAGGAAGTAGCACTGCCAGGAGTGCATGTGCCGAACAAACCGAATGTACTGGGCAATGGTTGAAAAGGAGCTTCGAGTGGCCATGCACGGTGAAGAGACTCGGCTTTCCCTTTGACGTCGTGTTGAGTGTACAGTCACTTGGGAGTCGGAAAAAGGTGAATGCGTGGACTGACCCCGGAGTTCGTCTTTCTCGCGCATTTGTTGTGAGTCAAGAGTGTGACTTCGAGACTCGTGGTGGTGAAGCAGGCTTGAGGGCTGCGTTGCGCGCGTATATGCTAGCTCTCGAATCTCGTGTTTTGATTCAACATGACCCATAACGAACCAAATTGTAGCCCGCACCGCGCAGGTGCTGCAGACCTCCGTTTTGATTCAGACCTAAAGTACGAGTCGAAGGGGGAGTCACAGCGCGCCAGCCGTTGACGCGTCGCACGGGGCGGCTAGCTCTGTACAAATGGCAGGCTTGAGTTGAAGCAGCAGGCGTTGTGATTATTGAAGTGACAATTTTGAATAATTAGTAACACCAATTGATGCAGCAGATGTATACAACAAGATAGTCAAGTCTTGAGTCAGAGTAGTGCGTACGAGGGAGCGAAAAATCCTGCAGATCCATCCAAAGACACAACATTCCTTGATTCAGATTCTTGGTCCATTCATTCAAGCGTCACAGTCTTGGAGTCTTGAGTCTTGAGTCAAAAGTCTTGAGTCACCAGTCGCCTGGATCGCACTTTGGATCTCGTTGTTGACGCTGTTGGTGCCTCTAGCGAATGCCTTTCCTCGCTGCCCGCATGTAGTAGGGCAGCAGTCGAGGCGCGAAGGATCTGTTATTAGCGCGGGACAGTCAGCAGCTCGAGCGTCCCGTGCGCTCATGCAGCGGCGTCATCAACATATATGTACTACCACTACGACCTGCTCGACATGCACACAAGCGAGGATAGCAGAGGTTGAGCCCACCAGCTTGTTGGAAAGCGAGTGAGCAGCTTTGTGTGGCGCTGCAGGGCGCAATCAAGTTCAGAAGGCGGTGCAGGGATGTGCGAGACGAGCAAATAGTCGCAAATCTTCGACAAGGCAAGTTGCAGATGGAATGATGTGAAGACGATCAGCTGCGGCGACTTGGCGGTAGTTCACCATCTGATTTGATTATCGTGGCAGCGATTGTTGACTATGATCGAGCAGCACTTCAGTGAAGAGAGCCGGCTGTTGTTGCGCAAGCTAGGCAGCCGCGAAGTCTCCCGCTTGCCAGACTTGGTCAGCCAAGACGAGCCAGCTGTCCGCACAGCGATGGGACAGTGGAAAGAGAGAGGAGGGGTCAGCATCGAAGAGCGCAATGTTGGACAGCTCCGTAGGTCAAGAGCGTTCTGGCTCGGCCAAGCTCCAGCGCCCGCCTCGCCCAAATATGCGTGCGCCTTGACCAACTCCATATCGACGCGAGCACCTTGTCCGCGTACTTCGTGAGGCGTGACTGCCAATGTCAACGATGTCATGCTGCGTCGGGCCACTTTACCGGATGGTGACTCACCATGCGCTCTGATCACCGCCCTTCGCTCTCCCGACACGTTGTCTTCTCCCGGCAGCTCTGTCATCTTGCGGGCTCTATGCCACCTCTCCCGCCGGCGCAGCCTTGCAGCGCAGTCTCATATGGACAGCTGCGTATCTACATCAAGCTACACTACCTCGACTGCTTCTAGTGTCTGGTCATGATCGCCGCCCTTGCTAAATCCACACTAAATGCTGTTGTGCCCGAGAGACATGTGGACGCGCAAGGCAGCTACGAGAGTCGAGACAGCCAACCTGAATAACACTCCTTCATCAAGATTGCGTACATAAGGGATCCGCCGTGTGGCCAGCTTTGGGCTCTGCAGGCTTGGCAACTCTTGCCAAGATGGAGTCCTGAAGGGTCGCAGGCGCGGGCACGAGTACTGCGTTTTCGGTGCACGTGGTTAGATTCCCAAGGTGGCCTGATGTAGTGTATCATTGCAGCTGACGGCATTCCAGTGCCTGCTCGCCGACCTCTGAAGCTAGAGCGGGCGCTGTATGCGGGCCGCATTGGTGTGGTGTGGTGGACGTCTCGAAGTGAATGATCGTGAACGAAGGCTCGCGCCCTGCACGCGAGAGAGGATGTGGTCACAGCGCGTGCGTGCGCGTTTTGGCGCGAGCACAGCCCCAGGCAAAAGTCTCATGAACGTATCACGTGACTTCCGAAACACGCAAAGCGCCCGTATCACGTGAAGATGTCGCGGGCTGAATCAAGAATGTGCGGTGTTGGCGGAGCAAATAATCGTGAATAGGCGCAACGCCATGCAGCTGCATGGCCAAAGGACCGAAGTTGGACCGTTCCACGCGTTGAGCTCATCAGCTCCGAATCAGTCAAGTCAGATCCTCCACCATCCATGATACGCCATTCGCGGCTCATGCTGGCGGTGGCAAAACATTCATGATTGCATCCACATTCAAATCGATGTGGCATTCCTCTTCATAGCATATATTCGCATCAAGTACCTCGAGCGATGACGGACGACAGCCTGCTAGTCTCTCCTTCGCGCTTGCTGCGTAGAGCGGCGCTGCCGAAGCGAGCTGTAGGTCCGGTCCTTGTTTTCTCCCGCATACTGCCTTTGCCACTTGCGCTGCTATCTGCTGCGCACACTCCCTCCTTCTGTTCCCGACCTCGGACAGGCGAAAGTAAGTGTTGATGACGTACGCGTGGCGCATCTGAGCTGTCCTGCGCCGCACCGATCTGACTCCCTCGGTTGCCGCCTTCAACGCAGCTCTGGCCAGCCTGTTGCAACGGGCAACGGGCAACGGGCAACGTGCAATTACGCCGCATCAGCTCTGCCTCCGCCGGCATTTCGCCCAACTTTCTACTTGTTGCCGTCTTCAGATTGTGGCACACAAGCTGATAGCCATCGATCGGCTATCGATCGGCACTCTTAGCGAGCTGTTTGCGCAATCGGGAGCTTGGGACATTGCAACTCCGGGGTAGGCAGCCACAAGCGTCAGGGTGGACTCGGACGACGCATACACCCGGCTCGATGCAGCTACGCGAGCTGCTCACATAGATGGTCGAGCCGCGAGTGCATCTCTTGCAGGCCTCGAGCTCCCACGCCGCATCTCGCATCCACTTGCTCACTTGCTAGATCGACGCGAAGCGACTCATTGTCGGAGGCACCAATCGGAGGATGGATGGACTGGACAATCGCTGGTCATAATTTTCCCTGAAGAAAGGCCGTGCGGCCTGCGATGCCTACATGCCATTCCCTGGGAACAAGCGCAGCCGGAGGAGCCGACCAGCCTACTGCGGTCTTTTGCTTTCACCCTGCAAGAGGAGGATCTGATGGTCGGACGCTAGTCGCGCAGGAGTGATGTATGAGCTTGTGAGAATCGAGGATCCGCGCCACAGTGTTCCGATACTGAAGAGGCGCCTCCTCCCTCTGATCCGCAAGGCTACTGCATCAGCTTACATTCCAAAAGAGCTCCTCTACATCCGCTGCGAAGCTACAGGTGACACCCCTCGCTTTACCCAGCAAGCGCTGTGCCCTCAACCTCGGAAGCGTAACACGCGAGCTTCGTTCAGGCAATAGGCGTCCGAGCTTGAGAATCCGACACATTTCGACACCTTGAACAGAAGCCTCAGCTTGATGCACGCCGACATTTGCCTGCAATGCAGCGTTCTTGCAATCAAGACACGGGTTCACTTTCAATAGCTCGATGAGCACTCCAAGTGCAAGCAGGCGCCGGAAAGGCCACTTCCGGCCGCACTAGACACTCAACGATCAACATCAGGCTAGCCGCACTGCTCCTGCTGTCGTTGATGGCACTTGAAGGGCGCGACCCAGGGCAAGAGTTCACCAATCGCATTGCGAAAGAGTAGCTGGCGTGAGTAGGTATTCTCTCGCACTCGATACCGTCTCTCTTGAGGCTGATGCCTGGAAGAATCTCTTTCTCGAGCGATCACCAGGAGGGTGCAGCGCAGTCTTGCTTGCGGGCGGCGCCAAAAGCGAACTTCCTTCGTGTGGGGCGTATGCCTTGTCAGTGAGGAGGTGTCTGGACTCAGACAGGCCTTTCATCGCCCTCTTGTCACAGGTCCATAGAGAGGTTATGGCTGTCAAATCGACTACTCCGCTGCAGAACCCATGTCACGCATGGCCGCCCCGAGGCAAACGGATCATGAAACATTGTTGTAGCTACTTCCAAGTTATTAGTCTCCATGATATTAGTCTAGAGGCTCATTGTCGTTGAGAAGCAGAAGGGGAGAGGACGAAACAAAGGCTCGAGACCAAGGCTGCCTCAGGCCTGATTCCTCAAGAAGGGTCGATAGAGATCCGCCACTGAGAAAGACGCGGTCAGATGCGCGTGCGCTTGCGCGTCCGTCAAAGCCATAAGAGTCGGATTCTTGGCGGTCTAACATCGCTATTTTTAGTCATCGGCTCGCAACGAACGCCGCAGATGGAAGCCAAGAGATAACACAGCAAATCACATGGATGTATCTTTGGAAACTCGGACACTGTCCGGCCAGGCTGCTCCACAACCGGAAGTGAGATAGATACTTTGAGTCAGCCAGCAGTCGACGCAGCATTGCGGCCAAGATCCCGCAATAGTCTCGACATGGCAGACTTGCCCTAGCATCAGGCGCGCAAACATGTTGGCCAGCTCGAACTGAACTCCATAGCCGCCCAACGGCCCGACGCGTGTCTATCGAAGATGGCTCTCGATCTTCTGACCCCGACTCAGCGGACATCTTGGAAGGTGGGCTCACATGTGTAACAAAAGCAGAGGTGCGCACTCAATCTGACGTATAATGATGAGCTGAATTCCCGCGGGTTGAGCCTGAAGCTTACCTCGTATGACCATCTCAGCAGAAAAAAAATCATGTATACGTCATTCGGTGCTCATCCAGCAGATGGATGCATCGAGACGATACATCAGCCGACGCTAGGAGGCGTCGCAACTCCGGAGAGCAGCAGTGATTGCAAGCAGCAGCGGTTGCATGCATGGGAGACGAGTCTATCAATGCTGGGAGCAATCATCACAACAGAGTAAAGCTCCTATTCAGATGCGGCTGCTCGGACGAATCAAAAGGATTTTGTTCAAGTACTGCAATCAAGAATGTGCCGGACCGATGCGACATCATTGCTAATGCGTGCCTGCTACTGACAGCGGGAAAACGACAGCCTCCAGCTAGCGTGGCTCAAAACTTGAGCACACTCTCAGGCAAGGACAGCACACAGAACGGGCAGAAAGTCTTTGACTCATCGAGCAAGCAGCGGCACCTTAGGGAGTCCACCCTGAGCAAGTGTTCCGAGGCAAAGACTGCGCACAGCAACGTCCGATAGAGTCAGCAGCAGCGCCCGAATGTGACAAGAGTCTTGTGGTAGGACAGAAGAAGGCGTGACTGCGTAGCGCATATTCACCAGTCTCTTCCGGTACAAATTGGTCTCGTTGCATATCAATTTTGGTCTCAATCTCAACCTCAGAGATCGACTTATTGCTGCTCGAGGCGCTAGCGCTATCGCCATGTCTCGGCGCAGTCCGGCCAGACTCGATGCGATTTTGGATTCGGCTTGCTCGGTGCGTGCGGCATGTGGTCTCAATTACCGATCACGCCTTGCAAGACTTGGCTGAACCGAGCAAAGATAAAATGAGCCCGTATCGCTGCATGACGCAAGACACGGTGTATCGAAAAGAGCACATCGAAGCACTCTCCCGCGTTAACCTGCACGCTCAGCCCAGTACGCTTGTTTAATCTGTCTCACTTGCCTTAATTGTCGCTACGGTGCTCAGCAGAGCTAAGCTAGCTTGCAATCATGTGCAGCTCGAGTGAGCACCAGAGCTGAGCTCGCACTTCCAGAAGAAGTGATTAGCTGAGCTGAGCTCGTAGAGGCTCGTCGACTAGCTCATCAGGAGCGGGTTGTGGTTCCTCTCTCAAAAAGGTCGAGCGTATTCACTTTCTTGCCCCTTCCTCCCTACCCTTTCATCAAGTCTTACTCGATTCCCTCGATTCCCCCTCACAGCCGTCATCATGGCCGACCGTCAACTCAACGGGGCAGGGATGGAGCACCAGCTCGACGAACAGCAACGCGATGTTCTCGCGGCCTCCAGCTCTCTGTCAGGCGTCGACCACGAGCAGCAATCGGCTCAGATGGCTGGCACAACGCAAATTGATAGCTTTCGTCAGAACGTGCAAGACATGGTGTCGCAGGCAGAGGCTCTTGAGCAACAACTGCAAGAAGTCTCCACGACCGTGGACCCCGTGGACACAACTACATTGGAGCTGCTAGTGAGTCGCCTGAAGTTCTGTTTGTCTCCATCATCAACAATAGTGATGCTGGATTCGAGAGGTGCATCTGGACTGCACTACTCTCATCCACAAGCGCAAGTCGCATCGCAGCATCTCTCTGCTGGCATAGACTCAATCGCTGATCGACGTCATCCCCCCTCGCTCGCTCCCGCACTACCATTGCTGATGCATACCGCAGGCAACTACTCTTCACGAAGCGGCGCTCGCTATGGGAGCACCGAACATGCCAAGCGACGTGATCATGCCAACAAACACCTCCGATCTTCAGTTTTACAGACTCAAACTGCTAGTGAGTCACAAGTCTCGAGTTTTCGTACATGTGGAAAGACGGAGATTTGTTACGGCCTTCTCTGATACGTCCATGCACTCCGCAGGCTGCCACTGTCAATCTCCAAGCTGAAAAGTGTCGTCCAGATGGAAATGCTTCGAGCGCTGCTGTGAGTTTCTATGGCTCATCTTCTTGGCCGATCGTTGTGATCATGAGCTGACTCTCGTCGACGCTGACCTCACGCAGCGTGCCGCCATGCGCCTTGCAAATCGCGCAGCCACGGACAACCCATAACGTCGAGTAGTCCTTACTTCGCGTAAAATACTGGGCTGGACTTGAGCTCGACATCTCGTCAGTGTCAGTATAGAGTCAAGACAAGATGATTCGAGCCCCTCACATCGGCGCGGCACTTGTGGTTGCATGTAGCGCTTCTCTTCAATGATGTGTGCACGAATACATGGCTCTGTTGACTTCCATCGCCGCAGGTGGACACTCTGTCTGATGCGAAACGAGTCAAGTGAGAGACGCATGAACTTCGTACCATCTAGTCACTGTCGGGTCTGCTTGACCTCCACGAGAAGCTTGATCAATGACTGTCGCGCACGCGTTCACGCGTCTTCATGTACTCGTCACATGCACGCACGCATCTTCAATGAGAACCACATCATCCCTCTGCATGACATCCGCGACATGAGGGAAAAAGAAATGTTACCAGCTTGCGGGCCGGGTCAAACATCGACAACGCGTGCCGGTTTGCTTGCCTCGAATCGTTGGCAAGGTGCGAAAATCGAGAAGACGGCAACGCGCTAATTGCATATTTCTGACAAAGTCGTGGAAGCAAACGCAACGAAATGCATGAGCTGATGGTACTGCCAGTAGCGCTTTCACAGGCCACTGAGTAGAGCAGAAAGTACGATAAGTACGCACGTCAGAGATCGTGCTAAGCAGATTGAACGTGCTGTGCACACTGCCAATCCAACGGCGCATCTCTATGGTGATGCAAGAACAATTCAGGAAGGCCATTCGAGCTACTCACTCAAGGTGAACATTCATTCCTCGGAGCACCTTCCCACACGCCATCTTCAGATGGCTCTTGCTAAGCGGACTCTGTCTCGTCAGGACTCTTGAGATCGTCGTTGGCGCTAGCTGTGAATGGAGTGTGCTCCACTCGATGGCTCTCACCGCTCTCGGCATAGTCCTGACCGCCACATAGACGGAACCAGTGTGCTCGATCGACGATGAGGCAAAGCAACGTTCCGACTCACCATAACCCGAGACGCTGGACCACTGGCTTGATCAAGAACAGCCTGCTCGGCGGTGCTCTGAGTTGAGCAACAGGCGTGCAGTACGGTCAAGTACAGGTCTTGACTTGCCCGCGGAGGGGGTCTTAAAACGCTATGTGGAGACGATACGTGTGACAAAAAGCAGGTACATCATACGCGTTGTATGATCGGATTCCCGTGCCATAAGGGATTATTTTTTGTTCGACAGGGTATTGAACCCGTAAACATTATACGCGTACTTTCTCCGCCCCTCGGAGAGATGCAGCAGCATCCACGCTCGCGTTGAAGTTTCCCCCAACCTCCAACGCGGCTCCACTGCGCCATCTCACAAAGTCTGCACCGATAGGTGCAGATGCAGGCTACACATACAGATATGCTGGACGCTCACGTGACTATGGGCCACCGATATTGCCCAAACACGCGCCATGTGGCCCAGATTCAGCACCTCAAAGCTATAATTCCTCTACATTTCCTTCACTATTACGCTCAAACTTTGACCTGCAAGCTACCTCTCACTTTTGTGACTCGGTGCTGACAACCCGTCGTGAACCGCTTCATCGACTGTTGCGGATGCCCAGGTCTTTTTCTTTAATCAGACTTCTTAGCCAAGGCCTGCTGCGCTTCTGTGAGGTCTGCATCCACGCAGCTGCCACACTTCAGTGCGCTTATTTATGAAGACAGCGGAGCATTGCATGGGTACTGTCTTGAAAGACACAGCAAAAACGATTGTGAATGCCGAAAAAAAAAAATTCGGAAAAATAGGCCTTAAATACCACTGAGCGTAATTCGCGTGCAACCCCGTCAGCCCAATGGCCCGAAAGTTTTCGCCTCGGCTTGAGAATTTTCGGGAAGGGGAGGGAGTCACTCGCGGGGCCACGCACACACCGGGCGTTCGGATCCGTCGGGCAGCTAAACAGCCGCGTCGCCTACGGTGACAAAATGGAAACTGTCTACTGCATGGGGACACCGTTCTCGGGCCCCTACGCGGGGGGAGGGACCTAGGGACCGCCCGGAGGGGCCAAAACTCGAGAAGCGTGTCAAGCCATCAAAAACAATGCTCGAATGTACAATGCTAAAAAAAAATATCATAAAATATCATAAGAATATCAATAATCCTATCAAGACTATACATCAAGAATATAATCAATATCAGATATTAGACAAACCTTAATAATCAGTCCGATATCCTAATATTCAAAATAACCTACCAAAAACATTGTTTTGTTTTGCCTCGAAGTTGGCGGCAAGGCGTTCTCATCGACAGTCGTCTGTGCGATTTCACGAAAGCACTTCATCGATCGAGGACGACACATTTCTCCCCCTTGCGCCGTGGTTTGTGGACTTGAAGGGGAGCGAAGAATTTGTTGTCAAGCACCCCGCATCTTCGCGTGGGCGGCTACGAATGCAAAGACCGCTCGAGTGTGGTTGGCCGTAAATGTGATCTCACATTTGTGCACGGCACGTTCAGCAATCAGAAGAGTCAGATATTCGAGGAGTCCCGCGGCGTGCACCAGAGATTTTAGGTCAAGTGTGTGAGTCTCGACTCATGCGCACGCTTCACGCCAGCAGTTTTCCTGCTCGGCGCGTCCATTTCTCACGTGCCGTCGGGAAGCTCTTCGCGCGTGGACGGGACAAGACGCCGTCGGCAGGAGCAAGCAGATCGGCGAGCTCGAAAAGGAGGCGCCTGGTCGCCGCGAGGTGAATGTCGTGGTGCAAGGCCGTGCTGAAGTACCGCGACATCAAGAGGACCGTGATAAGTGTGCTGAGCATGACTACTCGGGCTCGAAGCGGCCAAAGCCGAGACTTACCACGCGTCACTTCTGTTTCTGCTGTGCAAGCCCTTTCGTGGCAGTGACGATCTACCACTCTTACGGCGACCGGAAGAATGCAAGGTGTTTCCGTCGGACCGGACCTATGAATTGAGCACTCTGGTCTATTCATCCGGCACCGGCTTTCAAGCGCTTTGCGCCATAGCTTGTTCAGCGGCTCCACATGCTCTGGCTTTGCAAGACGTGCCTAGCCCTATCACCGGTCCACATGCCGGCCCTCTCTCGGTCGAGCCGCCACGCGAGTTATCGACCATCTAGCAAGACTCCACTTGCCTCACCATTGCTAGCGTTCAGGCTCCAGTCTTTGTCAGCACCCAGTGCGAATAGCGTCTGCTAGTGTCGCCTGTAGATTGTGCTTCCCTGGTCTGATTTGACTAGCTCGCTGACTGCACTACCTGAGGACTGCTCAGCCTCGAGGCTTTGGAGAGGGAGCATTCGTTTGCCTATTTGCAGCCGCGCGGCCCTTGACTTTGTGATACCTATGGCGCTTGCAATAGAGTCTGCACACTCGGTCGTGATGGGTGGGATGACTAACCCTACAGAACTGCGTCAGCTTCGGATATCTTTCGCTCGCACTTGATCTTGTTCCAAGTCCCGAGCTCGCTGCTCACTGTGAGTGTCGACCTTCGTTTGGAGTCGCCCTCGCCCTTCCATTTGACAGCACCCCAAGAAGGAAATGTTCGAGGCTTGGCGCGCCCTCACGCTTGGGACCTCTGCATCGCTTCGGCGCCGGATGCTGCGAGAAAGGGGGACTTGTCAGCTCTGAACCTGTCTAGCGAAGCGTATTGTCATGTAGAGTGGCGCTCCAGGCCAGGCTAGTACTTACAGAACTGTCCTACACCTGCGCCTCTGACAGTGCTTCATCCGTTTGGCCGCTTTGTATCCCCGCCTTTATCACCACTCTTGTGCCCACAGCCTTCCATACTGGCCAACGCTTGCCTTCGGCAGATGAGGGGTTGCTTGAGATATTGTAGAGTGAGACGCTGCGATCGGCTTTTGTCTTCAGTCGCTCAAGGAGCCTCTGCTTCCAATGTAGACCAGTTGCTGAAGGAGCCTTGTGCTTCGCATGCAGACCAAGCGGTGCTGACCACCTCTTATGTGCCAGCATGAGATGAAGCGGAGAGCTTTGCCAGACTCCTAAACAAGAGTCGTGGATCAGTGGATGTGGTCTAGATACCCAGTCGCCGCGGCGAGTAGCTTTACGCCAAGCTAGCCCAAAGAAGAAGACTGCTACACAGATGGCAATCAGAAGCGCTGCTGGTGCTGAAATGCGTAGTCGATGCTCACGTCTTGAGGGGTCAGCATCGAGGTGCTGCGTGCGACGTTGTCCTCGCCATTTTTACCTGACGGAATTCGAAGCGAAGGCTGTTTGGCGCCGCGAACGGGGGCTGGTACGATGGCCGGTGCCGGAACGGCGAACTACCGACGTGCGCATTGAAGCCTTGATAGGAAAAAAATGGAGTGCACAGATCTGACGCGACAGACTAGCCAGTTGTGCGTGTGAGGTCGAGATGAGGTGCGCCCCCATTGCATCCCAGATTGAGTGTCCGAAAGCAAATTAGGTGCCGAGTGTGATGCCGACCTTGAGTGAGCATGAAAACCTTAGCTTAGCAGCTGAAGACGAGCGTGTCCCTAGTCCGGGCCATGCGCAGGAGCAAAAGTGCTTGCAGACGGCGCAGTGACCGCTCCCCGGCGGCCTCAGGGATTCCCTTTCTTTCGCCTGTAGGACTTCCGACAGACAAGGGGGTGTATGAAGGGCCGATGATGAATCCTCTTCAATCTCCACGTCGAACGAAGCTAAAGAAGGATGCGCAATTGATAAGAGAACCCACTCGGACCCCCCGTGCAGGGTAGCCGGGGATGGGGTCTCCTCGGCAAGCTTTGTGGGCGTTGAGTCAAGCACGCGTGCTTTCGGAAGAGAGCGCAGAAATCCCTTGCAAGCAAAGCTAAAGCCTTGCAATCCGAGGCCGCAGTACTCGTGACGAGAATTGTCTGAAGGGGCGGAACGCCAGGTAGTTTGGATCAATCACCAGGAAGGGACGCGCTCAACTTTGTCTTTCGAGTACTCACCCTACGTGGCGCGAGCTTCCGTGACGGCATAATACTCACTCATCTATTTTCGCTTTGTATTTGCCCTCAGCTCCGTCGATGAGCGTCGCAGTCCGGCGACCGGAGAGAGCGTCAAACCATCGAGTTTATGTGCCCAATGGTCATCTCGCGAAGGTGCCAAAGGGTGTCGTGCTTGAATTGGTTGAGCAAGAAGCATCGTGCCTGCTCTGTGCTGCGAGGCGTGAAGAGATGGCTGCTCGCGCTCCCAATCGATCGTGTCTCGGTGTTGGTGAGGCGTTCGAAGCCACATGGCGGCAATGTATGACGGTATCCTTCACGACTGGCTCGAAGCCAGCTCAGCAATGATCATCATTCAGCGTGCTTTGGCGCCTGTTATGTGATCTAGCTTCGAAGCATTGGCGTGTCATCTGACTCGCGTCAGGAGCTCATGTTCAAGCCGAGAACGAGCAGTGTTTGCGGCACTGGTCCGTCGCTGTTGAAGAGATGAAGAGATGGAGCTTCGAGGTTAGTGCTGCAGTCTTCGTGCAGCAAGACTTCGCAGTAGGCAAGACTCAGAACGGACTCACTGACCCTTTAGGGAGGGGGCGCAGCAAGTACTGTGCACACTTGAGCGCCGCGTTCATTCATGCCTGCCTTCTGCACTGGCAAAGATGCCCTCGTTTCTTCTTTGCATAGCTCCTTGCTTCATAGTGGCTATCCATCGCGGCTGAATGCATCCTTGCCGTGACACGGGAACAGCTTTGTCTGCCGCTCTGTTGACCGCTGCCGTCCGCTCGGAGACCTCCGTCGAGCCTCTTCTCGAGCAGTGCGCCCCACTACTCTCGCTCGCCTGTGGACCCTGCGGTGAATGCTGCGATGGTCAATATGCCAACGTCGTGGGCCGCTTGGCATATTCAGGGGGATCGAAGGGCGATTTGACCGCTAAACGAGAAGACGAGGGAAGCATCGGCGCGGTGAGAGCTTGCATGAGCCTGCGCCAAGAAGGAGCGGGCATTCATGAATCGTCCAATGTATCCTTACAGGTTCGAGCAAATGATTTTCGAGCTGTAGCGGCAAGCGTATGAGGCTGTCTGTGCGCCGTTTCGACAAAAGCTGCAAATATTTCGGCCTGGTCGGCAACGAGCTAGCGACCTGAACAGCGCACGAGGTCAAGAAATGAGCTTGTGCAGCCATATAATAGCGGCGACTGGTCCCGCCACCCACTGTTGACAGCGGAGCGAGTACTCACTGAAGCCTCGCAGTCATGTCCGCCCCCCTCATCGTTCTGCCAATCTCTGCGCCCCTGGTGCAGATGAGGAAGCGAGGCAGTAAGGGTCAGAGCCAGTGCAAAGTCCCAAGCCTCTCTGTCGAGCTGCATGCGCTATCGCCATCGGATAGCGTGAATGCCCGCTCTTGTATGACCTCGTCTCACTGAGAAAACGAAGCCGAATGCGAAGTCCTGTCCGTCCCCCAACTCACTCTCCGGCTTGCAGGGCAGCGCCTTGAGCGCCAAGCTGTCTCGGATCCAGGACGTCCAGAACCAGGCTGCCTACATCCAAGCATGTGGTCCAGCTGCTGCGCGGTCGGTTGTCGAAACAGGCTCGTGGGCGATCTAGGTTTCCGGCTTGGCTGTGTGGAGCATCAGCCCTGCGCTGCGCTCTGCGAGTACTGCAGGCCGCGAATAGCGAGTACGAACGAATGACCAAAGGATCCGGTGCTCGTCACGTAGCTTATCCGAGTAACCACCGCCCCTAAACAGCGGCTAGGTTGCATCCGAATCAAAATTATGTGGCTCTGCGATGATGCCGAAATGATGGTGGTAGTCGAGTCAAGAGTGATTGCCTCCAATCTTGAACCAGCCTCCGTGATGGCGGCATTCAACATGTTATGCAAAATTATTGTCTTGCTCGCATACGCGTTTTTAATCAATAATAAATCAGGCTTGCGGCACCTCGGAGCTCCGTCTTGATCCTGAATACTTTGGCCCACGCGCGTGCATGGACACGCATCCGCGGGCACGGCGCGTGTGTGCAGCAAATTAATTATAATAATGCAACCTGAACTTGAGTGTTGATGTTTGAATCCTTTGATTTTAATTGATCATCCAAGCTTCGAAGCACTTTGACTCCACTGGACCAATTGGGTTCGAATGTTCCTGCATTCCTTGAGTGTAAAGGATTCAAGATGCGTGATTCACGATTGACATTGTGCGCGAACTTTGATCAATCTTGAATGTCACACTCGCTGACTCACACTTTGACTGTCAAAGCTCACGTCGATAGTCACAGTCAAAGCTCAAAATATTCGAAGCTCTCGACCTGCTGAGTCGGTCCCTACCTGCATTCATGATTCCGAACGTAAGATTTGGAACGTGAGATTTTGAAGTCTCATGTTCGACCAAGATTTGAATCAGACAAAGAACCTTGACTCGACTCGAGGACACCTCGATGCGGCCTCAGGACCGACCCTGTTTGTGACTTGCGAAATGTGTACCAGGCTACCTTTCTTCAGCAGATGAATGACTTCTGAAGCTGTCTCTCCGACCTCTTCACGTGCGAATCCACAGATCGACCTCCTATGTCGCTTTTTCGCGGACGAGCATAACGTTGATTGACTTGTGCAGCAGCTGCCGAGGATCTGGAATGTGCTTTCCCGGCACCGAGAGTAGGTCCAATAGCACGCCAAAGTAGCACCTTTTCTACCGAGTCGTGCATACAAGGAGGGTCGCGTCGGTGGATGACTTGTGCAGACACCAGGATCTCTGAGTGACAGGTCCCCGTCTGCGCGAGTTGGTGCATGCTAAGTTGCTGGATGCGCAAGACTGCTCAGACGATTGACCTGTACACACATGAGGACTTTGCGATCATGTGTTGACCTGGCCACGTCAAAGCTACCAAAAATGCTCACTGGCTCCGCCATCTTGATACACCAGATGACGTGTTCTTTGCTGTTCCATACTGGAGGCTCAACAATGCGTTCTTATAGTCGCTTGCTCAAGGTGTCGCATCTGGCTATTATCACCAAGACCTGCGAAGCACACGCGCTCGGCGCGAATGGCCACTCGGCCGGGGAGCACTTGCAATGGAAAGGAGTTTGACCTGCGTGCAGTAGCCTGGCTGACAAGTGAGCAAGCGTGGTCAGCGGAGTCCCCAAACCGATTTCTCTCGTTGAGGCCGATTGGATCTGGACGATCCAACACTCGACTGCGAGACCTTCCACCCCAAAGCGAGGTGTCTCACACAGGCAGATCGTGACTGGCGCTGCGGCGTTGATGTATGCGGACTTCTGCACCAAGGCGGCTTGTCGATGTTCCTGTCGAAGAGCCGCAAAGGCGCAAGCCAAACGTATCCCTCCCTCACTCCTCAAGACACCGACATCCATTTCCAACTCATTCATATCAGTCCAGCGACGACACCGATGAGATTTGGACCCGCTCACGATCATCCTGGACGCGAGGCAGCCGCCATTGTATGTGCAGCCGAATCAGTGATTCAATGGATTCCTGGACCGTTCATAGTCTTCGTACAGCTGCAAGGTGTATTGCCTGAGGAGTGACTGTCGGATTCACCACAATCCTGAGGCTCTCGGTTGGTCGTCTGTTGCTGAACAATCCTTGTTACCGCTGTCGTTTGCGGTGTCTCGTCAAAGAGAATGACCGGCGATCACACCTGAGCGCCTGCGGATGTACGAGAGAGAGCAGTGCCACTCACGCGTCTCCGAGCTGGACCCACGCTCCTTGACATCTATGAGATAAGCCGAGGTGCTTGCTTGGTTGCGAATGTTCTCATTGACTTTCTTCTAAATTCATCAGGCAGCAACGCTAAGTGTGATGATCAGCCGAAAGCCTGCGCTGTAATGCGGTTGTCCCTCACCAGGATGATAGTGTTGACCTTCATATACCAGGTGCACATCTCGAAGAGATCTGCAAAATTTGGCTTTCTTGGCAACGCGAGACCGAGCTCTGCGAGCGTCTCTTCGATCACCTTGATCTGGTTCGATGGGGTAATTGCTGACGATCAGCCTCAAATGAAGGGTGCATTGGGCCGCTGCCAGCAGAGCTGTTCCCCTCACCACTGCCTGCGCCAGATGACCATGCTCTTGAAAAGTTCCGACCAAGATCCTGGTGGGAATCTGTGCCAAGATCGTGCCAATGAGGACGCACTGTAGGCTCAAGCAAGACCAGTGGAAGTGCTGCAAGCTGAATTGCGCTTGTCTGAGTTCCGAACCGGCGAGACGCTGCTGTTTGCTGTCCGCCATCGCTGCTTCGTGATGCCTAATTTGAACTGCGCTTTCGAGTTCCTCCACCAAAGACTGACAGCTTGGCTCGTCCTTCATTGTAAGCCTCTCCGCCTTCTCGTCCCTCGCTGCCTGAGTGTGTGCTGCAACGAGCCATGTGCTGACGGCCACCGACTTCACTGCTACGAGGTCCGACTTCACCGCTGCCGAGCCTCGCAGCGGTGACGCTCAAGACGGCAATGACCGTGGGTGAGAGATTGTTCAGAATGCATGTATGCTGGACGCTGACCACTCGAGGGAGATGGAGATCTGAAAGAAGAAGCCGCTCAGCACGAAACGCGGCGCAGGCGCACACATACACACGAGTTGTCGCGCCGCATGCCCAACAAGCCCTGGTCTGTGTCTGCGCATGCATCGTGTTTGGAGCACAGCTCAACACACGCGCTCCTCTCCTCCACTTCTGCTCCATCATTTCACGCGTCGCGCCCGCAATCGGGAATGATTCACCGCGCGCGCTCACACGACCTCTGTCGCCGCTTGAATTCGAAAAGTCTTGACTGTGCTGCCCAGGTCACGAGTACTCACGTGACTACGTAAGTGAACCTTGTTGCCCTTTCGGCGCTTCGGAAGCTCAAACACCGCCCTTGCTGGAGCCCACCGAATCTCTCGAATACTTCGCTGCTCAGTGCTTCGTTGAGCGTGAAACACCTGCGAACGTTGCCCTGCTTTTAGTTTCAGCGAAGCTTCGAGTCCGTCACTCTTGAAACGGCAGTCTTGAGCGTGATACGCGAACTTCACGTCCGCGCTGATCGTGCGCAAACAAATTCACACTTTTCTGCCGCGAGCAGCGTAGAGTGGATATATGCACTCGGACAAAGTCAGCCCTTCGGCACGCATATAAGCTTGTCATATCGCCTTTCATCCTTCTTAACCGCCTGTACAGGTCGCCGGAAATGTATTTATGAGAGTCAGCCATTCACGACTGGCGTTGCGGCATTTCTGTGCCTGTCGCACGGTATACTTACCATGGATGTTGCATGAGCTTCCTCGCAAGTGCGACAAGACGAAGAGGAGTCGACCCACTGAGCAGGATCGCACGCATTGCTTCAGCAGCAGGCTGACATGCATCCCTTCTCGACGTCTTGATGCACATTTCCCCGCGGTCAGCTGTGGTCACAGAACCTTTGAAGCACGAAGCAGGAGCAATTCTTTGAGGCCGTGGGCGGCGAAGAAAGGTCTAGACGAATCCTCCAAAGATTTGCGAGTATCACACTGAAGATCATTGGCAGTGGAGCAGTCGAGGGACTGCGTTTACTTTGCACAGGGAGTCAGCGCTGCTAGGTTTTCTGCGGCAATCGTAGCAGCTGAAGAGCAGCGTCTAAGGGCCGAGCAATGAAGACCCTGTTCAACGTTTATGCTCAGCAGCGCGTATCCTGTCTCCTCAACGTGATTCACCTTCGCAAGCCTCAGTGTTAATTCCCTTTCGTGTAGACCATTACGCAGCTCAGCTGCTACCCGCCGCCGTGCATGGCGTTAGAAATCGCTTTGGCATGTCGTGCAGTCTTCAATCGCACAAGGCGAGACTTCTAGCATTCGCCTCTCTTCTCCCGGGTCATCACAGTGCTCGCGCATTACCCGCCGTCGAATGTCCTCGTGATCCGCAACCCGCCTTCCGATCAGAGGAGACCAGACCAGAGGGCCTTCGCAGAAAGGTTGGAGTGCTCGCACGCCATCACATGCTGCACGCGTGAGCTTGTGAATGTCGTAATGCGTCCAACCCTTGAAGTTGTGTTGCGGCCGAGAGTCATGCGTCGCATCGCGCCCCTCAATCTGCCGACATGTCTTCCGAACGACCTTGACTTTTGACCTCTTCAAGTTCCAACCTTGTGGTAGCTTCGTCATCTTGGCCCACTGTCGCATTCGACCGGCTTCCTTTCGTGCTGGCCCGCCTATGCTTCTCTGTCGCGGCTAGCCAGTAGCTAGTGTGCAGCAGTCGGGCCAGCCGGTAGGGAGCCAAAACTGGATTGTCCATCGCCATGACTTCTGGTCATCGCGCCGAGGCTTCATAGTCGTGTTGGTGTTGCACCCCATAGGTACGATAAACGTACCGACAGACCTCAATGTCGTGCTGCTTGCGCGCCGAGAGCATCGCGCCCGGCCTTCAGACCTCGATCCCACTCTAAGCCTGTATGGCCGCGTGCTGTGCAGGATAGCAAGAGTAATGTGTAGGTGAGGCGTAATAGAAGGGGGACGTCAGTGTACTGCGGGAACCGAAAGCTCAGCGTGCAGTGCAGAGACGAGCTTGGACTGTCGCCAAGTCCCCGCGGAGAGTGACTTTCAACTCACCGAGTGAACCAGGCCACTAAGTGCGATAAAACATGTCGCTGCGAAGCGGAACAAGCACAAGGCGGAGCCTCTCGAGGGAGGCGCATGACCACGTTGGCCCAGCGAGCCTGTCATCTAACTTTCGGTAAAGCCGAGACCATAGCACCCTTGACGCATTTGCTTTGGTCGGCTTGAGTCAATTGCACGTAGACTGCTGAGCGCGACAGATATCTTAAGAGATGCAGCCTCGAGGCCTAGACTGCTTCACTTTCAGCGCCTCCGTCCCCGCCCATCTCCCCACCCTCCTCTGATCCCAGCCCGCAGAGATAGGCGCCGGTAGTCTCGCCTCCGTGCGCAAGCTGTTGCAGAGGTCATCGCGACGCATGCTGAAATCGGTCGCTCGGAAATGTTCTTGCCTGCTGCGCGCGACCTGAAGGCTGGACATCAACGTAGGCTTGTCCACTGCGCGCTTCCCCCGCCCTGTCATCTGTCTCCAGCAAGCCTGTTGGTTTGGCGTGATTCTGCTCCGTCTCCTCAGTGACCTGTATGGGGAGCAAACCTGCGCCACGCCCAGGATTTCCATCGCCGTCCAGTGGGTATAACCTCATTTGCCTCAAGCTGCTAGGCAGACCGCACTGCGACCCGATTCCGAGATTATAGATTCACGCGATGACTGTCCTAGCTCCTTCGATGTTGCACAAACACCACGTGATGTGTCGCCATAGATCAAATTCTCCGGAATCAAGAGTAGATGAATTTGAGGTCTCGTGCGTGTGATCAGGCCCCATGCAGCTGCTCAATGGCTGCGCCGCATGCACGACGAAAGGCGGTGGCCGAGGCGTACGAAGCCAAGCGATGTAGCTCTTGAGCCTTGAAGCGGCCGAGATCAATTTTGACTCGTGAAATGATCCGACTTGAAGTGGCTGGGCTTTAAACCGAAGTTGCTCGGGGTGAAACGTCCTGGCTAAGAAGAAGCAGTGTCCCGTGGCGAAGGAAGCCGAAACGCCTCGTGTCGACGATCGTAACTGGCAGGATATGCGAACGCGCTTTTCTTGCCTGACCTCTCGCAGGACGCGGATGGCAGAGCGTCAGCAAAAGCAGATCGCAATGGATAATGCCCAAAGCCGTCAGCTCACGAGCAACCCGCTCGGCTCAGGACTTCAAGGGTCAGCATGTCGCCATTGCAGTATTGCTATTGATGTGGAACAGAGATGCCCCACGTGCCGCAATTAGCAGGGCTTGGCAGCGAAGCAGCATAGGCGTCGCTGCGTCGACCTCGGCTTGCCGCTCGAGCCCAACGTTGGGACTTTCTGGAATGAATTTGCGCTCGGCGTCGAACACCGACGCGGCGTATGGTTGCTGATCCGAGTCAGGGGATTCTGGATGCCAGAGGCTTAATTCGCCATGCAAACGACGAGTCCTTCAGAAACATCGTAAAAGTATTTGGCTGCAGTTCTCGATCGAGATCAAGGCGCTCTTGCAAGTCCAGGGAATAGCGGCCCTTCGAAACTGGCTTCGGGAAGCGGTTCGAGAACCGATCGGAGCTCCTCGACGCCCCCTGTCGCGCCCCACTTCTCATTGATGCGGTAGATTTAGCTCGCCTGAGCCACGTGCTCGCTTTCGCTGGTTTGCCGCCTCGCCGGGCCAAGCCGCCCTCAAATTTGGATCTGAAGTTCGAATCGACTTTGCATGACGGTCTGTCATGAATGGTGAAAGCCAACGGCTCGACTTCGTGAGCGATCGCAACGCCTGGCCAATGCTGTATGCCCTTGACTGATCCTGTAGGCAGGCTGCACGAAGCGAAGGTCGCGAGGCGCATGTGCTGATTGATGTGTGTGCTCAATCATGCCAAGGCGGCAAGCGTTCCTTTGCGAGGTGCTTGCATTCGCTGTATGTCACCGGAGACCATGCCGCATCGGGGTTGCCAGAAACGAAGCCGGTGATGAAGCCAGCGACAAGGATGCTGGAACAGATAGGCCCTCTCAAAGCAGCCAGTTCGCATACTCCCCTCTGGTAGCATGCCTGGCTTCCGGTGTTTGGTGACGCCCGATTGGCTCCAATGTTGCATCGATGGCGGTGGCGCGCAGTTCAGCGGTGCGCAGCTCCAATCATTCTCCTGGCGACCCGACACCGCATTCTCTTAAGGAAAGTAGCGTCGAAAGATCCAGCGAGGCTATGTAGCACAGTTCTGCGCGGTCTGCACGCTGAGGTGCAAGCTCAGCATGCCAAAAGGATTTGTCATTGGGGACAATTCCATCATCTTTTGACGCAAAAGGCAGCGCTGAAGTTGTGCGCGTCGATTGGAGCTTGTCCCTGATAGAAGAGTATTGGAAGCGGAACGCTCGCCAGCTCGAATGCGCTCAGGGCGAAGCGATGCAGAGATAGGTAGCACCGAAGGGACATCTGAGCGTATGCGCAGCCCGAAACGAGCATACACGCGACGGATCCGAGATGCTGGCAGTGTGGCGCCTTTGCCGTGCAGAGTGCGGTGTATCCTCCTCATGCCGCAAGCCGGGAGTCGTTACGGCCTGGCGATGGTACGGAAACTGCGAAAAGGCGCTGGTCATAGGAGGTGCGGCGGCCTTGTGAAAGGTGATGGCGATACTTGATGAGCCGCACGCTCTAGCACTATCCGCTGCTTCAGCTGCCAAAGAAGCCAGAGTCAGCGGCTGCGCAAAGATCTGGACAGCTTCGACGAGACCCGGCGCGCTGCTCACTTCTCTGTTGCCTCGCCCCTTGCACCGTGACAGAGTTGCTGCCGCCATGTCTGCTTAGGCTGCCTTGGGAGGTGAACCCTTGTATTCGCGCGAGAAGACTGAAGGATTTGGGATGTGTGCCGGCGAAGACGCAAGCCTCAGAGCGCCTGGATGCCAGCTGAACGTGGTGAAGCGCAGCTACTGGCTCGTCGATGAGCGGGATGCGACGAGCGGACACGCATCGCACATCTCGATGATGAGAGGTGATGTTGGTGCGTTGCAGAGCAAGAGGAGATGGCACACCTGGCCGCCAAGTGTGGGCCATGCTGTGAGGCGCCAGTTCTTCTGAGGACGCGTTGCTGCCGACCCATAAGCCACCGTATCTCGATCATTCGCGCCTCGGTGCCTGACTACTGGCGCGGATGGAGTTCATCGCGCCTCTTGCAAGTCGGAGAAAGCACTCAGAGAAGGCTGTAGGAGCACAGGGGAGACGAGGGAGGGATGCTCATCGAGCTGAGATGCATGTCGCGACGCTTTTGTCGCAGCAGCCGCTACTCACTCTCACCGTGCACCATCCTGCAGCATCGTGCTTCGCAATGCGCTCCACTCCCCTCGAGCCCGTGCGGCCTTCCGAATGCCCTCGATGGCCCACCTGATCACTTGCCCATGCTGCGCACCATCCCATAATCGCTACTTGGACTCGGATGCATCATCCGCAGCTCCTAATGTTGTTGCTGCTGCTGTCACAGTGCGCAATCCTTGGCCTTTCATTTGCCTCACGCGCATTCGAGGAGCTGGAGTGCTCTGCTGACGAGGTGCTGAACGGTGGCAGTGCGGGATGACGATGCAGCACAGCCTTGCTCGTTGCGCGATGCATTGGAGGATTACCACGTGTGACTTTTGTACATTGTTGTGCTGCTGCAGAGCATGGAAGAGAGCAAGCGATGGACAAATTTATCGCGCCTGCGTTGCTGCTGCAAGGGCGAGTATTGAGTGCGTGCGACGGCGCTGTGTGCTGCTGCTGCTGGGCGATGGGGTGGTGCGATGATGTGCTGGGGGCTTGGAGGATGTGCAAGATGTGCGAAGAGCTGATGATCAAGATGATGATTGTGTTGATTGTTGCCACGCATCCACACACCCTCACCGCACGCGTCTATTAATGACGCGCGTTCACCTGATGCACGCGTCGATCGAGCGTGTTGGTCGATCCAACGCGCGCGGGATGAAATGCGATTCAGAGATTTGAAGCGCAACACGGATGCGCGCGGTGAAAGTCGCGTGACGGCCAGTCAAACATGCCCACACCGCTCAGCTCATCCTTCCTACTCTCACTCTCCATCTCAAGCCTCTGCCCCTAGAGCACGCACAACGCTGCGCTCATTCATGCTGTCGTGTCGAGCGCTTACACTCAGCAGCGCATCTGGGTTCTCCCACAGAGCAACGCAACGCACCTCAAATGCACCCTCCACTTCGGCCTTCAGCTGCTTGCGCACCGCTGCGCTGTCTTGCTTCCAACCAGCCAGAGCGATGCGCCGGCCTCTGCACTCGCGACCACCGCCGAAACGTCGTGGAACATGACACCCACTTGACCGCGCGCAATGCATGAATGCAGCTCGGACTCGAAGGCGACGCTGCGATGCTGCTTCTCATCGTCTGTCCCGTCATCCCTGCTCTGCCTGCCAGCTCGACCTGCAAGCCGGCAGTCGCTACGAATGAGCGCGCCTGCACGGACCGCATCTTGTCCTGATCAGCGCTCATCCACCCACCAGAGTTCTTGGAGGCGCGCTTGGGAGGAGGATCTGTGCTGCTGCCGTGCCCTGCAGATGTCCAGCTTGTGCGCACCTCGTCCCTTTCAGCAGCTGCAAGCTACTCTGTAGAGCGCAAGCATGGCGGCATGGTGCAGCTCGCGTCGTGCTCAGGACCAACACTACCATCTTTTTGAGAGAGAGGAGGGCAGGACATCGCTCTGAAACATCCCAGACGCTGGTCTTCGAGGGGAGCGTGCGAGCCTAGTGAGTCCGGCGAGCATGGCACGCTTAGCCCAGCAGCCCTGTCACAGCGCGAGAGACGAGCTGTGCTCTGCTGCAATTGTGCGCAACAGCTCACACGGCCTCACATCAGCACCAGAATGGCCGGCAGAGCACCGAGTGACTTGCGTGGTCAGCTTGCATCTCAGCCCCAGCTCGTCGACAAGCTCAGCTGTGTGGAGCAATGGTGGGCTCATCTCCACGCACAATCCGCCTCGAATGCTCGACAGGCGTCGCTCTGGCAACCGATGAAGCGCACCTCCAGTTCTATGCTTGGCCTAGGGAAGTGCGCAAACAGGCGGAGCGGTGGGTGAGCAGCACGACGCTGCTGGACCTCGGTTGAACTTTGGACGGGAATGGCAAATGCCCATCAGCATACAATGTTGCCAAGAGGAACGTTGGCGGCGCGCTGACCGGTGAGTGCGCTGCTTTGACTCACAGATGCGCATTTGGGGGAGTGTGGTTCGCAGCGCTCCTGCGCATCGTTTGTTTGCCTGTCTAGACTCTGGGGATCATCTGCATATGTCTGGAACGCTCGCCTCTCGTGGTCTTCCATGCATCTACACGTGCACGTAACAACCCTCCGCTGCTAGCAACTCGTCGAAGTCTCCGCCATGCGCCAAGAGTGCTCAACAGGGACCCGTCTCGAGCTGGTCTGCCATGTGCGCCAGCTTGCTCCCTGCTAAGTCCGTTCGCACTGGCTTTTTCGGTGGTCTCATCCTACAGTTCAGTGGCTCGCTCGCCTCACGCAGTGCTGAGTCGTGTCCCACGCGCGTTACTCCTTGCCGTCATGCTTGCGGCCTCTCCATCAAATCGCCATCGCGCACTAACAAGCGCTCTCGCGGCGCGCACATTTGAGCCCACAACGACCTCTGATGGATACGGTTAGCGGATCCGTGCCCGCAAAAGTGGATATGGAGAGGCTTCCGCGTCCAGCGCACTCCGTTCCTCTTCAGTGTCTGTCGGCTTTCCTTTATGCTCCTTCAAGGGTCTGAGCAGCGCTACAAGCCTTGACGATGTCTTTTCCTGTCTTTCCACCAGTCTCTCCACACAGTGTCCTGGTCTGCCGTCTCACAGATAAAGCAAACGGCTTACACAACGATTCAATGGGACGTGCGCGGTGCTTTCCGCAAAGAACGGGTCTTCGGTGTCGGTCCCATTGGCACAATGCTCCTCTTGGCGCTGTTGTAGGAGGAGGGCGACAGGCACTTGAATGGAGCCCTGGTCTCTTTCTTGGCATGCAACCGCCCACTAGCATCTCTAAGAAATTCGCCCCCTGTCTGTCAGGCGTTTTCGGGTCCCTCGGCGTATGGCCCGCAAGGCCCGCAACACCAAGGTTAGGCGAACGCCTTGCTGCGAAAAACTACTGTCGAAAGGCGATTCGAACTTGGTGCTCGGCAAACATCCAAAATAGTCTGATGGTGCAAGCTCTCATATTAGGTGTACCCCTTGGATTGCTTTGCGCAGGGCGGGCGCCGCCGCCAAAGGCCATTACGACCACAACATCCTTTGTACAGCCAAGGTGTGGCGCCTGGGTGTGGAAGCCGTAGACTACCTCGTAAGGGCTTATTCCCATCGTAGAATGTGTTCGCCAGCGTTCGCTTGTAAGTAGCATTGGTATTACTTCGTCCCAGCGATCCTTCGCGATTTGCACGCAGAGCAAGACGCTTGCACCACCAATGTGTCCCTTCGGACCCTCTTCCTTCGAGTGGAGCCCAAAAGGCGGCAGTCTCTATACTCGATCTACACGCTGGCAGTTTGCAAGCAGATCGCGCTCTATATACCTGCTTCTCAACCAATCCCAGCGCCCTCGTGCTTACAGCTCCTGGACAGCTCAGTCAGTAGCTGTGTGGTGTGCTCCTTCCCACGAGGTCAAGCGTTCGCTTCTGCAACGCACACAGAGCCGACCACACGATGACGTTAGCCATGTGGACACAGCTCCTTTTGGTGCGCGGTCATATCGTCGGTAATGCGGACACGAGGAGCTTGAATATGAAGGTTCAGAAAGCCCTCCGTCCGTCAGCAACACTTCATCGGAGTGACTTTGCCGAACGAGCGCCGGACACAGGAGGAGGCATATGCACTTCTGCTTGCCCTTCTAACTCGAACTTTGCAGCAGCTCGCTCATACGTTCCATCATTCGCCAATTGTCCGATGCATGCCTAATTCTGTGGAAGGCTGCTGACACGATTGTCCAGCTCGGTATCGTCGGCCGATCGACTGTGTTTGCGGAAGCGATGATATCGATGCCACAATTTCGACTCGCAAATGCCGACGTGGGCTTAGGATTCCGCATTGGACGCGATGAGAGACGCGTGCATGTCTGCTGCTATCTATGTCAAGTACTAGCCGTGCTGTGCTGTTGTGCCTGCCGAGATTTTGTTATTCTCACAGGGACGGCCACACGCTTGCCTTGGCTACATGTATGGCAGTCGGCCCAGCTCAGATGCGCCGGCGTGAGCCATGCGGAGAGAAAATCCACGAGAGAAGCGAGCCACACAAAAGGTCTGAAAAGGAAGCACGTAGTCAGATTCCATCTTGCTGCCCACGTGAAAATTCCAAAACTTTTAGGCAACTATTCTGTGGGTGTGAGTGGGCGTCCGCACGCGGTCGTTCTCGAATTGCGCCCCTCCTTGTTGTCAGCCGAACACTCTTTCTTACATGTATGTGGTCTTTTGCGCACATTCCTGTTCCCGATTGCAAGTAGAGGGGAAAAAAATGATGCTCAAAAGAAAGAACAAGGTAGTCGGGCCGACTTCGAAACGCGGGGCATGACTGTGTTGACTGATCACGACCAGACTGAGCCTGGGGACCCTAGATCAGTCGGTCTACAAGCCCGGCTGTGTTCAAGCTTCCTCTCCAGCCAGGCGCTCTTCCTCCTCGTGCCCATCACACGAAAGGGCAAGAGTCCGGTGCTCACTCAATCCTTGACATCCTGCAGACTTCTTGAGTGCATGAAAGGCAACTCTCCGAAATAGTCTGTTCATGAGCACTCTGAGTGGAGAAGGAGCAGGTGCTACCAAGAAGACGAAGAAGCTAACCGCGACCGCGGCAACGCTCGCACCGACTCACCCCTCATTTCGCACGATTTCCCTAGAGTAATTCCTCGATTTTCACATTTTCACGTCCTCGTCTCTGCCCTCGATCTCTTGCTCGTCGAAAACGGAGGCAGGCTCGTGCCGACGCGCGTGAGCAAAATGTGGTCTATGTGGGAGTCGAGGCCCTCGGTAAGACACGTGAAATTAGTGACATTGAATAGACTACATACCTGCTTGGAAACATGCCGTCGAGATATAGTGTTGACTATTTTTACTTGCCTGCTGCTTGATGGCGATTTAGTACAGGTGAGCGCCTATCACTGAGGGCTCATCATACACCCTCTGGAAAGCTTTCTTCCTAACGACCAGATCCCGAAGAGACTGAAAGTCCAGACTATAGCCCTCCTGAGTGGCTGTCATCAATCAAAATTGCTGACCACCGAAGGGACGCAATTGTTGAGTCGTGCCAAACGAAGGCAAATAGCCGGGTGGGACGGAGCCTGCAGATTTGCTGGCTTGAATTTTCGGCATCTTTTCAGACGTTTAAATGCACGCACTGACCTTGTTTGCGAGCTGTCCAGTTTTGAGTTGTAGCTACATACATATCAGACGCTGCAAGTGAGGTGGCACAAAGTTCTAGAAACCTTTGCTTCGAAGAGGGTCGACGGCTGGCAGGTCAACGTCGACACAGCTAGCATTGCGCTGGTCAGCACTTCGAGAAAGAGGTGGTACACGTGCCCAAAGAAAACTTGAACGAGCACGCAGCGAGTGAATGCCCGCTTTCCCGGCCACAACACAGTGAAAGGGACTTGTGATGGCTCAGAAACTCTAGAAGCGCTTTTGCAAGCATACTTAAGATTGTAAAATGGAGGAACTGAGCGGAGCACTCGAGAGAAAATCGATTTTTACTCGAGCAAGGCAGCCAAGAAAAATTTAAGGTTCGCAAAGATCCGAATCGACTCTGTCGCTGGTGTATCTCGGAAAGTTGCTGCCAGCACCGCAACCGCGGTGTCAACCTCTCTAATTTGTTGCATTTGCTTTCGGTGTCCATTTTCTTAATCTGTCTTAATTAAGTACCTTTGCTTCATTCCTCTTTGTGGCTCTCGAGCAAAGCTCTTGGGTATCTCAGTTTACTCGCCCGATTTTCTGAATGTCTTGGTGCCCTTTTGTTCAACCCCTTTTCTGACTCTCGAGCAGAGTGGCCTCACCGTGGGGTTCAATTGTCTGTGTCTCCCTGGCGTTGGAGCCACGTACGGAACGTGCCACAGAAATTTTTTTGACATGCGTTCTGCGCTCTTTAAGGACATGTACTCTGCGCTCTTCGAAAAAAAAAAACGCTGCGCCACGTCATGAAGCAGAGGCGCAAGGCCGGCAAGTCAGTCAAATTTTTGATTATGCGCGTCCGACAGAGACAATTACACCTAAGTATGTGTGGTCTATTGTAGCACTGTGGCAAGCTTTCTACGAATGCAGACAATTTGCCGCTAGATTTTCAAGGGTGGCTGCGTGTTAGTCAGGCTACGAAGTCGGATATAGCTTATACTGCTGCTTCCTCTATCTGGCTCTGCCTCGAAGTGATATGATGGTTTCTTGATCGTGTTGTCCTTTTTTTTCTGCGCGCGGCTCGGCCTGCGTGAGTACGGTGTCGCGCATGAAGCCATCTTTCTTCTTCTGAATTTAGGGACTCATAAACCTGAGCTAGAACCCTTGAAGCGGCACTCCTCCCTTTAGATCGCAGTTTGGCAACAAATCTGAAAACATCTGCCGTTTAGGTTAGACACAAAATTGCACGAAACGTGTGCCATTGATTGTGGCAGGCACAGGGTACAAAGAACCTCTGCAAGGGCCCACCATGTTCTCTCTGTCTCCGTCTCTGATATGTGCTCCGTCACTATCATTCTCTTCTCTCTGTCTACTCTTTCTCAAAGGCTTTTTCTGGGCGATCCAGACCACCAGCTGCGACCGAAGACAACAACTTACTCTCAAAGGTTTTTTTGAGCGATTCAGACCACCAGCTGCGACCGAAGACAAGAACTTGATCTCTCACAAATGATGATGGCATGTGTTCAAATCTGCCAAAACCAGATTTTGGCTTGCATGGACAAGTATCACTGTGGCCAGCATCTCCAGCGCGTTCCTCAGGCTTTGACCTTGCTCTTACTGCAATTTGCTCAAGGCACTTATTGTTGCTCGACCTGAGCAAGCTAGAATGAGTGCAATCTGAGAGGGCTCCCTCCAGCTGATTCCTTAATGTTCCTCTCCCATCATTATCTTGTCAAATTTCAGCTCTTTTTCCTCTAAGCACCTTCAAAAGCAACACCATAGTCAGCAACCCCTAAAGACTTCTACAACATGGCGCTCAGTTGTAACATGAGACAATACAAGCAAATCAACAACTATTGCCACAACCAGTTGGTCGTACAAGCACAAGAGCAAGACATGGCCAATTGCAAGGAGGCAGCGCTTGCTCTCTCGTGCCTCCAGATCTCGAACAGCATCAAGAGCCCAAAGGTGAGTGAGATGTCAAGACGGCCGCCCGAGCAGTCCCCGCCGAACCACTGTGAATGCAGTCCATCTTCCCATCTGCGTTGCCAGATACTTTGCAGATGCAGAAAAGACCATCAAGTTCAAGAAGCCCAGCAAGCAGCAGGCAGCTTTTTGCCAGCTCAAGTACACCAAGAAGGAGTTCAAGAAGCGCCTTCATTGCAAGAAGGAAGCAAAACACGCACACCAAAGGAAGCAGCGCAAAGTCTACAACAAAGCTGTGAGTCTCAGTTCCTCAGAACTGTGAAAGTCCAGCGTGCCAAGCTAGCACTTTTCTGACTTTCAGCTATCTCCCAAGCACCTTCGAAAACAACACCACTGTCAGTAATTCACCAAATTTCATCATGGCGCCATCTCGCAACCAGAGGCGATGGAACCAGATCAAAAACTATCACCACGCTGAATCCGTTGAACGTGCCCAGGCGCAAGACCAGGCGGATCGCAAGCAACCCTTATTCAAGTTGCTGGTGCTCAAGCCGCGCCCCCCTCCTCCCTCTCCTCCTCCACCTCCGCCCATGGACAAAGAGCTTCAAGCTCGCAAAAACTTTTTGGAGAAGACCTACAAAGACCTCAACGAGGTCAATCGTATTTGGCAAGCCGGTGCTCCCTTCAGAAAGCTGCTGTGGACCACCAATGAAGAGGTGTCATCTTTTAAAAGCAAGCAGATGAGGGCCGTCAAGAAGGTATCCTTTGCCAAGAAGCTTGTTGCTGACCGCGAGAAAGAGCTCCTGGAGAAGGAGTCTGCTTGTGAGTTTGCCGTTTTGTTATCACCTTTGCAAATTGCCGCTTGATTTCTGAGATGCTTACACGATCTCCTTGTGACTTGCATGCGCAACAGCTACTTCAACGGCAGTGGCATCAAAGTGAAGCCCTTTGACGTACGCGCGCATCGCGCACACCCAAACCCCCGCGCAACTTCCTAACGCGCCTGTCCATGCAAAGCCTATGCATCCATCCACTCCTCCTCAACCACGCAAAGATTCTTGCATTCACATTCTCGATTCACGTTCATTTTTGCGACAGCACTTTTGGTGGTCGCTCGATCAGATCGACCTCTCAAGCTTCATCAATTGCATTTGACTGACCATCCATCTTGCTTCTTCCACAAATACCACTACAGCGTAGTTGAAAGCTTTCTGGATCTTCTATCAAAGCTCTGGCTGCGTGGTCCTGTACGGGGGACTTGGGCTTTAGGAACCTCAGTCACCACGTCATAGCACTCGCTCGTGTGCATGTGGATTGTGCTTGTTGCACCAATGCGCGTTTTTACACGAAAGACAGAACATTTTTTTGATCAGCTTAGCCAGACCACGACAGACCTCAGATCTGGCCGCTCGCTAAATGTACACGAGAGACTGAGATGCTTGCGTATGAGTCTGAAACGATGGACGCATGCATTGATGTGATGGTAATCACATAGGACGCGTATCTACAGGTGCGGCGGCTTTTATGCACGTGCGTCCTGTCACATCAGGTCCTTTGGCTTGACGCGTTTGAGAAGGAAAGAAGAAAAGAGAATAGCTGACCTCGAGCAAAAGTAGCGGGAGAAGCATTCGTGCCAAGTTCTTGCAACGATAAATTCGTAGGGCCCCTCATGTCGCCGGCATGAAGAGAGCGTCACCATCTTGAAAGCCGTGATGAGTCTGCAAGGTGCTGGGATGCGGACGCTCAGATATAAAGCGAGTGACGTCGCATGGAGCAAGTAGCTGGAGACGAAGTGCCTCTATGCAATGACGATCAGACGTGAACAGAAGACGAAGGATGAACAAGGGAGTTACTGGTACTGACCCGGCCATGTGTAGCGCAAGGCACGCGTGGTGCAAGCTCCCAATGCCCATATCTGACGTACTCAGCACTTGACGCGCCAAAGAAGAATCGATGCTTACGACCGACGCGCCATGAACCAGCTGGATGGCTTAGAAAAGCTTGAGGAGGCAAGAGGCGGGGGGGGGAGAGACGGGGAAGAGGCGGGGGGGAGAGACGGGGAAGAGGGGGGAAAGGATATCGTGTCATTCATGCGTGTCACACGTCTGTTGTCACTGATTGCACCTCCATGACGCACTGCACGCAAATGAACAGGTGACTGTGGCTGCGTCAATGGGCGATCAGGGCGTCCAGATCAGTGAGAATCGTGATACTAATATGTTGAGTTGAGCTAGTACCTTCTGCTTGGCAAACGTCGGCGATAATATGTGATGATGAATGGATGATGCTGTGGCGTGAGTAGAATGGTACACGTCTCGCTTTGGGTCATGATTGCATTGCTCCAGACACGATGTCGAACTTCGATCCGCGATCATACGCCGCGTGTCAGAGTGAAGAAGAGTGATCAAGACGGCCCTCAATCTCTTCACCTCGACGCAAACTCTTCGTGACTGAGGCTCTGAATACTTCGCCACGCTCTCAGCAAGGCGGAAGCCATTCCTCAGCCGTCCATGGTAGTCTTTGTACAGAAATTATTGACGAGACAGTAATTGACATTGGCTTGCAGTGAATCGATGGCGGAGGAGCCTCATGGTCTAGTCTACTGGTTCGTTGATGGACGGTCCCTTATGATCTTGAGGAGACAGACGGCTTTGCGGTGTATAGCGGTTGCCTTAAGAAGCCTAGTGCCAGCACGAAGGACATTGACATATTTCTCAAACCTTCTGCTTCCCGCCGGTGCTTGGGGAGCCAGAGTCTTGAGCAGGGGCGCTCGAGCTCTTGAGCAAGTTCGCCGTACGCTTGGCAGTCGAAGCGACATTCCCTCGCGTGGCAGCTTTGCCAGGCGTCAATGCGACTGCTCGACGAAAAAAAGATGTGTACAAGACATCAGTGACTTTGCAGAACAGTGCGCACGCAAGCGAGGCATGATCGGCACGGACCCAGCGACCTTATTGCCTCACCTACAGATGAAGGGCCACCATTTTCCGATTTCGGAGCCTCGGATGACCCGGCAACCCTACCGCTGGCACTTGCACTCTCAGTCTTGAGACATGGGCGATTGAAGATGACACCCCACTTGTCATCGATAGCTTGAGCAGAAGATTTGTTTCCAGAAATGATCGTCGTAAGCTGCGTGTCGCGAGGTGGGACAGAGCTCTCTTGCTCCGGAGGGCGCGGCTGTGGTTGCGGCTCGCTTTCAGCCGGCCTAAGATGCTGCTCCTGGGATGAGACAGTGTGAGTAGAGAACATCGTCATTGCTCGCTCATGACGCTTAGAGGAGTGACGATTAAAGCGAGAATGCCGATGAAGGAGGCCCGGCGTCGTCGCAAAAGAGCATGAGAGGGGCGACGCAAACATTCTACTTACAGGGACGCGCCAGCGAAGGTGGGCAAGATATCGTTGCTTCTCGTCGTAGCTCTGAGGCTTCCAAGTGAAGATGGAGAAAGGGCAACGTTTGACACCCTGCTCCATCTTTGCGATCTGAGATGGCAGAGAAAAGGACAGGTCAGCGTGTGGTCCTGAGAGCTGAAGATGGTCGTGATTGAGTGCACTGACCTCGCGATCCAGCTCGTCCGTGGTGAGAGGCTCCATGTTGAAGCAAAAGGTGGTGCTGGTGATCACCGCGCTTGCTCTGCTCTTCTGACGGGCCACAAGTCTTCGAATCGGCCTATGCAGGGAGACCAGTGAGGCTCTCCCGCAATGAGTTGTGAGCCTTGATGGTGGAGTGCAAGGTAAGGAATACTGCCCAACCCCCGACGCTTCCTTGAGGCGATTGCGATTGCACAAAGCGTAGCCCGTGCGTCACAGGCACAATCGCATATATGCTTTGAACAGATGGGGACGAGGGCAAGATCGTTCACGCAACGCAGTCGAGGTTGGGAGTCAAAGTCTTGAGGCGTGAGTCTTGAAGGTCGATGAATGCCTGATGCATGCGCGCAAGATGCACTGATGCACTTCCCGCGCGAGAAGACGTCTCGAGCGACAGCGGACTCTTTCGGCATTCGTACGCATCAGACGCTGTTCTGAAGCGCGCACGCGAGCATTTACTTGCTGCTCTGATGAGGAGCGCGCTGCCCCCAAATCGTCAATCAGCAGCAATGAATGTGAAATGTGAATCATAATGTTGCGAACGATGGGCTTTTGCAGACCAGCGAAGCGCGGTCTATAGTCTGAGCGCCACGCGAGGTCCGTGCACTGATGCGCGAGATTTGCATCAATCTTGACTCGCGAATCGTGAATGCAGTCGTGGTCGCGAGTCCGAGTTGCGGGCCACAGTCGTGGATATGAGATCATCGCGAGCAGCTCAACATCATCACTTTTGACTGCACTACTCAACCATCGTACCTGCTGCTAGCCCACCAACTAAGTCTCTTTTCAAGCGCTCGCAGAGCGAAAGTCAAAAGCAGCAGCTTCTGCAAAACCATTGCTGCGATGTCTCGCTCGCGCGCCCAACGCGCCTTCTCCAATTGGCTGTCCGAATGATCAGTCGACTTACCTTGCAATCGACACGCTCAAGCGCCTGGATCATGCTGACTGTTGGCAGAGCCTCGAGTGATGAGATATGGCCGAGGCATGAAACGCTTGACAAGCAAGCTGGCATGTCAAGAAGAGCAAGCTAGAATCCTCCACGCTTTCGTTCTTGCCCCACGCCACTGCGTCCATACCGAAAATAGGGCACCGTTTCCACAGGCCGCACTATGACAGCGCACTGGCGCAAATTTACGCAATGCTAAGCTCTGGCCAGGACCATGACCTCATGGATCCCACCACTTTCGAGTGGGCTGCTGGGCTACAAGGTGGGTGAAGCAGCGCGTAAAACCTCAGTCCGAGCTCATTTAGACCACTGCAAATTCATGCTTCCCTGAGACTCTTGTTGCAAGTGCTTGGAGGCTTGACCGGCACCAAAGGCAAATCAAGCCAGCGACGAATAGCAAATTACCACCTACGCGAGCTTTGCTCCTCTGAATGAAGGCGGCATGATGGACATCAGCGCGCAAGCTGGGATATGGAAACGATACGATGCAGTTGTACTTAGTCAGATCTGCTCGTCAGTCTGCTGTGAAGACGCCCCCAGTCCAATCTACAGCATCCTCAACATCGAGCCCTACCAGCCGGGAAGGAGACACTTTCACATGATCTGAGCCTTCGGTATGGAGGCTCCGCACGTCGACCAGACTCGAGACACGGGTTTTGTCCGAGTGCAATGTCTAGATTTTTTTTACTGGTCCAGGTCATCCAACACCTTGTCAGCAAGTTCGATCACTCTACTCGAATCTCACCATGCGCTAACCTCACAGTGGGCGCTCGAATGGCACAAGACTGCAGACTTTTGACTCCCCAAATTAATGTCTTGCTAGTACATCCGAGAAGTCGTCCAGCCCTTGCATTCGAAACGTGCCCGGGCAGCTGCGGAACAAAGCTGTGCGACTTTCCACATGCCTCGTACGGGATTTTGCCGTCGCATGTTGGCGTAATGATCAAACGCGTTCGCCTCCCTCTCCTCAAATTTTGTCTTGCGCAAGACGTGACCACTTAGAGCGGTTGTTCCACATAAGAATTTGATCAATATAGGTATGCGCACGCTCCGCGACTAAAACAAAATTAACGGTCAAAACTCGCTCACTGTGTCCAGTGGGAAACAGCGAACTTGCAACCAGTCGGCAGAGGTGCCCTCATCCAGATGTCAACTGCCTTCATGTAGCTGAATGCAATGAACAGAGCCCCACAGCCTTAGCTTTTCCTCTCCTTTGCGACTTCGGTCGCGCGATCAATGACGCGGACTGTTTCTGCTTCTGGATTAGTCAAGTCTCTTGAGCAGCATGGAGCCTCAATGAAAACTCAGGGTGTCAGCTTTTATGTCGGCAGGTCGAGCCGGTCCCTGTCTCCGCTGGAAGGTATATCGAAAAGAGAAGCAGCCTTTTCACCCGAATATACGTCTTGAATCTTGTCTAATGCGGTATCTTGCTCGCGTTGTCCTAAACGGATCGGGTGGGGCTGTGAACAGCTGCCTGCATCTCTCTTCTGGCTTTGCCTCGCAAGACTTGCCCAGGAAACCCAAACGAGCAGCCGTAATGACGGGTTTGCACCTAAGCTCGCAATGACCGTTTGCCTCCCAGCTCTCTACGAAGCGTGTAGCTGATCACAATCGAGACAGAATCCCAATCGAGTTCGGTCACCGAGTCTGCCCCAGAATGTGACACCAAAGCTTCGCGCTAAATTGCTCTTCTATGTATTGCCAAGATTTTGTGTATGCCTTCGTGTAGCGACTTGCTTCGCTCATTGCTGCAAGATTCCCGTGCACTGACGCGTGCGAGCTTTTTTTGTTTTTTTTTTTTTGTTTTTCATTTGACACACCCATTTATTTCCGACACTTGAGTTGCGTTCGACCTTTTGCAGGCATCAAATGATCAATTCGTAGCGCTGAAGTTGTCTAGTTCGATGCTGTAAAAATTGCAACACTCTTTCAGCCAGTCAATCCTCACACCATTGCGGCAAGCGCTTTTTAAAGAGAAGAAACCGAGTTCAGTTGAAGAGTGGTTACGGCTTCTGTCGAAATTTGATCGAGTCTTTGCGCTTGACGAGAAAATTGATCGGATGGAGTCTAGAGTGATTCTCATCTCATTTCACCGTCTATTTCCACTTCAGTGCTGCACTCTGAGAATGAATTTGTGTCAATCAATTTGTTGAGGTTGGGTCTGCATCATGCTCAAGATTGTAAAAAGATGCAGCCAAATTTGTTCCAGACGCTATGACGCGTGTGAGGGGATGTACGTCTCTACAACTGGTCACTTGACATTTTGGGTATGCGAACTGCAAATGGGAGCCCGGGCGCCTTCACTTCGCGTTTTTCGAGCCGAACGAGCTAGAATCATACCTCGCCACCCTCGACTCCAGCGACCTTCGACTCCAGCGTTCTACGTTCAGCACAAGGGTGTTTATGCAGGTTCTTTGCTTCGAAGGTCTTGCGCTTGTTACACATTTGTACGGCGGATTAATTCCTCCAATATGACCTGCATCTTGCCAGCACGCCAAGAAATACACAGTGCATGACCAAATTAGCCTCTCTGTCTAGAGGCTAGAATAATCTGATGTAATTTGCCGGATTTTCACCCGCAAATCGCATACTTGTGTATTTTCTTTTCGTCCAAGAGACCGCTATAATAGATCAATAAGAGTCTCAGGAATGAAGGACGAGTTTTGAATCGTGGAAGTTTTATGCGGGTATTGCACCCAGAGCTCCAAGAGTATTCTGCGACCAAACATGCTCCATGCAATCTGTAGATTAGAGTGCGGACGTAGCGCAAGCAATCTTTGTCATTGCGAGTGTGATAGCTCTCAACAATCGCAGAAAGCCGCTTGGCGTCAGCATTGCCTCTTGAGCTGTGGAGTGGGAGGCGTACTGCGCCCATGTGAATGTAACAGCCTGCCGTAAGCCAGCCGCCTGATAGCTTGAGCTGTCTTTTTGTGAAGGAAGTTGTCAGGACTTGACTTTGATTAAGGAGGACACGCAAACATGTGCACTGACTCTACAACAACATTTTGAGCAGTCTGGCCACAGGAGGCAGCGCAGTTTCCAGGAAGAGTGCTGGAAGGCTTGTCAAGTGTTGTTTGGACCAAAGCAAGCACCAAAGGGAGAGGAATACAAGCAGTCTGTACACACCAGCACACCGACTGGTAAGTCAAAGACCCGCTTGTCTCACCACCCTGACCTGGACAGCACTCTAAGAATAATTGTCTGCAGGCACTGCGGATGAGCGAGATCGAGCCTTGAAAGTCTTGCCAGGCACATGAGTGTCGTAGAGAGCCCTTGTAGTCTCGGCAAGCTGGCACGAGATTGGCAGGCGGGGTAGGTGAAGCGGGCTATCCGAAGGTGCCGAGCTTCATGATCTCATCATATGAAGGGCCAGGTCAAGGCTACAATGGTATCCCTGACCCTTGCCATCGTGAGTGCCTCTCCACGGAATGATGCATCGTTCGACATTCGGTCAGCGTGCGTCCAACGAAGAGCGACCCGCGCACACTGAAGCAGATCTATAGAGGCTCAGCCCACGACGGATCCTGATGTGAGAGTGTGATGCTGAAGTGAGAATGCATGATCAGGATGATGATGGCACTCGTGACTGAGGGGTAGTGGTGGCCATGGAGTCACGAGTGAGATAGGTCACGTAGGTCACATCGAATTTGATCAGATTCACACTCAACACTCAAAGACTCTTCTATTCACGATCGCGCGCGGCCGTTGGTGCGTGGGCAGGTCGCGGCAAAAACAGACGCGTCCGCTCAGCTCGTGACAAACGCTCATTCACGATTCGTGGTTCACGAATCAAACTCCTCGATTCAAATTGATGATGTGAATATGACCACGAGATTGGGGCGGTAGGAGAGGGCGGCGGGAGGCGGTGGAAGATGCTGCTTGGAGAGAGCGGCCGACAATCCCACCTCACTCGCTACCATTGATCTCATCCTCAATGCGTTTGCCGGGCTGGAAATTGCTAATGGTCAGTCAGAGAGACCTTGAGAATTGTGAATGCTTTGTCAAGAGACTCACAGTTTTCATCAGCTCAATGGCCACTTTTTTGACCTCTTTTTGGTGGCGCTCCTCTTCCTTGCGCTCTTCATACTCCAAAGCGGCAAACAGAGCCTCATGGTTCTGTTTGTTGTATACCTCCGTTGGAGGGGGGGGTTGGGTTTTCCTTGTGAACACCATTGCAGTGGATGGAAGAGGAAGCAAAGAGTCGCATCAGAATTTGAAGAATCGTGTCAGAGCTGAAGTGCAATCTTGTGACTCACTTGAGCGCGAGCCTCCTTGCGGCGACAAACAATTGGCTTAGCATGATGGGGTGTGGCTCTGTAGTCTTCATTTTGATGATATGGCGAGTGTTCTTCAGGTGTGAATGCCTCTGAAGCAGGTGTTAGAGTAGAGTGGCAAGAAGGAAGGACGGGCTGGGATTGCGCAAAGCTTTGTCACATCCCATAGACTGACGGGACTCTTTGACCAGTGACAGTGGCTGCGTTAGTCTGAGCATTGAGACCATAGATCTCTTCTCACAACACTTTCTGACTCCTTCCCCTTACCTTTTCCGTCACTTCCCGGGGCGCTCTCCCCAAAACAACGACGGCAAGCAAGCAGAACCTCTGGATCCTCTCCCACTCCTAGTCCAAAGACAGGGCGCCTGATGCTGCGGAAGTCTGATGTCCCAACAGCAATGTGAGAAGGCCAAGATGCAACATCAGGTCGCTTGCTTGGTGTTTGCCCAAGCAGCGGGCTTCCTGTGGCAAATCTCTTGGTCAATGGAGGGACTTGGAGAGGGGAGATAGCTTTGTCCGGATCCGCTTTGAAAGGTGTCCATTGCGCATCGGAGTATTGCCGTCCCTTGCCCTCCTTGATGTGAGTGAACACCACCTCCTTGTCACCTCTGTCAGCTGCAACCCTCATTGCTTGCTTCCTACTTGTACTGTTCTCGATGCGGACAAATGTGACGTTGTCTTGGACATCATCAGCAGCATGGGAAGGTTTGGCAGCGCTTGACAATGCTGCAGACATGCTGGGCGCAGGTTTGGGCATCTGTTTGGCTTGCGCGGCCTCCCTGACATCTGCCTCTCCTGTGCCATCCATCTGCATCGCGGACTCAACCCTTTTGACGTTGAGAAGGGCAAGTCACCGTCACACCTGGCTGCTTGCTGGGCGTTTGCCCAAGCAGCGGGCTTCCTGTGGCAAATCTCTTGGTCAATGGAGGGACTTGGAGAGAGGAGATAGCTTTGTCCGGATCCGCTTTGAAAGGTGTCCATTGTGCGTTGGAGTAGCGCTGTCCCTTGCCCTCCTTGATGTGAGTGAACACAATCTCCTTGTCGCCTCCGCCAGCTGCACTGTGACTCTTCATGACTTCCTTCTTCCCTGTGCTGTTCTGGATTCGGACAAACGTGACGTCGTCTTGGACGTCTCCACCAGCATGGGAAGAGGGGCCAGCGCTTGACGACGCTGCAGACGTGTCGGGCACAGGTTTCAGCATCTGTTTGGCCTGCACGGCCTTGCTGGCATTTGCCTCTCCTGTGCCGTCTGTCTGCATTGCCAGTGCCACCCTTTCGACATTTCGCCAGTTCTTGGATTGTTGGAACCGTTGATCACCCTGAGCATTTAATGTTGCGGCCTGTGATTGGTCGGCAAGGCGCGGTCATGATTAGCACTCCTGCTGCTGAAGCTTTCATCACCATTGGCGCACTCACCTTCAGCTTGAGGGCCCAACCATCAAATGCCAATTCAGAGCTGCACTCACTTGCTTGCTCTGGTAGTTTGGTAGCGCCCATCACGCGGGCGGCGTCCAGCATGAAAGGTGCCTGCAAGAGGGTCACTCCATCATAAGATCTACACGTGCTCATGTTTCCCTCCCCTTGGGCTCAGATGCTACTTACCATGCAGCCATAGACCTTTGTAGCCTGCTTATTTGGTAAATAAGGCTGAGCATGCATCACCTAATGCACCGACTGACAACTCATGACAAGTTGCTCAGCGCAAAATATTTGGCTCGGGCCCTGCGAGCGTTTTACACTGATCAAGTCGCAAGAGCACTGATAAGGCGACGAGACTCTAGTGAAGATTTCCACCTTCATAGACGTCGAGTTGATATCAACTTCGTAGCGGCAAAAGTCGAGCTTTGCCTCGCAACGCTCGCTGTGCTTTGGATAATTTTCCGATTTATTCGCATTCATTGAGCGGAGTAGCTGTCAATGATGCCGGGCCTGCAGATTGAACGAGCGCGAGAATGCGAATCGTGTGGCCGCAAATACTTCTACTGAAGGAGTTGCTCTGTGAGGCCAGGTCCCGACTGAAGCTGCGTCTCGAAACGTGGCTGAGGAAGGTCAGGCGGAGCGCACCATGAAGGACGGTTCAGATCCAATTTTTTGGATTGAGATGTCTCGATGACCCGTAAATTAGCGCATTGTGTCGACCTAACAGCGACAGATTTCTAGACGTGCAATATCGACTGCGGGAACGCTGAGCGAGCATCGCAAGAACGGCGGTCGAATTGAGCAAAGATCGGAAGTGCCAAGCAAACGGTGGACTGCGCTCACCAAGGGGACGCCACCCCAAACTTTGCATGCCCACTGAGATTTTGCGATGGCTCCTCTCATTGGGAAGTCCGCCGCAGCCTGCTGACATATCGGACCACCTTGCCCCTATCACTGCTCGTGGAGCGTGGTCTCCGTACTACCATCGTCGAGGGTGTTAATCAACAGTGCAATCGGAAGCATGAGTCTCTCGCAAGTGCAATCTTGAGCATCTGACCATCTGCAGCAACGCCGGCGTGCCAAAGGAGCGGTTCAGTAAGGTTGCTGGCGGATCAGCTCCCTTCGCAACCTTTGACCACCGATGGGTATTCACCTGCTTCTTCAAACAAATGTGCCGCACCGTCGACCGCATTCCCACGACCATGCTCAAACGCTTACGGTGGTCCGCTCCTCTTCACTATCTTCACTTCTCTACATCGATGGTGTGCACTGCGGGAACTGATCCTGAGGTCGTGCGTTTGGTCGTTCGGTCGACCCGATCGACCATCGATAATTCCCTCCGCACCGACTTGATACAAGCGCCCTTGATCACCTCGCTATACGTTCATACTCATCTTCGTTTACTAGCCGAATTGGACGGACCAATACTTGCCAATGAGTGCTGGAGCTCGTGATGCAGGGCGAGACAGCTTGAGAGAATGAGGGCCATTCGTTACACTCATTACGCTCCACGCGTCGCACCGAGATTTGTTTCGCTTCGCGCCGATCTTGTGGAGATGACCGGCCGATTGTTGGTGGTGAGGCATATGCTATCGACGTCGGCAAGATCATCGAGCACGAAAGGTCTCGGTCTCAGAGGCGCAATAAATTGTTGCCGCATGACGATCACTGGTGTGATCCTGTCGGTGAAAATAGCTGGGTGGGCGGCGAGGCAAAATTGCTCTTAAGAGCATGCTTTGCCCGTGAGCGCTTCGACACGGTGGCAACCTGAGAGCCAGGGCGTCCGGGCTGCGCTTGTAGCTGCCCTGGGGCGTCTCGATCGGCATGGGCAGGGGTACGCGCTCGAAATTGCAAGCCAGCTGAAGTCGGGCGTGTCGTGTGCGGTGATTTGAAATTTGTGATCGATGGCGGTGGTCTAGAGAACGGTGTAGCTGCGCCTGAATGTCGCCGTCCCAAGCAAGCCCACCAAAAACCAGTGCCACAGGGCCATTCCAGTCGAGCAAGGCGGACTGGGAATCTGAAAGAGGAAGATTAGCACCGAAGTCTGGTCGGAAATATAGATGCCCAGACGCGACTCACGCGGAGCGGCGGGACGCGCGATGCAATTCGGCTGGCAGCCTACGCAGTCTTCGACGGTAAGCTTCTCCGACCCGCAAAGCGGCATGGTTGCTCCTCAGTCCCCACATGATCGGCCGTGGCGCTAGTCGTTACGATGGAATGCCTCGCGGTCTGCGCTAGCTTGGTACAGGAGTTGTGCGCTGCAGCGCTGGAGCTCAAGAAGGCCTTTGAATTTGCGCGACCGAAGCGCGCATAGCGTGGCGAGGCATCGGTGAGACGGCGAGTGGTTGAAAAACTGCTCGTACCGGGCACTAAAGCCGCGTGAGCGCTGGTTGAGTGGGTGATCGATGGTGAGCTACTTGAGGTATGCGATCCACCTCAGGGAACGATTAAGCACTCACTCTTCCACACGAGAAGAATCAAAGCAATCGTGCCTTGACACTAACCAACCTGCAGCACCGAGGTACCCAAAACTATGTTGCTGCCGCTCCGCATCGTCCAGCACCACGTCTAATCATCAGCTAACATCAGCTGAAGCCGGGGCGAGAGAGAGCACACTGGTTGCGATATCTGCAAAGTGACAGCATAGCGGAAAGTGTCTCCTCTCAACTTGAATGGAAGAGCGTTCTAGTATCGGCCAAGCCTCAGGCCAGCTGTGAAACCTACCTGGGGTCGCGGAATAGGGGCAACTGGTGAGCACCATTGCGGTGACTCTATGGAGGACACCGAATCGAGGTCCGCCGGCGTGACAAGTGTCGTGCGGGTGCATGTGAGAACACACACATGCCAAGACATAGCTCAGCTACCTCCACCTCTGAGTAGACCACCTGTCCCCAGATATCATTTCCATGTGCTCGCTCGCCCTCACTCACCTAAGCTGGTATTCGCCTCTCCGCTACCGCTGATCAGCTACCGAGTTCGACGAAATGGTCCACGCACAGCTCTGCTGCCCACCTGCGACTCCCCTGACCACGACAACACCCGACTTGTGCTCAAGGAGTAGAGTAGACCGGCAAGAGCGATTCCCAAGGCCGACAGCGCGAGAGACGAGGTTTGATTTGATGGCTGGTCAGCAATTTGCATCGTCTACGCTGCGAGGTGCGTTGCTTCAGGAGAAGTCGCACGACTTGCTGAAGAGCGAGGGCCGCACTCACAATCATGGCAGCCAGAGTGAGGCGCGAGCGCCTTCCTGGAGTTGTGTACATAGCCGCTTGCAGATGCGGTCACCACTATAGATACACTGCTCAGCGTAGGTCACATAGGACATGTCCAAGCTTCGCAGCACAGTAGCAAGGTGAACAGGAGCATGAAATCGGCGCTGAGCGGCTGCAACCAGACAGGCGACCGATGCGGCTGTGCGACGTCCTCTCCAAGGAAGTGCGAGTGTGGGAGACGTGCGTCTAAGTCGAGCTGGCGTGATGAAAGGGCATACAGCGCGCTGCAGAGGGTAGTGGAGGTCGTGATGATGATTCGATCCTGAGGGAGCAAAGCTTCGTGGAACGAAAAGCATGCATGCGATCTGCACTGGCCAACGTGTTGGTCCGTTCTGCATCAAGACGCGTCAAAGTGCAGCCTCGCGTTTGACGCGTCGCGGACGAGGCCCAGCTTGCTCACTCACCAAGGCCGAGAACGAAGCAATCGGGATCCGAGAGGGCAGACTAGGTATAGGAGCTTTTGACATGATAAGTCACAGGCAGTGAAAGCCAGGGACGAAGTCGGCTTCGTGCAGGCACACATCTGCACAGGCGTGCTGCCCAGTCAATGCCCTGGACAACTGGTTTGTGAATTGGTCCATCAGATGTAATTAGAAGACATTCCTCTCCTTGAGCAAGATAAGAAAGACATGACTTCAGCAAGCAGAAGCACAAGCTTGGTCACCTATGATAGTTGTCCTCTCCACGCAAGATCTAGCCAAAGCACCTGCAATTGCCTGACAGGAGGCTGCCACCACTCTTAGACAACCAGTCCCCTGACTGATGCAAGCCAGAATGCGAATATCCTTGAGCCTGGCAAAGGATGGCAAGCTTATACACTGCAGGAAGGACCAATCAAGCACCCAAGTCTGCAAGGCAGGCAGCTTGTAGTGCGTTCTCAGAGGCCTGTCTCACTAGCAAGTTGCTGCAAGCCTGGTGCAGCAAGCAGCCTTGTAGAAGGGCACCACAGGTAATTACTGAGAGATCTGCAGCCAAAATGGCAAGGTCAAGGACAGTTGTGAGTAGTATAATTGTGCAGCCGCATTTTAGTCACAGAATGACCAGCAAGGCAGTGACAGGCCCACTGTCAAGCTGCTGTTGCTGAGCAAGAATCCTGGCTGACAACGCATATTGAGCGATGGACACTGCTGCATGCTCAAGAGCGCTGGGTATTGTTGAACTTTACAATGTCAGCTCAATCCTGACAGTCCAGCCAAGCCGCTGAAAGGTTGGAGAAGTTAGATGCTCAACAGCCTTCTAGGGCGCAGAATGAGCTAGGCTCAAGTCAGCACCCTGACCCCTGATGTGTAAACAGAGGAGGAGCAAGGCGTAATGCTTTGACTGTCAGCTGTTGAGAGGCGTTCAAGAGGCAGCAGGTGTTCATTCACCACTGCATCTAAGCATGGCTTGACTGCCCTTTTGTGCCATTGCCAGCAAGTAAGTCCTGTATGGCGACCGCTGCTCAAGCCTCAAGCCCAATTCAGACTGTTGCAATGGGAACCAAGCAAGGTTTGGCATTGCTCTGGAATGCGCTCACGTATTTGTTGAGTTGCACAGGTCCAGCTAGCCACATGAAAGGGCATCTCCCAGCTGATCCTTTCTTGTTCCTGTTCCATCATCTCTTCCTTTGTCCCTCAGCTCTCACCCAGATAGGCTCCCAACAAAGAACGGCAACACATCTCGCCGCAAAAATGCCTCGTCACGGAAAGACCCGCACTCAGCAAATGTGGGCTTGCATCAACAAAGACGGCTGCAAGAAGATGTCCCTCAGCTCTCACCCAGATAGGCTGCTCCCAACCAACGACCACACATCTCAACCACGCAAAATCCATCATGGCTTGCGGTAAGACTCGCAACCAGCAAATGTGGGCTAGCGCCAACGCGCACCGCCACGAGAAGACTTTGCACAAGCCCAGCAAAGTGTATTGCGAGGCTTCTCCCGCTCCCGTACACAACCGCAGTGAGGTGAGTCTCAAGTATGGACGCGCACGATCGGGCGGCTCGATCAGCGCTGAGATCACTCACTATTTGCTTTCCCAGATCCAACCTACCATAATTACCGTGCCTGAAGAGCCAAAGCTCTTCAAGCTCAAGTGCAAAGTCAAAATTGCTGAAGAGGAGGTTGTGCAAGCGAAGAAAAAGTGGCAATACGCAAAAGCGGCCTGCTTCTTGCCAGGCATTAGTGGGGATTATGAGCGCACGTTCAAGCGCAGGGAAATTGAGCTTGGCACCTGCCTGAAAAATGCGGAGGCCAACCTTGGCCGGCTCAAAGCTTTGGTGCGCCGTCGCAAGGCTTTCTTGAAGCGCGGTGAGTTTGAGTAGCACATTCACGTTTTGGCCAGCAGCTCATGCGCGCTCTCTTTGTAGCTTCTCCTACTGCGTAAGTTACATCGCAAACCACTGCGCGCGCGCTTCTCTCGCATGCGCACGGCAGTCTTTGGCGCGGACTTCAGAGCCTCTACCATCCTGGGCACCTGGCCTTGCTCATCCACACATGCCAGGATGTGTACATCCTTGAGCCTGGCAAAAGATGGCAAGCTGATACACTGCAGAAAGGACCAATCGAGCACCAGAGTCTGCAAGGCTGGCAGCTCAAGGAGTGGCATTGCTCCAATGGCCTCATTTGACAATGTGGGCACTGAAAAGGAGCTGTCAGAGTTGTCGGCAACTCTGAGGACCAAAACGTGCAGATTCTTGAAGCCAAGTCTCCGGGCGCTGGTCCTTCGGAGGAGATCCATTGTGTAGAGAAAAGCGGCTTCATGAACAGGACACTCAGCGCACCAGCGCCGCTGGCCAATGGTTGCAAGACTTGCCAGAGATGCTCCACGTGTCTTGCGCTCTCTGCTCTCACGCACATGTTGAGCAGGCACTTGCTGATGTCATGGCTGACGACAAGTGCCAACCAGTGAGCTTGGCATCTGCCTGGAAGACGCGGAGGCCAACCTTGGCCGGCTCAAAGCTTTGGTGCGCCATTGCAAGGCTTTCTTGAAGCGTAGTGAGCTTGAGTAGCACATTCACATTTTGGCCAGCAGCTCATGCGCGCTCTCTTTGTAGCTTCTCCTACTGCGTAAATCACATCGCGAACCACTGCGCGCGCGCGCTTCTCTCGCATGCGCACACACAAACACACACACACACACACACACACACACAAGCACGCACACAAGCACAAGCACAAGCACACGAACACACGCGCACACACACATACGTAGAGAGCACAACTGACGCTTTGGAATGCAATTCCCCCTTCCCCTTAGAAAACGTGATTCTGATATTCTGAATGTTGTGCGCCGCGCTTCAGTTTCCGTGATTGCTCGCTATGTAGGTGTGCGTGTGAATCACACCAATGCTACATCGTTCCTTCTTTCATCGCTCAGACTGTCACCGCAACACTTCAGTCCCCCTCTATCTCTCTCTATCCGTGTTCCTATACTTCCGCACTGCTCTCATCGAGTGATCGGCTGAGGGGCGACTCGGGGTCAAGGGGCGACTCGGGGTCAAGATATGCGCCCTCACCGTCACAATACCGCTAGCGTCGTAACAGACGCCTTGGTATGCCTGCACTCCCTTTATTGAGACGCCGATGGGGACGTCTCGGCATTTGCACAAGAGGCCAAGTAGCACAGCCGCACACGCATCTCGGCTGCTCTCTTCAGGATTTCCTCTCGGAAGTTGGTCAGCCTGAAGACCTCAAGCAGCGCAAGTCTGCGTGGGAAAGCCTCTTTTACGCGCTGAAGGGTAAATTGATGCCCACTGCTCCTGCAACGGTGAGTCGGAGACAGCGCACGCGGGATCGAGATGAGTTGGCATTCACGAGGAGGCCAATCGGCCTACGCACCGCAATAAAAGGGATAGGGACAAGCTGTTCGGCTCTGAATATGCAATGCGATAGCCTGAGAAAAGATGGAGCTGATAGTAGGCAGAAGCCATCGGCTCAGATCAAGACTCGTGGAAGACTCGACCGTCTCGACTCCAAGACATCGCGATCCGAGCCGAGCGTTTCTCACGACTGAGACTTCGAAGAGGGGTAGAAAAGCAGCAGATGGTACCTCGGCCCAGGAGAACGGCGGAAGTATGCAGGGTACCCCTTCAATCTGGATGGACGTGATCGGCAGCTTCTACCTCGTGCTCGTCCTTGACAAGTCCGGCTAACGCTGTATTTTGAGCTAAGGGCTGGAGGTCAACAGTGCCAACCTTTCTTGGGCCCAGCAAGACGGTGCAGGCAGATTCATCCGAAAGCGACGGTAGATTCGTCGTGGTGGCTCAGCATCAGTGTGTCGCTGAATCGGGTTTTGATCGAGAGCTGAGATCACGGCCTTGGACCTTTGTGCGATGGAGATAGAGAGCCCGTGTATCTCGCACCATGCCATATAAACGTCACATGCGGCGGCAACGGCATTTGTCGTATGCGAGCCATTCTGGGCAGGTTCGAGCGGGTGTGCCGCGAAGCTCGGGAGTTGCCCTTCACCGAGCCACATCACGTCGTAAACCACCGTCGTGATGAAGAGCGTTTGCGGAATGCCTCAGTCGGCTCATGCGATGGACTGTACGATGTTGCCGCGAAGCTCTTGCGCATCGAAGAAGCCCAAGCGGTAGGATGGGTTACGCCGCAACGAGATCGGTCGACGAACGCTATTCGGCGCATTGGGCGGCTGGACCGGCAAAGAGGCCTCCGTGGTCGATGATCACTCGCTGCCGTAGCCTGACGAAGCAGCAACACGATTCTGGAAGGTCGGCAATTTGCGGGAGCCAGTCGCCGTGTCTTGATCTTCAAAACGAGCTGCGCGTTGCATTGGAGCTTGCTCGGCGGGAGCCGTCGGACCTTTGAGCACTGGCGGAAGGTGAATCGCAAGGTGCTCTTCGCGCCCGCGCAGGGAGCTGAACCCTATCAAGCCAAGCATTGTGCTTGCACTGTCCAGTGGCACTGAAAGCAGAGAAGTGGTGGTAATCCAAGCATGTGCGCTCTTCGAGCACACAGCCGGCGCGGTAGCGGCAACGCGGCAGCATTGTGGTCTTCTTGAAGGGCACCGGCGCGCCTGTGGTTCGCGATCGTGCCAACGACCCTCGTGTTTGTTTTCTTCGGTGGTCGATCTGCCCAGCGATCAGGCTGTGCGATGTATCAACATCCAAAGACCGCAGATTGCGAGAGGCAGGTCATCTTGGTGGCCCTCGTGACCGACTGAGCCTGAGCGCTCATAGTCGATAGGACGAAGCATAGGGACCGGCTGAATTCTTGACTCCTCATGCGAAATCGGTTGAGTACGAGCGGGCTCTGGATAAAGAAGCTGAGGTGGAGCTCTGGACGATCGCAAAGTACGTCTGCTCGTAATTCTCGTAGGGTCGCAGTACACCGGTGTATAAAGCTGCCAGGTCGCGAGGCTGTGATACGCGCAGCATTGAAGGCGAGAAGTGGTAAGCGACTTGCAGCTCTACCAGATTTACAAAGTCACTAAAAAGATGCCCTGCTCTCGTCTCTAGACGCCAACCGGCCCAGGCAGTAGTGCGTCGAGATATGAGCATGCTTGCACCCGATCCGCTCGTAGATGCCATTGGAAACGTAGGCAGGTCTCCGTGTAATCTCTATGCTTTGTAGCTGCTCAAGCTTCACGCCGTCCTCTCTGCGTGCATGCGCGACCTGGCTATGGACCTGGGCATCGAGTGCAATGGATGGATCTGATGTCGCCTCTCGTATGTCCTGACTGCTTCATCCTCCAGCGCCGGCTCTGCCTTGATCTTCGTGCGTGCTGCCACGTTTGCATAAGTCGCACGAGCAGATCTCTGGTCTCGTGATCTGGCTTGCCAAGCGGTTGTGTGATCGATTCGCACTGCTCTCCCACCTCGCCATATACAGCTCGCTCCCAATCGCATGCTTCACTTCCGAGTAGACCCGTCAGCGCTAGGCTGAATCGGGCAACAGACGAAGGAGACGTCTCGTCAGGCGCTTTGCTGTGGAACCTTTCAGATTGCTGCCGCTTTCGTCGCCGTGATGGCGGCATCATTGTACGCATCGATGAGCTTGCATCAGGAACATTGCAGGCTGACCCTGCCGAATGGCAGACATCGAGTTAGCTCGGTGGCTCGATGACCCCGGAGAAGTGCGCAGCGGGTGTTCCATCGAGCTGAGCCTCGCTCCATTCCATCCGTACACTCCGCACTCCTCAGACTCATCGCGTCTGCCCATATCCCGTCCAGCACCTAGCACCTCATACTAGCCAATCCCGACTCACCTAGCGCATTCAGCCTCATCCATAATCCCCTGCCTTCGCGACACTTCTTGAACACCTCCTTCCTCCGTCCAACGTGTGCCTTCGACCAGCGCATTGGTCGCGACATTATCCTGTGTGCCTCCAAGCAAGCTTCCAGCAAGCAATGGCTGCTGTGATCGCTTAGACTCGTCAATAAGCTCCGCGATTCTTCAACGTTTCCATCTTTGCCCAAGCGCTTTCCGGATTGGTGCAGTATGGCGTCGATCGGTCTGAGGTCGAACAGCCCCTGAGATAAAAAACGGATGGACTGCGGTGGCTTGGCTGCAGCGATAGCGCAGAGCAGCGTACGCTAATGAGATTGAAGCGGCAAGTCGAGTCGGTCGCGCTCGGATGCAGAGTGTATAGATGCAGTAGAAAGGCAACGAAGGCACAAGGGCGCCGCGCAATGTTTCAGTAGGAAGGCAGAGGACAGTTCGGCAGCGTGCCGATAGGGCGATCTGAAACACTGATCAATGACCTCCCGGGGGCAATTTTGAGCATCTTGACATGCGGGGAGCGTCCATGACCTCCTTCGGTACAGTCAGGGCCGCTCACCCGCGTCGAAAGAGCTGACAGCAAGCTCTTGCTGAATGACGCACGTTGGATGCAATCCAGATTGGCGGTACAGGACCAGAAGCATCCTCGATTCGAATTCCCGCCTCACAGCAGACCTTATCGTGGTGCGAGCCGTCGTTGGAGATGGAGAGGGATGGTGAGCTGGCCAGCCTCGTGCATTCGCCAGAGAGCGTGTCGAGATGGTGGGTCGAAGGTGAAAGTGCAGCATGCGCGGTGAAGATTTGATCCGTGCATCATGCGCTTGTCAAGCCTCAGTAAGCGGGGCAGTCCGCGTCGATTCGAGAATGTTCCGAGGGCGGGCTTGAAATGAAGTCCGCAAATCGCTGGCTTCTCAAGCTGCGACAGATCCCTGACGGCCCTAACCCTAAGTCGTTTGCATCTTCTTCGATAAGGCAAGCCTGGTGCAGTGTAGGCTTGGACCGATGCTTCTTCGGAGAACGTGCAGGCAAGATGCACGTGCTCCAGCGACGAGCGCTCAGCAACGATCGGCTAGGCCCGCCGCATGCAGCATGTACCTGCAAAGGCTCACGGGATTCAGAGGCCAGCAGGGTGGAGCAACCAGCATGGCTCGGCGCTCTTGTTCTGCTGCAGGCTCACTGCAAGGCAATCGGCGCCAGCATCGGAGCTCCGACTTGCACCAGCAGCAACTGCAGAGGGCAGGTTCGAGATTTGGACGTAGGCGCTGGGGCCCGAGGGCAGCTCCGAAATTTGGATGTGGGCACTGCGGCCCGAGGAGGTCAGGTTCGAGGTTTGCATGTGGGCACTTTGGCCAGAGCAAGAATGACGAGTCTTGCAGAGCTCCGGTGGCTGCGACGTACTGCCCAGTCGAGCGGGCAAAGGTCGCTTGCAAGCGCAGTGGATCTGACCGTCAGCTGAAGTGCCCGTGTCTAGCGTTATCAAGAGTCGGAGAGAGTGCAGGGCTGCATTGCTGCGGACGAAGGAGATCGAGGGCTGCTGGGGACTCGAGTCGGTGGTTCGGCCATCAGAGGATAGCACCAGATGCGTGGCGCGTCGGTCCGTGATTGTTCGTGAGCCATTCGGTGTGCGTCTCCACCATCCTCGTGTACTTGACGTCGATACTGCAAATCTTCCAGATGATCACGCAGAACAGACACTGATATCCAAGTCGAGAGCGATCTGACCGCCGCGACCTCGAGGGCTTTCGGCCGTGGATCAGTTGAGAACCGCAAGGCAAGAACCGTGCTCGTATCCATTTGACGTTCCGTTACCGTATGGGCTCGTGAGGTGGCGAACAAGTCTTGAACGGTCGCTACTCTGGCTAGACTCCATCACAAGGCTCGGCAGACCCATGCACTTTTTCTTGCTGGCGTATTATTCTGTGTCGTCCCTACAGCTGGAATCTGCGGACCCACGGAGGAGTGCGACGTTGCGCAAGCAGGGTGAAAGATCGAGCTCTGCAGCTATATCTTTATCAAGGAAGCGCTACTTACTCAATACTCGGCAGCGTGGCCACATTCAGCTTGCATCGCCCGAACATTCCTCGGTACCGTTTTTGCACAGCAGAATTGACGAGCCGGCGAATGAGTGGCTTGAAGAGGCTGCTTCCGTCTTGAGGCTAGAGGTAGAAGCAAGTGATGTAACTTCAGCGCGACACGCGGTGGGTGGAACCGGCAGCATGAGACCTGATTCGAGCTCCGAGCACGCCTTCTATTCTTCTCCGCATCATCCAGAACCGGGACCGGAAGGCACAAGCTGCTCTGTTTAGGGCGAGTGCTGATCTCGAAAAACTCCGGGACGCTGAGCTCACTTGTCTCGCCACTGCATTGTTGATCATGCACTCGACTTGGTGATCTTTGTGGCGAGCTTCTCCAAGCGACCGACTTCGGCAGAGAGAATACTTATGACTGTCGTAACCTGCTAGGTTTGGAGCCCTTCTACGAAGGCGGTACCTTGAGAAGCGAGGGTGTGACGCGGGTACAGCCGGCTGTCGTCTAGCAAGCCGATTCAAGCTATCCATGAGCATTGAGCATACTCATGCGAGGTTTAAGAGCAGCAGATACCGCTGCTTGGCAGAGCGCCGAGCGCTGATAATTCGATGCGTGGGGCAACACCACTCCCCGAGCAGAAGGCTGCGGACCCTTCCGACATGACTTCGGTGGTCTAAGGTATCGCGAAGCAGGATGAAGGAGCAAGTGTCAGCAGCAGCTCACGACTAGTGTACGCTCGGTCGTTGCCACCCGACCTGCCCTCGACAGCCATCGCCATGTCCCTGACGCATGCAAGCGCAACTCACGTCTGTGCGTAGCAGACTCACTCGTCGCTTCCCGCCCATCTAGCTCTCGTCTCCTTGTCTGCTTTGACCGCTCATGAGAATGACTGTCCTCCAGCTCCGTCTTGGCCCCCAAGCTTGTACACGAAGACGCCGCTATCCAAGCGCGTGAGAGAGGCAGACCCTTAGCGATGCAGGTCGATCGTATCTGAACTGGGTCCCTTGGCGGCCACACCTTGCCTTTGCCCGACGACCACCAGTATTAGATGATGTGATTGGTGTGCCAATGTCCGACGCTCGACCCGCGAGTAGAAGGCTGTGCTTCAAAGGTCGCTGTGGGCATGCTTTAGAGCTTCGCAGGAGGATCGAGGCTGGGGGCAGACTCGGCACTCGGCTTCTTGAGCAGCTGTATGCGTCATGTTTGCTCTCGCTCGAGATGATTTGGTACCATTTCCGAAAGATGAGTAGTCTAGACCAGCCCACCATCTCCACTTAGAGATGTCGAGCTGTGGGATCATATGTCGCTCTTGAGGCACGGATCTGAAGTGATCTATGCGGCTGACAGAGTCGTCGGATAGCCGGTATCATATCCACCCTGTCTTGCCCTCTCGCGTAACTCTTAGCTGAAGGTTGACCTTTAGCTTTGCGAGAAGCTGGCCGGACAGAGGGTGCCTGCGTGAGCGCAACTCAAGTCAGCGGGCAGTGGGACCCTTCGAGTGTTGAGCGAGCACCAGTCCCGCCACTTCTGCAAAGCCAGGCTCACCTTGCGCTCGTTGCTGCCTCCTCCAGCTCCTCTCTCGATGAATACCCTTAGCCGTGAAGAGACCTAGCGTGCAAGCTGAGCCGGCCTGTCACTTGACCTTTCGTTGCCTACGATGTGCCGCGGAACCCGGCAGAAGGGTGGGAGAGACGATCGCTCGCACGTCCGACGCGGTCTTTGAGACGACCGGCGTCAGTTCATGAAGGTACCAGCGCCGCTTCCGCCAGACAAGGTCACCAGGACACGCTTCGGTAAATGGCTGAGATAGTCGTGCTGCTCGATGCTGGTGCTTGCGTGCGTGGTGGGTTGGGTGGTGGAGCTGTCTGACTTGGGGAATTGGTACCTATGGCTGCAGAGTGAGCAAGGGTCGGATGTGAACGAGATGTATAGCAGATAGGGACCTTCGACGAGAACACAGGTATAGTGAGCTACATAGCAGCAGGGAAGAGAGAGACTGAGGCGGACAAGGCTGGTGACTCCATTACCGGAAGGGCTCAGTGCAAGCGATAGGCGTCGATGGGCCAGAGCGATGCCTCAGTCGGTGCAAGCTGGGCATTTAGGTGACAGCAGTGGGTGGCGGAGTGACGAGGACGCACTCAAACGAGCATATGAGGGTGCGAGAACACAATGACTGCTCGGGGGTGTGTAGAGTGGGATGAGTGATGAGAGAAGATGAGAAGGACGAGTGTGTGTCTGTAAGCCACCTTGCGCAGTGATTGCGACCCTCCTTGTCAGAAGAGACAGGGAACGCGTGGCGTGCGCGCGAAGTGAAACATCAACACCATCCCGAGAAGCGCCGCGGGCTGTACGCGCACCAGATTCATACGCACTGCATGATGGTTCTGGTTTCACTTATTCCGCAGGCTTCACGACTCGGCACAGTCACAATACAAGCGCGATCACAATTCAAGTGCGAATCTGGAACGAGTGGCGAACTCAGGTCGCACTGCGTGTCACCAGCGTGCGTATCACAAGCAAGAGCGGAAGGGGTAAGGAGATGTATATTTTTTGGGTTTTGTATGTAGTGGTGTCTGTGTCTAGGAACAGCTCGCAGAAGAGCTTCCCGATAAGTCGTGCGCGTGAGTACGCGCCGATGGAGAGAGGAGAGGTTTGAAAAGGATATTGATACAGGACGTGCTATGCGCAAGAGCGCCCGATCCCACCAAGTCCCCGGATGACCTTGCTGTGTTGGCTGAGCGAAGGACAAGCGGCGACATGGAGTGTGAGCAGAAGCGAATGCCTTGGGTGGAGCTTGTGGCGATTCGCACTCACAGTTCCCTTCCCCATCTCTCCAGCTCACGCGCTCCCCCCACTGGTGCCAGCGACCCCGCTTCCGCCGCCAGCTCCTCCGACTTGGCTGCCCCCACTGGGGCCAGCACCCCCGCTTCCGCTTTGAGCACCCCCGACGTTCCCGCGCAAGCGCGCCAGGCGAGCATCCAGGATACGCTTTTCCTCCAGTCGTTGGGCGCGCTCCTCTGGCGACGCTGGACGGGAGAATTCCGCCATGTCGCGCCTGTGTTGCGCGTATGTAATCTTTGAGCATGGTGAGGTAGAAGCGAAGTGGAGTCAGACAGATTCTACCAAGTACGTGACTTTGACTGTCGAGCTGACCCCGCTGATCTGACCTGCCCTCTCCCATTCTGCTGCCATTCAATGGAGCTCTGGGCAGCCACACTGAGCTTGCCAAAGTTCTTCCAATCTACTCACGGTATCAGGCAAGGGCCCGTTGGCGTTCACGTCCATGATTGGATTGCGATCAAAGATACGATGAAGGAGAGCGGGAATGTCCCCGCGGCGGCTACGAATGAGCTCTCGCTGCTGGCTTTCGGCAGTTGACATTCCGATTGTTATTGTAGTTCCAGAAAGGAAGATTGAAGACGATGGATTTTTGACACTTTTTGAGTTGTGTAGTGCAAACTTGTCGTGGAAGACTTGTGAAGAGGACGAATCACGAATCTCGTTAGGGGAGATGTAGAACAGCCAACTTTGACTCACGACTTGCGTGGGCGATCAAGCTCAGCAGATCGAACAGCTTGAGGCCAGCAAGCTTGTGCCAGACTCGAGGCACCTCCACACTCTTGACACTTATTGACTCGACACTTCATGAGCAAGAATGACACACAGCCTCGCGCACCTTTCCAACCAATTAACACGCACACGCGCGCTCGAGCAACCGGCCGCGGTGGCCTGAGCGCGCGCATCAGCGCGGCGCGCGCGACGTCACGTGGTCAGCCCTACTCAACTACCGCGGTACCGTGCGGCAGACTTTACTCAGAGACGCGTGCATACGATTTTCGGAGGTGCGCTCGGTCACGTGCACGCGTCTTTGGTGGGGCCGCGCGAAACTCCATGCGAGGCCGACCTCTACAAGGACCTTGAACAACAGCATGCCCGTGCAGCAACTAGCGTGGAGGTGGAGCAGCGGCCGAGAGCAAAGGGGTCAAGTGAGGTGCTGTGTAATCAGCAAATGCCCTGGTGCCTGGAGGCATTGCGCAGCGAATGGGGTTTGGCATGCCTTAAGCGTGATCATCGGGGCACACAAGGGCGAGAGCCTTGCACAGCTGCTAGCTGTCCATTCACGATTGCGTGTGGTGTCAAGACGCGTCCGGCAACGCGCTCCGACACGGGCGCCTACCAGAACGTTCCGCCGCCGCTGCCAGCATTCCCTGCCGCCGCCAAGCTTTGCCGCCATGTACTTCTTCCCATTGGGCAACCTCACACTTCCCTGAGGTCTCCTGTTGCAGACATCGTCTTATTCTGTTCTGTCTGCTAGCCTGAGTTGAGAGCCCCTCTCCCCAGCCTAGACATCTAGATCAATAGGTCAGTACTGCATACCACCGTATCCCTATTGCGTTACTGTACCCCCCAAGCATAGCCAACACCATGTGACCCTTGCAGTCAAGCATCTCCTCAGGTCTTGTGACCTGCTGGTGAACACAGGGTTGGAAGGGTATTGTGTGTGGAGCTATCAACGTGCTACAAGAAGCTAGCAGTCAGAGCCAGTTTCAGAAGCCCTGCAGATCATACAATCCATGCAGAGACATGCTGTCAGTCACCTGGACAATTGAGATCACAGTCAGTAGCTTGTCGATGAGACCCACAGAGGACCTCAGGCTAGGTGCTTCCTCATTCTCCTCATCAGTTCAACCCTCCTTCTGGTCCAGGAGGCGGTCCGCCTCCATCAAGCGGTCCGAGGGCTGATCAAAGCAGAGATGAATGGTCAGTCAAAGAGACGACTGGGCTCGATCAGACTCACAGCTTTCATTAGCTTGTAAGCCAATTCCTTGATTCTCTGCTCCTTCTTGGCCTCCTGGAGGCGTTCCTTGCGGAGGAGCGCCTCAAAGATGACCTCCCGCTCGGCAGCGTCTCTGGCCTTTGGGACTGTGTCTGGGTCAAACTTCTTGCGAACATCGTTGCGGTTGTGTGCAGAGAAAGAAGAGAGCGTGTCAGAGTCACATTTCGTTCGAGCTTGATGGTCACGCACGCGCACGTGCACAATTCCACACGGCCATAGCACATCCTACATACGTCCTACATTGTGGAGCTATACTGCAACTACCGTCGTCTCTACAACCAATGCGCTCAAGCTTGACTTGACTCACTTCAGGGCAAGCTTGCTCGTCGCGCTCCACGATGATAGCGGCCATGCGGAGTATCATTGCGGGCGGAGCTTGCTGGCTAGGGTTTGGCTGGCTCATGTTGATTTTGGTGGCGCTTTGATGTAAGAAAAGGGGGATGAGTGTCGCGCAAATCGAGCAAAGGGCTGATTCCAGCAGAGGAGTTGTGGGACGACTCACTTTGGGGCAAGCTTTCTTGCTGCGCTCAACAATGATAGCCGCAAGATGCAGCATGATACCCAGGGGGGCTCTCTGACTTGGAGAGGGGTCGCTCATGTTGATGTCGGTTGGGCTTTGATGTTGAGAAGAGGGTACAAGTGTCGCGCAATCCGAGCAAAGGGCTGGAATCAGCAGGGAGTTGTGGGACGACTCACTTCAGGGTTAGCTATCTCGTCGCGCTCGATGATGATGGCGGCCATACGCAGCATGATTGCTGGAGGAGCTCTCTGGCTTGGGGAGGGGTTGCTCATGTTGATGTTGTGTGGGCTTTGATGTTGAAAGGAGGGTACAAGTGTTGCGCAATCCGAGCAAAGGGCTGATATCAGCAGAGGAATTGTGGGACATGATAGTCCAGAAGGCAAGAACAAAAAGGGTTTTGAGGTCGCGCAAAGTCTCAATGAAGCTTCCTTGCTTGCCTCAGCTATTCCTTGAAGAGGCTTGTTGTGAAGCTCCAGCCAGGCAAGGAGGTGCATAGGTAGCAGTCCCTTCAAGCGGAGTGCCCAAGTGCGGCATGGAGGCACTTTGTGGAGGCGTTCCTTGCATGTTTGCTAGTGATGGCAGTGCCAGCAGCTCAGCCTGCTGCAAAGTAGCAGCCTACAGAGGATGGCCAAGCACAGATGTGCAAGGAGTGCAGCACACTCAGGGACTCACAGGAGACTTGGTGCATGCCTTTTGTGCATTGAAAGTAGTTGTTTGCATTTCAAGAGCTGCTCTCTGCTCCAACTTCTGAACATTGAGCTTTGACTGCATCGTGAGGAAACAAGGTCTTTGGCGCCCTGTCATACGTCCTCCAGCGTGGCAGCCTCCTCAAGGCACTCCTCTTCCAAGAGCTCCTCGAAAAGATCATAGTGGTGCCTACTGCTGTATGAATGACCAGACAAATGTGATGGGAGCAAGCATTGGAGTTGTGCTTGAAGAACCTAGCAGTCAAGCCCAGCAGCCCTTCAGATTGCATGGATGGGGCACGTAGTCTTGCAGGCAGCCAGGCTGGCAGCGGTCTTGTACGGGCCGCAACTCAGCTGCTTCCTATTGGTTGCTTGCAACCAGCGGCTGAACCTCTTCTATCTCTCCAATTTTGTTTTTGATACTCCTTCCATATCAACCTTCAAACTCATCTCTCAAAAGGTCATTGGTCAAGATACCCAACGCCTTTGACCCAACCGAGGCCTTGAGGCAGAACTCTCTGGAGATGTAAGAGCTGCGCACTCTAGCAAGCATTCCACCCGCCCTAAGATCTCCTAGCAAGTCTAATCGCATTTGTGAAATCACTGATCATGTCATCACCCGTTCCCAAGGCTCTTTGACAGCGATCACAGCGTTGCGCACGTCAAGGCAGGCGCTGCAGACCAATAGCAAGACAAGCGCAGACGCCATGAGCAAAGTGGTGAGTGGTTTCTACAATTGTCGCAATGCTGTTGTTCTGGACACTGAGTCTGGCCTTGCAGGGGCCTCCAATGCTGGAGGCCGCGCGTGTTCTGTGCGCTCCAAACCTCCCAATAGATGCAAATGCCCTTCGTCATCCGGCAAACATCAAAGGCCTGGCAATGAAGCTGCGTGTGAGTCAGTCTGCTTGAAACAAAGGCCACACCATCTGCTGACACGGTCTTTCTTACGCCAGGCCGCTGCTTTGAACGCGCAGGGAGATCGCCTCTTTCAAGCCCAACAAAGCTGGTGCTACGTTGAGAGGGCGGAAGCGACGACTCAAACTGATGACATGGCCCCAAGGGCAGAAGAAGCAGACAGCATCAAGAATGAGAACGGCAATCTTAGGCCTCCTCAAGACGTGAGCTTGGACAAAGAGGAGGTAACATTCCTTCATCTCAAGCCCGGAAGGGCCTGCGTCAAAATCGCGTGTGGGGGATACGACGCAACAGGAGCGACTGCATTGGGCACCACCTCCACGAGAAGGGTCGCCACCAAAAGCCACCTTCTTGGATCGCCTTCCAACAAGCGTGCTGTTGCTGTGAGCACTGGGACCTCAACACCTCAAATGCCCCAAGGACTTGCACTAGGAGAGGGTCCAAAGCAGGACATGCCTTTTGGTCCTTCTCCATGATGAGTTCTGCAAGATGGAGCATGACAGGAGGCACAAGTTCCCTCTTTGGACAGTTGAGATTGCAATTGTTGTTCATTCTTGATGCACTTTGAGTAAGTAAAGTAAGGTTCAGATGTTGGAAGGGAAAATGGAGGTGTGCATAAGACAGAGAGAATGTGGTAGTCAAGAACCCAAGGACAAAAGAGGTTCCAAGGTTGCACAAACTTTAACAAAGCCCCTTTGATTGCAAAAGCTGTTTCCCCAAGAATCTTGTTGGGAAGTGTCTTCCAGGGGGGCATGTAAAGAGCTGTGTGGATAGCAGTTACTCTGAGCCAAGTCCCCAAGTGTGGCATGGAGACAAGCTCTGAAATGCCAGCTGATAGCAGTCCTGCAAGCAGGAGCAGTTCAGCCTGCTGCAAAGTAGCAACTCGCAAAGCATGGCAAACCCTATACATGCAAGAGATGCAGCACACTCAGGGATTCCCAACAGGCTTGATGCATGCCCTTTTAGCATTCAAAGTACTTGTACAGAGCAGCTCTCTGCTGATCAGTCAGAGCAGCTAAGCCTCCAGTGAGCGAACGCATGTCTTCAACAAGGATGAATGGACTTACCTCAGCAACCAGAGACTGCTGCTCGACAACATCAAAAGGCAGGAAGACCATGCTTTGCAGTCTGGCAAGCTGGGCTTCAACCTCTTTGTTGTTGATCAATACCTTGCAGCCAAGGTTGAACATGATGCAAGGATGATTGCAGCTGAGATTGAGTGGGCAGAAGAAAGACAGCATGGCCTTGCGACAAGAGGGAATTTGGAATGTCATGATCAAAGCATGACCTGCATTGAGAGAACAGAATACCTTCTGCAAATGCACAAAGCAGCACGCAGCACCGAACCATACGCCATGCATCTGCTTTCACGCAAATTCTCCTGCGCTTCCGTGGTCTCCGCGGACGCGCGCCCTGACGCGCGGAGCGGGCAAAAATTCAGGAAAGTCGCATGCATGCGCACGCGTGTGCTCTGCGCGTTTGCTTGGGGGTGTGACTCGCGACTCACACTGCTGCAACGAATCTTTTTCTTCTCCTTCGCAGACTACATCACCCCAACGAAATCCACTCGCTCACAACATCAAACAGATTTGCCTGAGCGTCACACTACACTGATTCACTGAGTACTTAGCAGTGCTCATTCTGGCGCATACATCCCTATCAATTACATCCTCGATCGACCCGCACACAAACCAAGGGCACCCTTTGACCTCTGCACACGGCGGGTCGTCTGAGCCCTCTTTCACTTTCCCAGCTGCGCTGCCAATGTCCGACGCTACCATTACCTATCCGCCACAGTCAGTAGACGCTGCCTCGTATCAGCCGAGTCCATCAGCGGCGGATCGATCTACACTGGACGGCACCTCGGAGCGCGAAGGGGAGGGCATACTTGGTGCGAACGATGGTGAGGGACAGGGAATTGAGCTGGCACCGGTGGATGGCGGAGTGCAGGCATGGACTTTTGTAGCTGCTGGTGCAATGTACGAGATGATAGCGTGGTGAGTGACTAGAATGAACGGTGTGCGCTTGCAAACGCAGCACAGCGGGGTACTATTGCCGCTCGAGCGAATCGGTGGAACTGACACCTATCGCTTGCACAGGGGCCAGTCGTACTCGTACGGAATCTTTGAGAATTACCACAAGAATGACATCAGATCTCCGCTATATGGAAAGGCCAGTCCAGCAGCCACATCAGCGATCGGTACGCTGGTCATTGCCGGTCTCCACTTTGCTCCCTTCCTGCTCAGAGGCACCTTTCGCACGTACCCTCACCTGGTCAAGACATCTGCCATAGTCGCGACAGTGCTGAGCGCTGCTTCGCTGCTGGTCGCTAGCTTCGTGCCGTCGAACGTAGGAGCGCTTCTATTCCTGCAGGGCATCTTCTATGGTCTCACCGGAGGAGTTGGTTTTGCCCTGGTCGTCCTTTGGATTCCGCAGTGGTTCGACGAGCGAATGGGCACAGCAAACGGCATCATCTTCTCCGGCTCCGGTCTAGGTGGCACCATCTTTCCGCTCGTTCTGAACAAGCTGCTGCAACGTGTCGGCTTTGCGTGGACCCTACGCGTCATGTCGCTCTACTCGCTCATACTCGCTGGTGGCTCTATCCTCTTGCTCAAACCTCGTCTGCCAGTCCGTCGTCCAACCGCGCTGCCGCGCAACCCGCTGCGAAGACTGGCTCCCGAAGGAGTAAAAGAGCTCTGGTCTCCTCTTGCTCTGGCACAAGAAGCAGCCGTCATCTTTCAGACCGTCGCCTGGTGCACAATCAGTCTCTACATCTCTTCCTACACCACTTCTCTCGGCTTTTCCACCACCACCGCAACCGGCGTCCTATCAGCTTTCAACGCGGCAGCAACTGTGGGGTTCTTCCTCGTAGGTCGACTCGTGGACGGTAGCTCGCACACGGTACTGATGGCGATTTCGACGCTCGTCTGCTCGGTGCTTGCCTTCGTCTTTCTAGGCTTCACTAGATCGCTTCCGCTTCTCATAGTATTCGCTCTCCTGTTCGGGACTGCCGGTGGAGGGTTCACGACCTTTTTGGGCCCCATCAGCAAGACTGTCGCTCTTCGCGGTAATCAAGAAATCGCCGCCATTCACTCGGCTACGATATTCATCAGAGGCGTAGCAGCGGTACTAGGGCCTCTCCTTGGCTCGACCCTCTACAACGAGCACTCCTCCACCTTTGCAGTCTATGGGACAAACGGTTTTAGAGGCGTCGTGCTGTATGTGGGCAGCAGCATGACTTTGGCAGGTGGTTGCTCGATAGCAGCCAATTGGCTGGGTAAACGCGCGACATCACCATCATCGTAGGGCACGCCTTCGAATTCATGCTAGGACGTCAACCGTGTATTCGCGATGCTACGAATACATCCATCGGATCTTTATGGTGAAAGGACGGGTTGCTCGGGAAACTCGGGCTATCAAGCATCTTCGCGTATGCGCAGGCCCCAGGCTTTCGTAAAGACCCTTGCGAGTGGTGCATCTAGCACCTTGGCATTTGCGAGGTATTTGCTGGCTTCTCCAACCTCGTAGCGGACGGCCTGGCACGCAGAAGCGCGTTCTTTGTAGAAATCGAGAAGGGCAAGCGCAGGTACGTCGGCTGTGAGCTTCATGTACTCTTTGTCGTCCTTGGCGGAAGATTGAAGCTGATTCAGCATGTCCAGCCACTCCAACAGTGGTACGATTCGGGGCTGAGGGTGCATTACGTCGGCAAAGATCTGGCTAGCCGAGGCAACAACCTTCGGGTGGACCAGATTCACAACATTCGTCGAGCTCTGCGGCGTTGCAGCCAGCGGTCGCCGATCATAACCGATGCTAAGCCCGACAATCGACCTGGCTGCATCATTGTCTGGAGAAGAGCGCGACATTTTCAGCTGCCCTTCGTTGCCGGCCAATGCAAAGGTCGTCCAACTCACGAGTGATCCAGTCGATAATTCCAAGCCCAGAATCCTCCGGAAGGCACCCGAGCTTGCCAGCCGACCGCACGATGCTTGGCCACCATTCGCTCTCATTCCATTGGCAAGTCTTTTCGTCTCCCATCAGTTGTCCGCAGCGTATCGAGAATCCTTCAAACCAAGGATTTGCCTTGACAGCCGAAGAAACGAGACGCTCTCCCACCTGCTTGCTCGCCTGCAGGAGAATTGGAAGAGAGCATCAGCATGGGCGCGATGCTTCAACCGCGCGCTCGAACACTCACCCCATATCCGCCCAGCGCCCACTCCAGCTCGACCTGCTTATTCTCCCCGATGACTCGAGTCTGGCAATGGCGAGACGTATCCGATGCAGCCTGTGTTTGCATGCCCGCTGCAATGGAAGAAATGAAGACGAATCTGGCTCGCAGCGCCATGCTCAATTGCAAAAGATTTCGAACACCTGCGATGCTACTTTCGAAGGATTTGAGGGGCAAATCGAAGCGTACTGGCCAGGCCGAGTGAATGATCAGGTCGGGACGCTGGAATGGGAATGAATGGGCGGAGCTATCAGCGTCAGGGCGCACGCGCTGGTATCGAGTCGGTCCTCACCTCCGGAAGCGCATCCACCGATAGATCGTCTGCGGTACCTTCCACACAAATGAGCTTAGCACTGTGCGCGAGCGTCTCGTCAATCCCGCGGCTCTTGAGCACGGCTGCTTGACGCTGCACGCCGCCAGTGCCTCGAGTCGGACGATTGAGGCATATGATCTTGGCCACATTGGGAAGATTCTCGAGTTGTTGGAGCAAGGCGCACCCGAGAGCGCCCGTCGTTCCCGTGACGAGGACACACTGGCCGCCCTTGAAATCCTGCAAGAAGGGCTTGGAGATGTGAAGAGGTGCGAGGGACCCATACTTCTCCAGGAGCGCTTGCATCTCGTTGGTCTGGTGCTTGGTCGAGAGCTGCTCGGAATGGTCCGCCGAGCGTGCGTGGTGCACAAATTTGTACAGAGCATCCTGCAAGCCGGACAAGTCGAGTCAGCAGTGATATGTATTGGTCACTCAGGAGGCTGAAGACTCACCGTCATCTCTCGAATGCTGCAATGGTCGAATGGGAATGACTTTGGTAGCTTGCTCGGATCACACGACGTCGGATCCGAGCACCGAACTTTAGCTTCGTGAAGCCCAGACACTAGCCCTCGGTGGATCATCGTGCTTCGAAGCGAGTCGAGTCCGTGCTCGGAGAGTGGAGCTGAGAAATCAAGAGTCTCCAAGTCCAACATGCGCGAGACGGTGAGGTGAACGAATGATTGGAGAGCTTCGCCCGAAAGGTTCGCGGGAGCTGTAAGATTGTCTTCGTCATTCCTGAACTCCGAATACAAGGCTGTGATCTCCTTTTTGTACAATTCTACCGCACGTTTGCGTTGAACTGTGCCTTTCTCCGAGACCGGCAGTGGCTTCGTGCGATCTGTGAGCATCACGCTCGCAGGCTGCACATGGCACGCCGGTAAGCGCAGAGAACGCCGGAAACCGAGCATTCGCATTCACTCACAAAGATCTGCGCATATGCGGGGGCTTTAGCATTGGCTTGCTTGACGATAGGCCACACAGCTTGGCGAAATTCGTCCAACGACTTGTCTCTATAAGCTTGTCGGGGCTCAATTAGTACGCTTGCATGAGAGTAGCCTTCGCCGATGATGACGGCTCGCAGTACCCAAGGATGGCTGCTGAGAGCCATCTCTAAAGGCACTGTCGCTACATTCTCGCCATTTGCCAGGATGACCTGAGTGCAAGGCAGGCGCTTCCGTCAGCGTTGGGCACGATCAGGCTGATGACACAACCCCGAGGCTCACCATATCGCTCTTGCGTCCATGAACGCGGATAGCATTCGGCCATGTGGGATGCTTCTCGATAAGGTCGCCAGTGTGAGTCTTGCCTGGTGCCGTCTCCCTAATAACGCTGCATGCTGTTGTGCTCTTAACGACGAGCTCATACAGCTGCGGACCGGCATCTTCCAGAGGAAACGCATCGAACTCGTAGTCCATGTCTGAGCGCAATACGATCCATCGTCCATCGAGCGCTTCCTGCCCAGGAGGCGGGATGTCATGCGAATGGCCAAGCGATGTCTGTACACAGGTCGCGGCGGCCATATCTGTCAGCTGCGAGGTCCTTATGAAAAGCATACGCAGACCATACTCACAGTTTCGGTCAGACCATACGTGACGAACGAGGTAGCACCCGCTTCAAGCATACGAGAGTAAGTAGCGTCCGACATTGGCGCGCCGCCCCACCACACCGTAAGACCATTGAGGACATCGCGCGTCTTGAGATTGGATGTCAAGTCGTCGACGAGAGAAGGGACCAATATGGCTGCCTTGCAACCAGCACTGCGAATGTGCTCCGCAATCGATTCTGGCGTTGGGACGAAATCTGCTGCTGGTACAGCTGGCTTCAATCCAGCCAAGAGTGCTGCGGGACAGAAAGAACTTGCAAGGGTCAGCTAGAAGGGTAGTCACTATTGCTTGCAGAGCCTGTCACGCACATCCGAGTGGGCCTGCGAGCCAGCCCATGGCCTAGAATCACAGGGTTATGTTAGTGCGATCACCGGTACACCGCAGCATTTCGGGACTCACGTGAAAAAGAGGCAAAGAGTTGAAAATGGCGAGGCCTCTCTTGTCCGAAGTGGTTGCCGCATCGTTGGGATGAGCAATGACCAGACCGTGGTTCAAGATATCCTTGTGGGAGTGCGGGCACAGCTTAGGGGTGCCCGTACTGCCGCTGCTATGCAGAACGATGCAGGTCTTGTGAACCTCGTTGTCGCGACTCTGCTCGTATGAAAAGTGACCAAATTTGATGCTGGCAGCGGTGATACCCTCGAGTGAGGGAAGCTGAAGCGCTTTGCATGAAGACACTTGCTGCACACGCTCGGCGAGTCTTTGGTGCTTGGAAGAATACAACAAGCATTGAGCATTGCTGGACGACAGCAGAGCAATGATCGTCTCCGGAGGACAGCGTGATGAAAGCATCAGGACCTGCAAATTCAGAGCGAATCAGGTCAGCACTTGTGTCAGATGCTGAAATCGATCCGAGTACCCGCCCGACTCACAGCGCAGCCTCGCTTGATGGCGCCCAGGATTCCTACCACCGATGCCAAGTCGCTTCCCGTGAGCATAGCCAGGACTGGAGGCTCTGCGCTGTGTCGACGATGGGGCACATCAAGATCTCCCAAAGCCCATGCCGCACCCGATACGAGGGCTGCGAAGTGTGCGTGAGTGGTGGCAACCCATCGACCATCTGAGGTTCTGTCCATGCGGAAAGGCTGGGACGCATTGACCTGAGCCGAATGGTCGATGAGAGTGGGTAGCAGGTAAGAGCCCCCAGCGACTTGCGACTTGATGAACGACATGCTAGGCACGCGAGTTTTGAGCCCTCGAGACTAACTCTGAGAAGTGTTGTAGGAGGACTGGCAGCTCGCGTGTATGCTGCTAGCTCTGGGTTCGGTTGATGGAAGAGGATGCGCTGGCCGCGGCTCAATCCTGTTGATGTGACGAACTTAGGTTTGAATCAAGAACGACGTCAGCATTTGTGCGGAAGAGGGTCACTGATCCCTTTGAGCGCCTCGTACAAGCTGCTTATGAAGGTAAGGCTGATTGGCCCTGCGAGCATCCGCATGGTGACTTGCTGCACCTCGTCATCCTGACAAGCTGCGCTTGCGAGAAAGTCGAGTCCGGCCGCCATGGCTAGTGAAGGCTGGGCGACGGAGAGTGTCATTGGCTTTGAGAAGTCTTGCTGAACGCCGAAAGAGATCCAGCGAGCCGAGCTGGTCGAGAGATTTGCAGCGGATCTTAGCTTCGTCCTCGGCTATCGGCTGCAGCGTGCACGAGCCGAATATTCGTCGCACTCCTGGACCCCTCACCTCTGCATGTGCCGAAGCGGCGGGAAATGTCAGCCCGGTGCAAGGACCACTTCTTCAAGACGACTCTTGCAGCGGTACAAAGCTTGCGTTGGCGGTCGCTGTGATGCTTTGGTCGCTTTGCAGCAGAGATTCACATTGCGGCAGAGACGCAAAGATTCACCGTTCGGAATTGCTCACCTTCGCACCTCCTAAAGCCGCTCCACGCCTTGCTCTGCATGACTATCCAGGCGATTCGGAGCTGACGTGATGCAAGACCATAGCCGCAGAGGAGCTTATGCCACTGCTGGTCTCGCTGTTGTCTCGCGCACAATTTGCCGAGGTGTCCTCTTGTACCGAGGATGCGGTAAGCGATCGGGTCGAGTGGTCGGGCCAACGCGCAACTCGCTCGTGTCTAGCAGGGTTCTATAAAAGCGCATTCGAGCAGACACGCTGCCGAGCACCGTGCCCAAGCAGAGGCGCAGGGCGGTACTGTGCAGAAGCATTTGTCCATGAAGGCGGCCTTGCTCCAAGGTTGGTAGATATGCCAAAGTGGCAGGTTGGTAGATATGCCGGAGTGGTGTCTCTTGCTAAGCAGATGGAAGGATGCATGGCATTGTGAGGAAGATTGATGAGCAAGCAACACATCCAATATAGATGCAGCAATCAGGTCGTTGGAAAGGCGTGGAAGCGCGCGTGACTAGCAGGGTTCTATAAAAGCGCATTCGAGCAGACACGCTGCCGAGCACCATGCCCAAGCAGAGGCGCAGGGCGGTACTGTGCAGAAGCATTTGTCCATGAAGGCGGCCTTGCTCCAAGGTTGGTAGATACGCCAAAGTGGCAGGTTGGTAGATACACCGGAGTGGTGTCTCTCGCTAAGCAGATGGAAGGATGCATGGCTTTGTGAGGAAGATTGATGAGCAAGCAACACATCCAAAGTAGATGCAGCAATCAGGTCGTTGGAAAGGCGTGGAAGCGCGCGTGACGCGCCTTGCTCCGTGACACGCGCTGCTGCCCATGCATGCAGCGGCAAAAGCCACCCTCGTTGAACTCACTCACGATTCATCGATCACATTCCCAGCAAAGCGCGTCTGTTCCTCCTCGCTAGCAGCAGCAGTGAGCTCTCTGATTAGTGCCGATGCGGACATGTGCGTATGTGTGCAGCACCGATATCAAGAGGTGCTGGCTTCTTCACACCTTGGGACAAAGAGAGCTCGCAAGTCGCTCGATCCCGCTGCACGCGCTTGGCCGACGTTTGCGCTTCTTTATGCTCCGATCGGAGACCTGCTTAGCCGAGCTCGACCGCAGAGGACGCCTTTGCCAATGTTCGAGCGCGCGCTGGAGAAGATGTCCACCACTCACAGTCATCCAGTCCCAGGAGACGAGCCTCGCCTTACTCGTAAGGCTAATTCCGAGAAGCGAGCTTGCGGTAACAACAGGCGATACCTCACCCCCGGTCGGCATCCGATCAAATCTCTCTTCCGGTGTCAATACCCCAGGCTCCATGCCCAAACATTTCAAGCATTCAATATTGATTGCTTCACATCTTGGAGGCGCGCGTCGTACTTGATACAGTCCGAGATGGTCGGTCATTCGTAGCTAGCCCATGAAGATCTGGACAGTGGCGCTCAGCGCAACCCTTCTTCACTGGCTAAGAATTTGTCTGACGAAGCTCTCGTAGTGGATGTTGCCATCGCTGCGAGGCAGGGCGTGGGGCACGCGTCAGCATACAGGCAATTGATCGCGCGAGACGATGCGCTACAACTCACCTGCCAACCTGGACACCTTTGAGCAGCTCGTCCACCTCCTCATCCGTCAGCTTCTCTCCCAGCGAAGTAAGCACGTAGCGCAGCTCCCCTGCTCCGATGAACCCGTTACCCTCCTTGTCAAACACTTGAAAGCCTCGGATGAACTCCTCTGAGAAGCAACAGCGAAGAGGGCGACTCCATGAGCTGTGATCTGGCAAGACGGTCTCGAGCGCTTCGCCCGATCACGTACCTGGAGTTCCTGCCGGCTTGAAGCCATTGGGCCTGTGAAGAATGTCGAGGAATGTCTTGAAGTCCACTGCGATAGCGAAGCAGAGTAGGGTCGGTATTGATGAGCGCGACGTCTGAGGCAAGCTCCTCGACTGGTCCCTTGCAGCGCGTCGAGATGACGCCGACGACGGTTGAATCAGGTTCATGGCGGGACACCTTTCAGCACGCACGACCGGACGTATCGCTCGTACACATCGTCCCATGGAGTAGCCTTCGCTCCGATTGTGACGACCACTGCCCGTTCCTACACACGCTTCACTGCTATCTCGCCTGTCCACCGCGCCGCGCTGCTCCTCGACTCACCATCCTTTCCGGTGCTGGCAGCCAGCTCTGCGACCTCAGCCTGAGTCGGGTTCTGTCCAAGGGCTCTAAGCAGATCTCCCAAGCTCTCCCTCGCAATGTGACCAGTACCCTTCTTGTCGAAGAGAGCGAAAGCCTCCTTGTACTCTGCGTCCGACTGCGCAGATCAGGGTTCGAACGCGAGCAACTCGTCAGCGCGGTCAGGCGGATAGGCAAGCTCCAATGCGGGGCGACTCACCATGATGCGATATTGTCTGCTTGGCAGTAGACAGGGTGTATGCGGTGCTGACTCAAGCGATGAAGGTTAAAATTGTCTAGAGTGACAGTCGTGAGTCTGTGTGTGATCTGCGAGATTGTGGTTGTTGGTTGAGCGAGCTTGACAGGGGTCAAGCATTCGTGATTCTCCCAGCGCGCGCCCGCGCGGTGTCTGGTGTTGTGCGCTCGTGCCTGTTGCTTGCGCCTTGTGTGTCTTGGCTCAAGCGGTGCGTGCGAGCTTGGCGCCAGGTTGACGACGCGTCTGTCGCACGAGAAAGAGATGTCACGTGAGCTCAAGCTCCGTGAAATCCCTTGGCTTGGTGAATTCAACATGTATCAACCCGAATTCAAATTCACGATTCGTGATTCATGAATTCGTGCTTCTGATTGCAGCCCCAGCAGCTTCGTGCCCGTTCCCTTTACCTTTCACGACCGTCGGCCAGGATCCACTCTGACCCACAACTCGTTCTCAAAGCCAGATCCCAGAGCATCCAAAGCCAACGAGCTCATCCAAAGCTCGTTGAGACGCAGCTTGGCTGTATTCCTTCCCTCTCCGCGTATTCACGCCTGCAGCTTCTTGCCCGGTTGATCCGACGCTTTAGCGACTCGCGGTCAGACAACACGCTTGCAGACCACTAGCTCGGCCTTGCTCACTACACTCCGAGCGCTGCGTTGAAGCACAGCACTTCGATCACTTGCACGCCTGAAATTTAAAATGTTTGGCAGATCTAGCAGCAGCAGCAGCAGCAGCAGCAGCGATGGCGATAGCAGCTCATCCCGTTCGGCCGCATCCAGCTCCACCAGTTTGCCTGTCTCGTCGACCTCCTCATCGAGCCACAGTACTCCCACACCCGAAGGAGGAGTAGCGGGCTTTGGGCGCATGGATTCGATGTCAGCCGCCTGCACGCCACTTAAGCACAAATACGACGCTTGCTTCACCAACTGGTTCGTCGAATACTTAGGCCTGCCTCAAGACGCGTCGGATGGGCCAAAAGTGGCCAGCAGCGATTCATTCGGCTCCGCAGGGTTCTGGTCGAGAGGCAAAAGTGCTGGTGGCGAAGGAAGCGACAGACGGACGGCGCTGAGGGAGAAATTGGAAGGCGAATGTGGGGCTGTCTGGAGTGCGTACAGAGACTGCGTCAAGGTGAGTAGACATGCGGGCATGTATGCGTCGAAAATTTGGACCTTTGCGAGCGCAAAGTCTGACAAGATCCTCCATCATCGCAGCGAGCTGTTGTTGAGAAGCAGCTCGAAGGCCCAATCGCAGAAGCGCGGGCACACAATCCATTTCCCTTTCCAGGTCACGACTCGGGAGCACCTCACACTCCGCCATTCCCCTTTGCATCACAAGCCGGAGCCAAGGATCCATAATGGTCATGCATTTCAGAGTTCCTTTATCGCTCTCTGAGCAAGCAGTAGCGACTTCACGTACACAAAAGGTTGGTCCAACAGCTGGGGGGTCCGGCGAGACGAGCAAAGGACAGAAGCAAAGGGGGCACGCGATTTCGGATGGATGGTCGGTAGAACGGCGTGCGCATCGCACCGGAAACAAGATGGCGTTGCGATGCTGAGAGGTGTGTCTTCGTATCGAGATGACCTTCCACCATCGTCATAGCCACTTCGGTCGATCGCCACGCAAGTTGTAGATGGGCGGAAGCCGAGGTGGGCGATCTCTGAGGGTAGAGCGGCTGATACGGAAATTTTGAATAGCAGCGCGCAGGCTGGAGAGGCGAGAAGATGGTCGGCGCTCTTCGACAGCAGGTGCGGTGGGCTCGGCCGGACGTGCTGGAGGCTCGCTTAGGTATACGGAAGGCTCGGTGAGATATACGGAAGGCTCCGCTCGATATACGGAAGGCTCCGCTCGATATATGGAAGGCTCCGCTCGATGTACGGTAGGCTCCGCAAGGCGTGCAGGAGGCCAGTACAGATGTGCTTGAGGCTTGGCTGGATGCACCGGAGGCTCGGTGGGATATCTGGCAGACTCGCGCGACCAGATGGAGCTATGGTGCTTCGTCGGGCTTGCGTAGCCCGCAAAGGCAGGAGGTGGTCGGAATGATCCAAAGCCGCTCAGAACGGTATTCTTAGGACTGACGTAGACCTCCGAAGGGTAGTGGTAAATGAGTTCAGATTGGCGAGGGCTGGACAAGTCAAGACGGACCAGTCCAGAAATGGGAGGTATCGTATTCCTTTGGCTATGATCACGACCGATTCGCGATGCTTGGCTGCTCTGAAGCTTCAGCGAACGCAGCGCTCGAGGTCCAATCGTCAGGGACAGCCAGATATGCCTGCGAGAACATTCGTCACGCCAATCAGTCGACGTTTGGGCCATGCGCACGACTCGTACTCACACGGCAGCGAACGGATTCGGACCTGGCTTCAAGATCGACCAAGCTACTTCTGCTGCGAGGCACAAAATACTGATGAGGTAGTAGAATACGGCAGACTGAAAGTACGTGCGCGTGGTAGGGGCGAGCTGCTCGCAGTATTGCTGAAAGCCTTCGGGGGAAAGACCGAAGCAGTGCAGACCTCGCAGCGTCGTGTGCAGCGTGAGGATCAACACAGCTGTGTCGAAGGCGAGGATGACTGCGTTTGGAGCCCAGGCCATCCACGCGATGGTGCGCGCAATCAAGCAGCCGGCTGCGGGCGACGATCCAGAAAGAGGGACCTGAACTACCTTTTGCACTGCTGCCAGTAGGATTTGTGTACCTGCAACGAGCACCACGCCGATCCAGACGAGCGTTCGCGCTGCACCGGAAGGGTTCATAACCTGCTGGGCACATGAGTCAGCACGTCAGCATGGAGCGGGTATTGTCCGCGTAAGGTCGCAAACGCACCGAGCTCCTTACGGCAAAGATCGCAGCGCAGCTAATGTGAGCGATGCTGATGAAGGTGTTCAGGGCGGTCCAGGTCGCTCGGCACGGGATCGAAGCGGCATTTTCGGCGTACAGGTTCAAGGCGATGATCGGTAGCGTCAAGAGGCGGGTGATGAGCATACTGGAAAATGGTCTTTCCTCAGCAATCGTTCCAAGCTGGTCACCTCAAAGCGGATTGACTTCTCGGATGTAGTAGCAAAGGTCGACGGTGACTCACAAGATCGTGCCTACGGAGGGAGATCGATGCTTCCGAATCCATCTCCGCGCTTCGGGAAGGTAGAGCAGGCTCCACTCGTTCGGTAGGCAGACAGCAAAGTCCCAAAATTGGAACGCAAGCATCCACGAATCCACAGTCTGCATATAGCTTTGCACCATCTCGACCGGGAAAAGCTTAAACGTAGGATCGTCGAGGAGGGTGCGCTGTATGTGGGCTGGAAGAGGGGAAGAGAAGCTCCATGAATGACCGCAAAGAGGGTTAACCACCGAATCTCCGTTGCCACATCGATCAAAACCCTCAAGCGCACTCAGCATCGCTTGCTAGAGTGGACAACGACATTGACCATGCAGGCTGCCTGCGCGAGTTGACTTCGTCCCGCTCAAAGCGCGTGGCAATCGGCCGCACCCGTGCACGCTTCGCAAGCCAGTCTACCAAGCTTACCTGGGACCCGAAATGAAGCAGCAGCGGGTGGAGCGGACGAACGAGCGAAGCAGCGCACCGAACAGCATGTCCAAGCAGGCCATCGCGCGCGGCGACACCTCATTTCGCTCTGCGCGGCGGGAGGGGACAGCTTATAAGCGCGTGGAAGGGCGTGCTGGGCGGAGTCGTGAGTGTGACGCGCGCACGCGCACACTCTTGCAAGAGCTTAGAAACCTTCACCAAAAAGCAAAAGGCAAAAGATTGATTATTGGGATTCAGACAGAAAACAAGTCCCCCGTGGCTGGAACTTGATGATGATTCGATATCATCATCGTCGTTCATCTTGACGGTTGTATTTAGCGAAGGACCGCGAAGCCCTGCGGAATCGAACCAGCTGCTTTTCCGGGGCGGACTGCGCTGATGCAAGTCGGCTGGCGCCGGTTAGTTTGCCGATAAAATGGCAGATTCCAAACCGCCAGCGTCCCGACATCTTAGCGGAGCTGCACGCGCACGCGCGCATATATTTGCATGGAGACGCATACACTCACGTGACTCGAACTCGATGCAATAAATCAAGAATACCCTTGACTCACTATCATCATCGTTCATCGTACGAAGTGCAAACGGTGTACTGCACCTGTAGTCGTGTTTGTTGCCGTTCTTGAGACGGCATTCACATTCAAGATTTTGCATTCACGAGTGGACGCGGCCCATGCCACACAAAAGTGTCGGAACGCGAGGCGCGACTCACGGCTTTGACGGCGTCGGACCGGGGTCGAGCGCTCCGCATGCCGCCAGACCCAAGCATTCACATTGACAACAGGACAGCTTCATCTTGAGCGCAGGACTTTCATCTACAGCGAATGTGAATCAAGAATGGAGAGTTCTGGCCGACTTGACCACGTGCATAACATCGACGCGGCGGCATGAACACGAATTTATGAGATTTGGATTCGCGTTCATTTCGCCCTTTGCCCTCATCCCGCATCGACCCACGGAGTCAAGTGTGGATGCAAAGGATCGATCAACTTGAATGCTCGTGATTAGAGAGGATGATGGGCGTCAGCATCCGCAGGACGTCAATAGCCAGGAGTGCGAATCCTCGCGACTCTGCGCATCCTCACCTACAACTTCGACCGTCGCGATCCGATTTACAACGCGCACAAGACTCGCGACCCTTAGCCGCATTCGACTTGCTTTGACAAGAGACAGCCGATACAATCGCATTCACGTGATTGCTAATCCGTGATGTGTGATTCGCGGATTAAGGATCTTGCTCAGACTCGACCAAGCAGGTGCATGGATGGCTGTGGCGGTGCTGTCAGAGATGGGTGGCTGCTGCATGCGTGCTGTGCACACTCGACCACGCGACGATCGGACCAGTAAATGAGACTCGATCACGACTCGCGACTCATCACTATACTGACTCTGCAGGCATTTGTATGCGAGCCTGCTTGCCCCACGGATGACCGCGCCTTGCTATGCGGCGGTCTTGCTCGGAGCTGCGAGTGAAGCAAACCACGCCGAGACCTCCCGGCCTACCCAATGCCCTCGCCCCGAAATCCTGCTCCTCTCCTCTTTTTCTTCCAGCATATCCAGCAGTCACGAACATCTGAACCCGACTCACATTCTGCCAAGCACCTCACCGACTGCGCCGCGAAGGGAGACCGAAGACGAGGCCGCGCTCGCATGGCGCTGCATGCACGCCCAAACGATGCGCACCTGTAAAAGGCAATCATCCAGCGCACCCATCTTGCTCTTGCATCCACGCGAGGCCACCTTTGCGTCATTCGTAATCAACACTTCATACCACACCCACGACCTTCGACCTGGTCTGGGCTACCAGTCTAGATCTCTGGCTCGATCAGCAACAGCGACAGCGTCCACGATGATGCACAGCTCACATACATTTACAAAGAGCTAAGGCATGTCAACGAGGTCAAGTTCGCGATGTAGCTTCGGAGCGCCCAGTCGAGTGGAGCAAGGCGGTATCGCGTGCCTTTATTGCAGGCGAGATTGAGTCACAGTGAGGTCGCAAAGCAAGTCACAAACTCCCCGCAAGTCCGATGTCGCATCGGCCATCGTGAATCGCAAGAATGGGCAAGCCACGCTGTATCGTTTCTGCCGTGAGTGACGCTGGCTTTGTCCAGCGCGCATGCGCGATGGACGTGTACGATAGCATCCGCCAAGAGAAAGCGATGGATATGGGCGCTCAAGTGATGCTCGTCTTCACCGCGTGCGCCATCTATCTAGCTCATCGGGCTGTCACGCATCTTGCAGACAATCAGTCTCAGATACTCGGCTTGCTTGTTGCTCATCGCGGGCAGGCATGCGCCGGTAGTCCGGATCCGAGTCAGCCAGCGATGCGTACGGCGTGTAGACCGAGTGGGCAAGCGTGATGCTGTTAGCTCAGCAAATGTAGCGATGCTACCGACAAGATGCTGCTTTCCCGGCAAATTCTCTCTCTGCATTCATCGATTGCCAATCTCAAATATCAGCCACCCAACAGGGTCAACCGTGCGACGCGCAATCTCCTCGTCAAGGCGGACGATCTTTGTAAATATATAGGCGGATCACTATACAGCCACCGGCCCCACCCCCCCGCCTTCGCGCTCCGATATTGTTCTACAACCTGTTGAACATCCTTGCTTCCATACTTCGATCACCACCATCTCATCATCACAATCGCTGTCATGGATACGTCCAGCGTTCAGAATGACCAGCACGACGAGCTGGTCATCTTATCCGTCATCAACACTTGGTTCGCAGCATTCCAACTCTGGGACTTTCTCGTCTGCTGCCCCGAAGAGATTCGGCGTCTCTATGTGCCGGAGGCCAGACGCTTTTGGAACCGGCGCATTCCTCCTTCCCTTGGAACTATCCTGTGAGCCGCGCCTCACGACCGACGAGTGTTGATTGCCTGCGATGCTTGCTTACGCTTCGTTCGACCCGTGCAGGCTCTTCAATGCCCGCATCCTGACCCTGCCAATCACCGTATTGTGCATATATGCACAGCTGGACCCAGCATCCTGTCGAGCAAGCTACCTCGCTTGGTGGACGCTCATAGCTATTGCACACATCAACTGCGCCGCCATCTTTGCAGTCAGGACGATTGTGAGTTTGCCACGCTTTGAGATGCGCGACCATACGACGCGTTGAATTTATTCCTGCTCGTTCCTGATGGGCGCAGGCAATTTGGACACAAAGTCGAGCGGTCTCAGTCGTTCTCTGGCTCGGCGTGGCTGCTGTTGCCGGTGCCAATCTGTGGTGGCCACAGGTATTCCGCATGGAGAAGCTGCGCGACGATGATGGCTCATCGCATGGATGCTACTCGGCCACCAATCCGCCTCAGCTCGTCTTTCGACTACCCAACGGCATAGCGCTCGTGTACGACTCCATGGTACTCATCCTTACCGTGGCAAAAATCATTCACACTTCGCAAATTCAGGGCTTCTCCCCGAAAGCCTTTCGTCAGACCAGACGTTCCGCCTCGCCACTCTCCAGACAGCTCTACAATAGCGCAATCTTCTTTTACATTCTCAGCATCATCAGCTATGCTGGCGGCTTGGCATGGGCCAGCTTCCATTCACAGAATCGATCTACGAGCGTATTTGCCGGCCTGTGAGTAGCAGCGGCACTGCGCATCGGCTCTATCTGTGTCCCCCTCACGCTTACACCTTCTGCCGCCTGCCGGCTCGACTTAGCCAATTCCTCGTCTCGGTGACCATCGCTCCTCGCATCTTGCGCAGGCTGAAGCTCCTTGACAGAAGCGCGCTCGGTCTCGAGCCAGCGAAAGCAGAGTCCAAGCCCATCCGCTTGAGTCGCAGATCGCCCTCGCAGTGGTCAGATGTCGACTTAAACTTTCAGACTAGCTTTGCCAAGCCCGACCCGATCCAGGCTCCACAGCAGGCAGTCAGTCCTCGGATCCAATCCGAAGTGCTGGTCAGGTCTCCATCTATGGGTTTCCGGCGCGAGCTTACCGAGAATCATCAGCAAACACCGCTACAAACAGTGCGCGTCGAGCTCTACACTCCCCCCTCTACCTCCGACTCGCAGAGAGGCGCGTGGCGAAGGCACAGCGAAGACAGCGAGGCGCGTCTCATGCCCTGATGAAAGCTCGGGCGCCGTATTTCTCGCTGGTCTCTGCTTGATCCGAAGTTGTATCGAGCCACCGGTCAGAACAATGTACCAGAAGTAGCCTTGATGGGGACCGTCCGACAGTGTGAGTCTCGATATGCGAAAGGAACGATGCGTTCGCTTGAGTGGTGAAGGGCATGCATGGAGAGGGACTACCCATCATGATGGCCGATTGAAACATGTTCGAGAATATTTTGCGAGGCCAGCCGCAAGCGGCGACCCTCCACACTGCGCGCGATGAGGCGCTGCATGCGTGCAGCATGTGTGCGCGCAGCCAAACTGCAGCGCCAGGGCGGCCGGACCGGGATCGAGGTTGCTTCGTGGACGTCATCTCGATCTTGGCGGCGCGGCGCGGCGCGGCACACGACACGAGCCGAGGCGCGAGGGAGAATCAGAGGGGGTGCCTCAAGAATAACTTTTGTCTACATCAGGGATCGCAGCTGGGCAGCTATGTGTGTGTAGTCGCGAATGGAGAGCATACACGGGTATAGGAGCTTCAGTCGCGTCGATCATCTTCATTTCCACCACGCTCTTCCTTGAGACTCGACATCCGTGTCCACTTGCCCAAGCACCAGTCGCCACTTCTTTATCAGGGAGCCCAAAGGCAGTCAGGTCTGATCGAGCAGGCACACATACGCACACGCACACGCACACGCACACACGATGGACTTTTTCTTCTGCATCCCCGTCATCTTTGGATGTCCTAGCAAGATCAAGCAAGAGGGCGATGGAACGTGAGTAGCATGTATGCGGTCTGAGAGTGGCCTCCCGAGCTGATCTTCATGCTGACATTGCTTGCACTGTTCGCTTGCGCCACCCGAACCAAGTCCGCACATCTGCCCAAGGTGTCACAATGCTCAAGCAGTCACTGCCAAGAAGAAGCGCTGGTTCGAGCTGTGCTGGATTCCTCTGGTAAGTACGGGTAGGGCGGCAGAAATCGGCGGAATAGCGGATGCAGCGCTGGTTGCATACAACTCGGGTGCGAGAAGGTGGTGGCGATGTGGATGCGCTTTCGCAAAGCATAGCTGTGAAGCAGCCTGCTGGGCTAGGAGGAACGCAGGTTGGCGCTGGCTGCTGCGGGTAGAGAGCTGCTAAGACGTTGGGGGACGTTGGCTGAGCGCTCAGGCCCAAGCTCTCGCTGTGCTCCAACGTATCAGGTCCCTCCATGCAATCTCTGCTCACACGTTTCATTGCTCCCCCACCTCTGGCCGACTTGCGCGCACGCAGATTCCGCTTGGAAGCAAGCATGTGAGTGTGTCAGGGCAGATGGCGATCCACGCGCATTCATCACTGATTTCGCGTCCTTGTCCTCTTCTGAAGGTGTACTACTGCGGTATATGTCAATGGCAAATGGTGCGTACGAATCGGCCTTGCATTACGCAGCTACCTTGGAGCGCTGATCCCTTCCCTTTCACGCTTTGCAGCCACAAGATGGCGGCTTCAAGCCTCAGGTAGCAGGCGGAAACTATCAACATCCGGGGTACGGACCGCCAACAGGCTACGGACCTCCGCAAGGCTACCCGCCGAAGTAGAGCAAGCGGCGTCTGGGTGGTCCGATGAAGCGAAAGGGATGCGATTTGGGACGCGAGAGAGCCCGCTCGCTACCTTCCCAATGATGCGCTCGGAGCAGTATGAGCCGCTTCTTGTGCGCGTCTCCTCCCTTCATGCATCGCTACCGCCCGTGAATGTCCCGTCTCCTGTCGGAGCGTCCGCATACAGGCGGAGCGGGTCGACTCACACTATTCGGAAATTTCGGAAATTTGTATATTGTACATGCTTAGGCCAATGTCGATCCATTTGCTGCAACCCGATGAGTCTTGTCATGCTCACCGAAGCGTGAAGGAGGGTGCCCAGATGCGGCAACGGGGAATTTCCGTTGTGACTGTAGACATAGCTACAGGCGGCATGCAGGTCCCCCACGCGCAACGCGAGCTCGAGAGACGCGCACGCGACGCGCACGTAATCTACGCGGTGCTCCCCTCTGAAGCATGCAGCAGCAGCAGCATGATGCGCTTTGAAGCCTCCTTCCCGCACCTCTACACGCTCAGAGGATTCCATCGCTCACCTGAGCACTGTCCCAAATCACTCAAAAGTGTTTTGAAGCAGACCGCAACGTCAACACAGACTCGATCGAGTTCCTCTGCATAAGCGCAGCATCTGCCTCTCGCAACGGGCGGCGTCGACTCTCATAAGCGTCTCGAGCAGCGCTGAGTGCCCTGCCTGTCCAGGCCTCCGCTTTGCAGCGGAATTGACAGCAATGGCGCGAGACCAACAGATCGGGTGAGCAATGCTTACGTTGACAGCTTGCACCTGGTGTGCTACATGCTCAGCATCGCCCCTCCACCGTATCACACAGAGGCTTCTTTGGTGCCAAGCCCGGCCCATCGGACGGCGCAAAGAAGGACAAGGGCCAGAGCAAGCTGACGTTCGGTGCGCCCAAGGCAGACAATGCAGCATCCGCCATGAATGGCAACAATGAGTCCAAGAAGTCGCAGGATAGAGTGATGGCGAGTGGCAAGAATGAGCGCGAGGAGGCGAGGCGAGCAGGACAGAAGGAGGCTGTGCCGCAGGCCTCTTCGTCGAAGCTGGTGGAGGAGACGCGGAACACTCAGAGCGGAGAGGTAGACGATGCTGATCAGGGTGAGCTGCGGCGAATGCTATTCATGTAGCGTGCTGCTGGTAGCTAACGCCTTCGCATGTGATGCTGTACAGGCGAAGAGCGGAAAAAGCGAAAGTCTCGATTGAAGCGACCTGTCATTATCGAGTCGGATTCCGAGGAGGAGCTGGTGAACCATGAGGCGATACCCGCGCGATCAGACTCTCCAGCGAGCAAAACGTCTCCTCATGGAAAAGCGCAGTCTTCAAAGAAGCGCAGGGTGGAGGAAGCAAATGGAAAGGTTACCGCGCGCAAGGAAGCGGTGGAGGAGGAAGATGAAGACAGCTTTGTAGAGCAGGATGACGAGCAGGAAGAGGCAGAGGCAGAGGATGAGGAAAAGGCTGAAGCTGAAGAAGGCCACGCGCACAAGAAGATGTAAGTGGGACAATCAAGTTCATGAAAGGAAGACCTTTGCTCAGCCAGCCTGTCATCGGTCCCACAGCGCTGCGATCTTCCTCAAGTCGACGGAAACAGGAGACAAGATCAAATGGAAGGCTGGGGAGGCGTGAGTCAGGAAATTTGCGGGATCATCGTTGATGCGTATCGATACACAGCAAGGCTGATCGAGTGTGCAACCTAGCGTACCATACGGAGCTCTTGCGGCGGCCTTTGCAGAGATTGAGGCTACCACGAAGCGATTGGTCATTTTGGAGATCTTGACCAAGCTCTTCGTGACTGTCATCGAACGAAGCCCGGACAACTTCCTGCGCGTCATCTATCTCTGCATCAATAGGGTGAGTGTGCGAGGCACCATCATTCATGCTTCAAGACGCATACACTCATGTGCTGTCTCCATCCTCCTCGTGTCAGCTCTGCCCGGACTACGAAGGCCTCGAGCTGGGTATCGGCGAAGGACTGCTCCTCAAGGCCATTGCGCAGGGGACTGGTCGCGATATGAAGGTGATCAAGAAGGACCTCGAGGCGAAGGGTGATCTTGGACTGGTTGCTATCGTGCGTACTTGAGGCGAATCGTCCACTATGCGCGGCCACTGATCTGCGTCGTGTTGCCGTGACAGGGCTCTCGAGCGAAGCAGCCGACCATGTTCAAGCCTGCGCCGCTGACTGTGCCAGCAGTCTTCAAGCAGCTGAAAGAGATTGCAGATATGAGCGGCAACAAGTCTCAAGATCGCAAGATCGGAGGTATCAAGAAGCTTCTCGCGGCGTCCCAGAACGATGAGCCGAAGTACATCATCAGGTCTTTGGAAGGCAAGCTTCGAATTGGCTTAGCGGAAAGGACTGTTCTCGTCGCTCTGGCCCAGAGTATCGTCCTGACTGGCGCAAAGAAGCGTGAGTCGTGCAGAGAAGCTCGAGGCGATACTTTTCAGCTTTGCTGACGAATGTGTGGACGGTTGCAGAGAAGAAAAGGCTCGACACTGAGGAAATGGCGAATGAGATTGCTCGAGGCACTGAGGTAGTGAAGGCTGTGTACAGGTGAGTGCGGTGCCTCGCGCATCACCGGTGCTACGACGCTTACCCTTCAAAGGCACTTTGCGCAGCGAATTGCCAAATTACGACCTCGTGGTGCCCGCCTTGCTCGAGAGCGGCATTGATGGTTGCAGAGCAGCGTGCAAGCTGACGCCGGGCATTCCGCTCAAGCCAATGCTCGCGAAGCCCACAAAAGCGATCACCGAAGTGCTGGACCGATTCGAAGGCAAAGCCTTCACCTGCGAGTACAAGTACGACGGCGAGCGAGCACAGGTCCACTTCTTTGTGCCCGGAGAAGCGAAAGGGAGCACATCAAAGGCTACCACACCTTCAACAGCACCGAAGACGAAGCTGGCCGTCTTTAGCAGGAATTCGGAGAACATGAGCTTGAAGTATCCCGATCTTGTCGAGCAGGTGCCTAGGTGCATCAAACCGGATGTCAAGAGCTTTGTGCTGGACGCAGAGGTGACTGCTTGGAAGAAAGAGGAGAAGGACGACAAAGGGGAGATACACCCGGCACGGCTGCTGCCATTCCAGGAATTGAGCAGGCGGAAACGCAAGGATGTCAAAGCGTGAGTGACGGGGACTTTGTGCTTAGCGTAGCTCTTTCCTTGACACCTGCGTTTGCTATCTCAGTGAAGACATCGTGGTCAAGGTCAAATTATTTGCGTTCGATTTGCTGTACCTCAATGGCGAGGTGAGTCTACCATCGACCGACGTGGTCACCTGGCCGGGAAGTACTGATCATTTGCTGGGCCTTCTCCCAGCCTCTGCTACATCTCGACCTCGAAGCGCGTCGCAAGCTTCTCCGAGAGCATTTTCAGGTGAGATCTGTCGTCTGCAAATCACCTGCGACTAGCGTATGCTGATAAGTTCTGCGTCGCTCTAGCCTGTGCCCAACGAGTTTGACTTTGCTACTTCTCAGGACTGTACAACGGTCGAGGAGATCCAGACATTCTTGGACATTAGTGTCAAAGAGGGTTGCGAGGGGCTGATGGTCAAGATGCTAGCTGGCGAGGATGCAACGTATGAGCCGAGCCGGCGCAGCATGAATTGGCTAAAGCTCAAGAAAGACTACTTGTCTGGCACTGGCGATTCTTTGGATCTTGTAGTCATCGGTGGCTACTATGGCAAAGGAAAGCGAACAAATGTGTACGGAGCATTCCTGCTGGCGTGTTACGATGCGGACTCGGAGACGTACCAAGCCGTGTGCAAGATCGGCACAGGGTTCTCAGAGGCGGACTTGGACGCGCACTGGAGCACTTTCAAGCCGCTCGAGCTGAGCTCCAAGAAGGGTTACTACGATGTGGGCGAAGCCAAGCCTGACGTGTTCTACGAGCCAAAAGTGGTGTGGGAGGTTCTCACTGCAGACTTGTCGCTCAGGTGAATCCCGTCTGACAGTCTGGAGGCTCGTTGGGCACGCAGATCGCTGATGCCAAGATGCTCCTCCCTTTCTGTCCTATCAGCCCGGTGTACACGGCTGCAAAGGGTCTGGTGGATAGTCGCGGTATCTCGCTGCGGTTCCCACGCTTCATCAGGATCAGAGACGACAAAGATCCTGACGACTCAACTTCTCCGGAGCAGGTAAGTAGGCGAGGTTCGAAAAGTTGTGCCAGAATGCGTGCAGGATAGAGTACGAATGCTGACACCTCACGGCCTTGATGTGTCCGCGCCTGATCCGTCGCAGATCGCATCAATGTACCGGGCGCAAGCTACGACGAACAAGTCTGGCGGCAAGGGAGAAGCTGAAGACGACTTTTGGTGATCACCGCTTGTCGCTCTCCCGAGTGACTGAGCGCCCAGAATTTCCTTTCCCTCACAGCCAACATCACCAGCAATCGCATCGCACGAGCCATTCATCCTCAGACCCCGCAACGTCTTCGCTCTGTTTTCAATCACAGGAATCTGGATTGCTTCACTTTTGTGTGGACTATTCGCTGTTTAACGTTCGATCTTGTCGAGTCTGTTGTGTCGAGTCTGTGTCGAGAATTCTTTGCTGGTAGTGTACATGTAATCTTGGTTGCTGAAGGCTGAAAGGCGTCTATGGCCCTTGAAAGAGCGATGCTGCCTTTGGCTCTGTATAGAGCTAGTCGAATGGACCTGAATTTGAGAGCGAAGAGTGACATCGTTAACATGCCCGTACATTGCGCAGCGCGATGCTCAGCTTGCGCAAACTTACCGAGATAGTCCTCTTTCATGGTGCCGATGGCGAACTGTGCGAGAGAGACCAGACGCGAGGTGGTCAAACCACATGAGGCGAAACTTCGGACGACGCTCCACTTTCAAGTACCGCACAACACCTGCAAGCGAGCACTTTGGGGGACTCTGCGTCCCTGCACCGCGCTTGGCCGGCCGGTCCGAAGCTCCGACTCACGATCTCATTGGCCTCCACACGCGTGCCTACAATTCTGATTCTGCACTTCTTGCCTTTCACAAGCGTCTGTGACGGGGCCGGGCAGTTGTCAGTCACAGCTAGCTCGTAGATCCGCTGCCAAATCGAACGCTAGGACTGCCGCTGGCGAAGCCGATCGCAACTCACAGTGCCATTTGGAGAGACAAACTCAGCCGGGTTGGAGTCGGGCTGAAACTTGTAGTCCACGGGCAAGAGGTGAACCGAGACGAAGACCTCGACGGGTGCGTACGAGGCGAAGAAGCCCATCTGTATGGCGGCGGGGCATGCATCGATTAGTGTGTGGTGTATCCAGAGGGAGGCCAAGCCTCTCACCTTGTTCACATTCGTCACGATCACATCCACTACCTCTCCCTTGAACTGTGTGGAAATAGCTCCCATCGTCAGATCAGCCGAAGTCGACCTGAACAGCAATAGCATTTGGGTACTCACCGGTTTCAGTACAATGGCATGGTACTCCATGTTGAATTCGGCTCTGCCCTCGCCTCCAGGAATGATGAGACCATCTCCGATGTCGATCACCTTCATAACTTTGACGATGTAGCCCGTTTCTCCGTTGCAGGTCCCCTCGACCTCTTGCTTAAGCTGCAGCTCCACTGCTCAGAAGAGAGGACCAACTTGAACGATCAGCTCCACCTCCTGGCTATGCTAAGGCTCCACACATCCACGACTAGTCGAGCCTCCTCGCTGCTGCGCTTGCTTACATGGGGCCAACCTCTGTGCGCATACAGCCGGCTGTCCTAGCTGTGCGCATACAACCGGCCGTCAAAGCTATGCGCATACAGCCGGCCGTCAAAGCTATCTCGTCCCATCCGTGATGCAACAACTTCTTCCCTCATTCGTAACATCTGAGAGCGAGCGCGCTTCGAACTCACAGTGTTGAACAATGTTGGGACCAAAGAAGCTCGGGTGGAGCTGAATGGTGTGCTTCAGCGCATTGTAAAAAAACATCTTGCCAGCCGCAAGCCCGAGGGCAAGTCCGCTTGATCGCGCCACTCCACGCCACTTGGGTGATCGAAAATTGGAACAGTCGCCTCCGCGCACTTTCGCAAAGCTCCACTCTTCTTGGTGCTCCGACGACCGCCTTTCTGATCCCTCTCGCTCCTGTCTGTCGACTTTATGCTTGTTCGACTCGCATCTAATGGGCGGTAGAACTCGCGCGATGTGATCGTGATCTGGGTCGAACGACTCGCTGAGGGACTAGGATTTGACAGATCTCCGAAGCGTATGCAAGCGCATACATTCGAAGTTCCCCTTCGTGTGTGAAGGTTGTGGAGAGAAGAGCCCCGTACATGGAGCTCGACGAGCTTAAAGGCTTTGGAGCTCACCTCGATCGCGCGCGCGCGTGCGTGATCCATGCAGAGTTCCTTCGACGCTGCTGTTTCTTGCGGGGCGCCGAGCGGTCACGTGATGCAGAATTCCGGGCGCTGCGCTGCGATGCTCTCTCGTCATGGTGGCCTGCAGCGCAGCGTGCTTACACGCCTGCAAGGTATACCCGTACACGCGAACTGAGAATCACCAATCACGACGGTCGTACCATCATCAAAGAGTCAAGAGCGCGAGCGCTGACTTGCCTCACACCAGAAATCCGCTCATCAACGCACACACACCCATTCGAGAACCGCTTGCGAGCATCACGTCAATCTTGTCTGCTCACCTACTCGCTTCCAGCATTCTGCTCCCCGCTCCAGAGGAAGACGCGTCCGACTAGCCTTGGAGTTGAGCTCCTTCTTGGCGGCAAGGTCGGCCTGCAGCATGTCGAGACGGCAAGCGCCCTTCGCCTCATCCACCGCCTCAGCATCCGGGTCATCTACACCTGACCGCCATGCCTTACTGTTGGGTGGTGGAGGCAGCGGGCCATCAGCATACGGTGGAGGTGCATACCCGCGCTCGCACACCTCCTACACTCAAGGACCAACGCTGAGCAGATCGGCATCTCCCTATGCTGCTGGGCTCAATGGAACTGACGATCCTTATGCGGAGTACGGCGAGCCGAAGAAGGGGCCCGCGAGCTATGGTGCTTATGGAGGAGGCGGTGCAGGCAGCTACGCATCTTCGAGCTCCGGTGGGCTACCGATGTATGCCAAGGGTGCGAACAGGACTGCAGAAGACTTGGAAGAGCAGAACGATCAGAGATTGGAAGGCCTGAGCGCCAAAGTCAGGATACTGAAGGATGTGAGTTGAAGTGCGCATGCATGCTCCAAGTCGTTCTCAATGATGTGTCAATGCAGGGTCGGAGGGGGGAAGATAGATGGTGTGCTCACCATCACTGCGAGCCTCGAATAGATTCGAGATTCTGCGCTGTTCACCGACTGGCGCAAAGCCACGACTCATGGACGTCGAAGATCATCAGCGCAGCACGTGAACGGGCAGCGCTTCATGCTCTTGTACGTTTGCTGATCACAATCTTTCCTGTCTCGACGCGTTTGCTCTGTCGTTGTGTCGCAGATCACTCTGGGCATCGGGCAAGAAGTTCGGGACGGCACAGCTGAGATGTCGACTCTGGTGCGTTGGCTCAGCGGAGCGTCCATCGAAGTGGCTGCGCAGAGCAGCGATCTGCTGACTCTGCTTGGAGCTGCCTCTCGCAGTCGGAGGCATTCTCGAATACGGGGAGCTTCTTGAAAGGAACGTTCACGAGAATGAATAGGATGGCGGGAAGGCAGACAGGCTGGTTCTGCAACATGATGCTGTTCCTCATGCTCGTTGGCTGGATCTTTGTGAGTTGCGTTCGCAGTCTACAGTCGATTTTTGCGCTCAAGGGTACAGATGTGGTCTCGGCTGATCATTCCGCGCTCGCTGGCGCTGTCAGGTTATCGTGTGGTGGTGGAGGCGATAGGTTCGACAGAGGCATCCGCCTTCCGCCGCCTGTGCTCCGCCCAGTGTCTCATGGGCGCCAAGGTCAACATACTAAGGGGCTTCTCGTCACAATAGGAATGTCACCGCCACGCGCTGTAATACATGCATTCAGTCGATCATTTCTTGGGCGCTGTGCGACTACGATGCTTATCTCCTGCTGGGATTTGGAATGGTCACTTGCGCATGCTGGTGGAAAGCCTCAGCATCTTGTGCTGCTGCAAAGCTAAGTGATGATGGTTCTTCTGCGCTTGTCCCTCGCCCCTCGTGCACCTGTCCTGTCCTGAGATCCTTGCTCACGATCCTCGGTCACCCTAGCGTACCACCTCCACTCCATTCTCGCTCCATCAAAGCGCAGGCCGATCCGAATGACGCGTGGTCTTGCTGAGATTGGAGGGTCTGGATGCAGCTGTGCGCCTCGCAAACCGACTGTCTCGTAGTCTCGGACTCGTAGGCATCAAGTCGAACCTGTAGGGAAAGACGGGCGCATTGGATCGATCCATGTGGTCCAGCGAGGCTTCAGAGTGGGAACGGTTCAGAACGGGTTTCGGTGGCTTGGCAAACTCGGCGCCGCTGAATGGGTCGGACTTGGTGTGCGGGAGCTTGGGCTTGCTGGATGGGGAAGCGGCGCTAGCCAAAGGTGGCAAGTCGTTCGAGGAGGAGGCTCGAGGAAGAGGAGGCTTGCCAGAGAAGGTGGGCGATAGCGCTCCGCTTGCAGCCTGCCTTCCGTCGACCGGAGGCCCTTGGAGCTCCTCGTGAGCTTGCTGGTAAGTTCGCACTGTTGGCAGATCCACCTTCGGCTTCACCTTGGAAGCTGACTGCTTCACCACGTTTGGGAAGTTGCCACTGAAAGGCAGCCAGGATACGCTGGGCTTATCGTATACGAAACGAGTTCGTTTCGCGGGCGCTTCGTTCATGTTGCCCACCACCATGTAATGCTTGTCGAGTTCATCATGCTGCGAAAGCCGAGGAAAGGTCAGCACTTCTGACCGGGCGAGTGCTCCCAATCAATATCCTTGCCCTCCTTCACCGGCGGCACTCACCAGGGTATGCTTCAGCGGCCTGTAAGTCTGTGGATCGACGACCTTACCGTGCGCACGCAAGAAGCCCTTGCTTGGGTGCCACTCGAACTTGAGGCTTCCCTTGGAATCGTGATAGGCTACGTGGTGGCCGGGCGGGATCTGGCATCGGCGAATCAAAGGGTGAGGGCGTGTCAGCTTGAGGCTCAAGAGTCTGAGGCTCGAATTCCAGAAGTAAAAATGGCGGTGACTCACGTCTTCCAATCTCGGATTCCTGAGCAGGCCAAACCACGAATCGAGAAGCCATGAAGGCATCAGTCTCTATCATGTTCTAGCTGGCGTACATGCGCCACTACTCACTCAAGAACGATCGGATGGAGTTTGCCCTCAGGAACTTTGCTACCCTTTGCCACTGCCGTCGTATAACCCGCCTCCGGTGAGGAGCCCACATGGTGGCCGCTGTTGGCGAGGTCGGATCGATGTGGAAGGATTCCGTACGCGGTCTGGTCGAGCTTGTTCCAGGGTACCGTCAGGACATCGGGAGGTGGCAAGGGAGCAGCCTGTACCCGCCCACTGCCGCTTGGGCTGTGAAGCAGAAGCAGCGCAAAAGTAATGGCGAAGAAGCCCGCGAAATGATAGCCACGTCTGCTACCTAGTGGAGCGTGTCGGCTCGAGGTTACAAAGTGACAAGTGGACATCGCCGGCGTGAGGAGATCTTGACGAGTACCAAAGGTCGATCACAGATCTGTGCGTAGAGGGTAAAAGAGGCGGCTGTCAAAGCTCGTTGTCTGATGAAGCAGAGGAGCTTGGGTACGAGCGAAACGCACCTCTTATAGACGACCAGGCACAGTGCGTGATTCGCTGTGCAAGCCTACACAAGTAGGCACGGCATGCATCAAAGCGACTATCTTCTTGTCAATCATCTTGACAAAGTTCGCCACCATGGAAACTTGCGCCAGCAGAGAGCGGCCCGACCGCTCTCAAAACGATTGTGAGGGAAACCATGAGCTTCTTCCGCCGACGTCCCGAGCGGGGTGAGTGGGACACCTTGTGACCACCGTTGACGACGTCATGCTCTGCATTCCTTGCTCGCTTTGCTCCCCACATTCTGCCACTTTGCGAAAGTGTGGATCTCAGAGGCGTCGAATGGCTCGGCGAAGCCTGGCATTATCCGCACTGGAAGCGGGGAGGACACGCCAAGTACGGAAGCGGCAGAGGAGGTTGCCTTCATGCCTTGCTTGCAGCGTGGGTGAACGCGGGTTTGCGCCACTCGTTGCTATCTTCTCCGTGGGCTGCAGACCTTTGCCTTCGAACGCAGGCCCGTGTCTCCATGCCGTGGGCGTTCTATCGTTTGCTGGACCACGCATGGCAGCGTCTCGTCTTGCTGACTTTTCCTAAGCGGAGCTTTCAATGTGAGCGCCGGGGGGGACCCTTTCGGCTGCGACCACCGATGCCCAGTGCAAAGGCAGCCAGGCCGTGGCTTTCTTCTTTTGCGATCGACTTTAGATCGACTCCTGACAGTCGGTGCGCAACGGCGAAGAATTGGAGGTGAATTTGCTTTGCCTTCGGGTTGCACTGGAGAGTCACCTCCGCGTCTCGTGCTCCTAAGGATGATGCGTCGTCCAAACTCAAGCTCGACCTCTTCGGCCCAGGCACCTTCTATTGACGTTCCGGAAAGAGTTGAGCGAATGCGCTGAACCGAAAGCATAATTGCCCATGGTCTGACCGATGTCTGATGCAGAGGCTGTACCTTGACCGACGCGCCATACGATTCGCTAGATTCCGTTGACAGGGAGGCGGCTGATACACTCAGCGAGCGGCTGACTCCGGCCCCTGACGGTGAGTGAGCACGGAGTGTTGCTTGGTACCGCTGTCACTTTGCGCAGATCAAAGCATGTGGACCGCGAAGGCGCTCAGAAATGATAGCCCCACTGTCGGCGCGGACGACCCACATGCCTTGTACATGTCTTGCTCTTGTTGTTGTTGGCGAAATGGGATTGGTGGCGACGAAAAGACGGAGAGGAGTGGGGTCAGAGACGGCTTTGCGCTTTGCAGTAGTAGACACTGCCGTGTCCGAGGAGGATCGCTGGGCAAAGTACGATTCCGAGCGGCCTGATACGACGCCGAGCTCGCACCGAGGCGCAATGCGGCGCCGATGAGCTCACGCACTGATTTGCGGGCAGGGGTTGAGAGCACCGAGCTCGAGACTGCGCCAATCGATGACCGATAGGGCACTCACAAATGGTAGTGAGAGCGAGGCCAGACTGGATGTCGGGCGCGAGGTTTCCGTCGATGTTGCTACAGGTGTTGGTACAATGCCGGGACATGTTCGCGTGGGAGATGATGCGGTGCCTAAAAATGCGAGACGATGTTGCTGAAACGGGGGAGAGGTTTCCTTGCGAAGTAGAGTCGTGACCGAACCGCGAGACGATGTTGCTAGTAATACATGGAAACGAAAATGCTTGCGAAACTGTGTTATGACTCTCTGCGAGACGGGAACGGTGATCAGCATAAGTCACCACTCTACAGCCTGCACCGCGCTTACAGCAGAGACTCACCACATGCTTCCCCTCGAAGCGCTAGCGGGAGCATCGGCCCTCTGGCGCTTGCTCTCCTCGCTGTTTGCGTCGTTGGCCTCCGCCTCCAACGGCCGCTTGAGTCGAGATGACCCAGCACTAGCGCCACCACCTACACCAGCGCGAGACGGCCCAGCAACAGCACCACCACCAGCACCACCATCATCACCAGCGCCGCTACCACCACCACCACCACCACCACCAGTGCGAGACGACCCGGCCCCAGCATTTTCACCAGAGGGAGACGACCCAGCTCCACCACCATCCCGAGCGCAAGACGACCTACCACCATCACCGACGCGAGACGATCCAGAAGAAGCAGCTCCAGCACCAGCTCCGACACGAGACGATCCAGTCCTAGCACCCGCGCCGACTCCTCTTCGCGGCCTGACGCTCGCATGGCCTTCGCGCGCGCGGACACCCTCGAACACCGTCTCTTGCATCCAGTGACGCAGGGGCGATGGTGCCGCTCCAGCTGCTTGATCCCCTTCATCCGTCACCGCTCCGGCCACCGCCTCTTCTTGATCCCCTTCATCCGTCACCGCTCCGGCCACCGCCTCTTCTTGATCCCCTTCATCCGTCACCGCTCCGGCCACCGCCTCTTGAGTCGACGACTCGCCGGCTTGCGAGAGTCCTCTGGGCTGGCGACCTTTGGGTGGCTCCCAGAGCACCGGTACCTTGGTCACCCTCAGGTATCGGGGCTCTGGCGAAGTAGCGGAAGGGGCTGGAGCATCGGATGCGGCCTGAAAAGACGCCAGGAGCTGACCAATTACCCGGTCAAGAGCGTCCTCGTAGGAGCCTTCCCGTGGCCCAGAGCCCCTCTCCAAGACGTCGAAGAGCTTCTCTTCAAGCAGCACATCGTATGCTGCCTTCAGATGGATCAGCGACTTGAAATGGGGCAGCGCGAGCTGCACCTTGTCGTCGGAAGGAGATAGCCCCGGGTTGAGGCGGAAGAAGAGCGCCTCGCAGAGCCACTGTTGTCGATCCGCGCTGAAGTCCAGAGCTTTGGTCAGCTCTCCTTCAACGCCAGCATCCCTCAAAATGGTGGACTGGAGGGTGATGCGCTGGGACACATGGCGCAGGAAGTGTGGGTGCCTCTGCTTTAGAGGGCGAAGACCTTGTAGGAGAGTGGCCATGCGGGAAGGAACCAGCAAGACCCTAACTTCCTTAGGCCGGGCGAGGCGGACCGAAGCGCTGGGCATGTTAGCGTATTTCGAGAGGTTCAATTCAATGGTGGGAGCGAGCTAGCTGGTCTGATCAGCTAGAAGGAGGACAAATAGGGAGAGGTGTGCGTAGGCGACTGCGTTACGAAGCAGGTCTGGCTTGTCAGTCGTTGACGAGAGTTGTGGATGGGATAGATGTGAGGGTGGATGGAGTGGGATCGCTCAAGCAGCATCCACGATCCAATCACGAATCGCCCTCCGCGCGCACCCTCACTCCGTGCCCGAAATGCCCCTTCACACTTGAATCGCGCGAGGCAGTCGGCACTTGACTCACGTACTGCTTCATCAAATATAAACACGAGTCGATGAGCTTGACGATCAGGCAAGAGACCAGTGTATCCTTGCCCTGCCCTGCCCGCGGTCTACTTGTCGCGATCGACTCGCCACTCCACTCACACTCACACTGCCGTGGTGCGGTGCGGTGCGGTTCGACGACGAGCTAGCTAGACCAACACCGCGGATTCCCACCATTGAGCGTGTAAATCGACGTGTTGCTCTGGCGCGCGCGCGCGCGCGCGTCCAGCTCCACATACATCCAAAAATCCCAAAATATGCTATCACGTGACGTGTTTAGCGCGGGGCTTTTGGCGCGCTCACGTGCCGCTCGCTGCCTCAGAGGCGGCTTGCACACTCACGTGATTTGGGTGAAGCGACATCCAAAATTACAGCCGCCCAACGGGTTCGCCATTTCTTGCATTCTCCTCGAAGGGCGCCATTATCAGACTGTGACTGGCTCAGTCACATTTTCGGTCAAGGAGGGTTGAATCGATTGTCGCCAGGAATGCGCTAGTGTTCGTGGGCTGGCAAGAATGCAGTAAGATGACGACCTGATGGCCAGTTGCGCATGGTCGGGCAGGCGCGACTGAGCGCTCTCTCGAACCAGCTTCCCAGGAATCGAGGGCGTATCGCAGAAGAAACGGGTGGAACAGTTTCGATGAAGGCGATGCACTCGCAAGTGTCGGTTCTTGCGGCTCGCCTGCCGATTCGCGCAGATCTTGCCACCTGCCACGAGCCACGAGCAGGAATGGACGCAGACTCCACTTTCCGCTCGGCCGAAATGTTGCCGATAAAGAAGTTCGAGGCAGACCTGTCGGCCCACTTCTAGGTAGATCAAGATAATGAGCGCCTTCAGGCTGTTTCCTTGGATCACTGAAAGGGACGACGTCCCTGCGAGCCGCAGAGAGCGCTGCGGTCTGGGCTAGTAGAGACGCAAAGCCAGAATCAGTGCTGCTTGGGATAGACAGACACTCGAAAGAAAGCAGGTGCCAGCGCAGAGTGCAGCACTGTGCTTCGAAGGCTGAAACAGAGCAGATGTCAGCATCGACTGTAGCACTGTCAAGCAAGAAGCAAGACGCCAGTCTTAGGGAGGGTGATTGACCATGCACGTCGGCACATTGGAGGCCCGCACGCTTCAGGTTGTCCGCACGCCCGAGCAACGGGGCACAGATTCCTCTCTCTGCTTCATCTCGTGCTCGTTGGAAAATGTTAAGAAGTCAGGTGGACAGGCTGCGAAGGGCGATTGCCATGTGCGCCGAGCGCGTGGAAGGCCATCGATTCGTCGAGTAGCGGCTGTGAGGGGGCACCAGTGCCTGGACATGAGATTGACGGACTGGTTGACTTCCAACCTTGATCAATGTATTGATGCTGATGCTGACGATCACAGACGGGTTGCCGATGTTCGCGGACCGCATGATGGTGGTTAATACTTTGCACTTTCGTGGTGGTCGAGGGCTTTAACGCACCCATGCATAGACCCAGAGCGGAGCATCTCAGACTGGGCTGCGGAGGAAAAGAGATCGAGGCGGGTGACTTTCACCTCGGCATTGCATGAAAAGACGTGCGCGTCGAAATGTTGCAAAGCGCAGACTCACTTTCAGAGACGAGGGTCGGGGTAGCGTGCTCCATGAGGATCAAGCTCATCCCAGTAGGTCGCCATCCACGTCCATAGCATCCTTTCCTCCCACCAGCCCGTCCTTCAAGATCCGCTGACTTGCGATCCTCCTGCCTCGGACCTTCGGCCAGTAATGCCCGCTCCTTTTCCGCCCATTTGGTGAACATCCGCCCCTGTCCAGTCAGACGAGTCCGTTTGGGCTCTGGCGCAGGGCTGGACGAAGGCACGGTATCGTGCGCTGCATTCTGGTCATGGGCCTGCTCCTTGGGATCCGAATTGCCGCCTCCTCTGTACCCGCAAATGAGGCGCTTGACATGGTCTGGCGTCAGGAGCGGAAGTCGATCTATGTGAGAAACATTCTCATGCCCGACTGTACCGGGCAAAGCACCAACCTGTTTCCTCAGTCGCCTTGCCGAACGAGCGTTGCGGCGGCTCGTGACATTGACCAGATTTCCCAGAGGCAGATGGCCATGATCTGCGCAAAAGTGCGCACGAAGAAGCTGCTGAACATCGCTTTGTGTGGCTCGCCCGTGCTCTGGCGAGTTCTGGAGAGATGGGCAGAAGGCAGAGCTGATGCAAGCATGAGCAAGAACACAACCTCTCCCGATTCGTTTCCATCGACACTCTCTGGCATCACGATGTGACTCACCCTTGAGCCTTTCCCTTCTTCTGGTTTCCCCGTCCGTCTATACTCCGACATTCTGCATCGGACCGCCATCCCCTGCCTTTTGATTAGCTGAAGATGTAGCCATCATTGCAGCTCGGCGCACGGTTCTGTGCGAATCGAGTCCAAGGCTGATTCGTTGCTGAAGCCGGCATGTCAGCTGAGAGCTTCGGAGTTGCGCAAAGGTGCAGCTATGAGCTCACTTACGGTGGCAGAATCTGCAGGGGGGGACCTAGACGTCCACTGGAGCGCTCTTGCAAGTGCAGTGTCGTTGGCGGCTGACTTTGCGAGCGTGATTGCCACTTTTTGAGCGAAGAGAAGACTGTGATGGAGGTGAGCTGTATCCACACAAGTGCGCGCATGGAGGCAGGCTCGTGCTGATGGGACGCATCTGGTAGCCTCCGGCATCCAGCAGCAGGCATGCGCCTTCCCGTCCAACACGCGCAACCAATCGAGCGCGTGAATCGACGCGTGGGTCATGCGCGCGTGCCTACATCACCGCCGAATGCAGAGGCTGCGCGTGGCGTGCCGCCTTTGATGGACCCAAGACTCAAGACTCTTTCTACACTCTCAGCGGGGTAGGCCTTACAGACAACATGGCTCTGGAGAGAAAGGACAAATGAGGAAGATGGGGGCCACGCCTGACTATGCTGCAAAAGGCAGATGAAGGGGTCTCTATCAGAGGCAGCACACATAGCTTACAGGAAGTTGAAGAGAGCCGAAAGTCCTAAGGACAGAGGGTGCACAATGTTATGTAGCCTTGACCAACTGCAAAGCTTCTGCAATGTCTGCAGGACTTCCAAGATGTCTGTGAGGCATTCTGTGGTGCCTGTAGCAGTCTCTGGCAACAAGTTTCCTCAGCTAGCTCTGCTTTGGGCCTTCCAAATGCGAACTGAGGAATTTGGTGCTTCTAGCCTCAGGAGCAGTCAGCCTTCCAACCGCCTTACGCATCTTCCTGCAGGAGGTATAGTCACAAGTGGTCCTCAAAGCGCAGCCTGCCATCAAAGCATGCACATGATTAGCTTGCCCCCTAGCAGCGCACAGCTGTCCTTCAGCACATCTCTTTGTTGAGGTTCAGCTCTCCCTCACAGCATCAACTACAACAACAACCCCACAGCAACGTGCAGTCCAGCTCTGCACCATCATGCTCAGTCATACTCCCTTTGACATGTGCAGCTGAAGCCAGTGCTAGAGAGACCAATCTCACAAGTAGCACAAAACAGAGTCAAGCACTGTGAGTTGAGCTGGAAGGCAAAGCACAAGACTTAGCAGCTCCATGACTTGGGATCATCCCAATATGGGAAGGACTTGAACAAAGTCACAGACTACAAAGCTGCCTTGCATGTAACGAGGCACTAGCATTGCTGCATGCAACTTGTCATGAAGCTCCAAAACTGCTCACCTGAAGGCACTCAACCTTTATGGAGTGGTTGCCATCACATGTTGGCATGCCCTTCTTTGCACCTTGTAGGCTGCTGTTACTTTGCAGCTCTGCTACTTGCACTGCTACTACTGATGTGTGTGCCATGAGACCCTGCCTCCATGCCACACAAGGAATTTTCCCACCCACACACCTCCCTGCATGCCTCTCTAGAGGGCCCCTTCCAAGCAGGTCCTTCAAGAAATGGCCAAACCAAGCAAACAGGGCACAAGAACCTTTCTGCAACCCCAGCTTGTTGTTTCTCCTTTGCCATCTTGCACCACTAATCCTCTCTCCTTCATGCAAGAGCATCATCAACTCGGCCTAGCCTCATCATCATAGAACCCAAATCACAAACAATCACAAAACTTGCCAACAGAGAAGATGAGGACCACAAAACCTCATCGTATCATCTTGCGTCTCACCTGCCCGCAGAATTGCCGAGCAGCGCAAGGCTGCTTGCCCGCAAGTGAGCCAACAGAGAAGATGAGGACCACAAAACCTCATCGTATCATCTTGCGTCTCACCTGCCCGCGGAATCGCCGAGCAGCGCAAGGCTGCTTGCCTGCAAGTGAGTATTAAGTCACAGAGTTTCATCGGGTCTGAGTTGCGCGTGCGTGACAAGCTGTATCGAGATCTGGCACTCTTCGCTTCCTTCTTGCTGCCTCAACCATCAAAAATGTTCCTGAGCAGGCGGCCGGCCCCTCCGATCAAGGACCATCCCCCTGCCCCAATGCACTCAACGCCGCCGAGCGCAGCAACCTCTTTGACAAGCTTGAGGAGGAAGAGCGCGAGGACAAGGCTCGCATCAAGAAGGAGGTGAAGAAGGTCGCACTGTACCTCATGAAAAGTGTAGGTCTCATCCAACTCTCGATCCTTTCCCTGTCTCTGCAACTGACCATCATCTTTGCAAGCGCCTCCTCCGACGAAGGCTCCAACCGGCAACAAACGTGACGCACTCTTTGACAAGCTCGAGGAGGAAGAGCGCAATGACCAGGCTTGCCATCATCCTTGAGATGCTCAGAGTGAGGTTGAGTATACTCTTGGTAGTCGTACCTCTGAAATGCAGCAGAAGGAGGCCTCCGCTCCATCTTCCTGGTCCTTCTAGTCCTCCTCGAGATACTCAAAGGGAGGCCGAGTATACTGTTGGTAGTCGTACCTGCGTGACACAGCAGAAGGAGGCCTGCTCGCCATCTTCCGGGTCTCCTCGTCCTCCTCGAGATCCTCAGAGGGAGACCAATGTGAGGGCATAATGGCAGGTAATGCCATCTTAACCTGCCATGTTAGGCTTTGTTCTCCTCCTTCTCCTGGTCCTTGTTGTCCACCTCAAGTAGCTCAGAAGGAGGCCTCCTCTCCATCTTCCTGGTCCTTCTAGTCCTCGTCAAGATGCTCAGAGGGAGGCTGAGTGTATTGTCGGCATTTGTACCTCCAAGACGCAGCAGAGTTCCCATGCGCTTGCTGCTGACCCTGCCACGTCTGAGGCCACATCGACAGGTAATGCCACCCTAGGCTTACTACTGTTCCTCCCCCTCCTCTGCCTCCTCCTTCTCTTCCTCCTGCCCTTTCTCCTTCTCCTTCCTGGGGTGCTCAGACGAGGTCAGCTTTTTGTATAGAGCTCAGCTTCAGGCGGGCTGGACAGGATCTGGAAATGTGCCAAGAGAGTTCAGCTGAGACTTTTCAACAGCACCTTGAGCCAGAAGATCCAAGCTGGCCTCAAGAAACTATTGGTATGTCTGATGACCTAGCTCAACTCTGTGAGCATAGCACATGACTGACTCTATGCTGTCTTCTACCTCAGGTTGGCTGTGAAAATCTTGATGGCAACTTGGATCTTGAAGCTGCTTGAAGCCTCATTGAGAAACATCCACTTGTTGGCTGGTCCACTACAGTACGCAGTCAAACGCTGGGAGAAGATCAACAAGGCGGAGAATTCGCAGTCATATGATTATTGATGTGCTTCATGGTGATGTACGCTCGGAGACGACGGCTTCAGATACTAGGTGCCACGTAGTGATTGCGAGGAGAGTCCGCTTGCCAGCGTTTCAACACTTGCCCCCCCCCCCCAACCAACAGGTGCGCCTTACCTCACGTCACTGGTGACCCATCCACAATACTCATTGCCACATCCTCCCCTTCCCTTTGTGGAGCAAGAACACCAAGCAATTTTCAATAAGATGAGTTGGCTGACAATTCAAAGAGCAGAAGGCAAAATCCAATCAGAGCACAATCGAATGATCGAGTATGTAGGGAGCCTCTCAATCACCAAGCCAGAGCGCAAGACCTTGGTTGGCATGATGTCTAGAGCACAAAGCAAGGCCAGCAAGCTTGCAAATGACTGCGTCCAGCAACTTATGTCCAATGAGCAAGCAATCAAGCAATGGAAAGAATGGACAACAGTCCTACCCAATGTGGTGGGTAGATCTGCTGACCAAGATGGTTGTGCCTCTGATTGATGACTGACAAGTGATCTGATGTAGGGCAAAGCTCCAGTCAGACTTGGTCGACACTTTAAATTTCTTGCCCTCATCAAACAACAAGGCGCGCATTACCTCACCTCACCAGTGACCCGTCCACCATACTTGTTGCAGCATTCGCAACTTCACCTTGTGCAGCAAAAGCACAAAGCACATTTTGATAAGCTGAGTTGGCTGACAATCCAAAGAACAGAAAGCGACATTCTATCAGAGCATGATAAGATCATTGAGTATGTAGGAAACCTTTCCATCACTGAGGAAGAGCATAATACCTTGGTTTGCATGACTACCTCAGCACAAAGCAATGTTGCCAAGCTGGCAAACAATCGCGTTCAACAGCTCAGGTCCAATGATCTGGAAGTCAAGCAATGGAGGGAATGGACGTCAGTCTTGCCCAATGTGGTGAGTAGATCTGCTGACCAAGATGTTGTGCTTCTGATTGATGACTGACAAGTGATCTGATGTAGGGCGAAGCTCTAGTCAGGCTTGGTCGACACTTGAAGTTTTCCAACCTGCCCGCTGAGTTCACCTGGCTTTTTAGCGGCACCCTAAGCAAAGAGATCCGAGCGGTTCTCAGAAAGCTATTGGTATGTCTGATGCCGTAGTTTGCTTCTGTGAGCACAGCACATCACTGACTTTATGTCATCTTCCACCTCAGGCTGGCTGTGACAATCTTGATAGCAACACGGACCTTGAAGCTGCTCGAAACCTGATCGAAGACATCGATTCGTCAGGCGATCCACTGCAAGACGCACCAAAAGGTTCGAAAGCCATCAGCGAGGCGGAAGTTTCTGCTGATTTCGGCGAGCTCAGCACTGGAGACGACGCCGTCGCCGCCGACGGCTTGGCAGTGCTGCGCGCCAAAGCCATTGCCAGCCGCGCAAGATTCGTTGCGACTGGGAAAGCGGCAGCCAGTGAGTATCGCCTATCACTTTTCAAGCGTTACCGGCAAGTCTACTGAGCTCAGCGCCACGATAAACATGCGCCCTTGCCGGGGTTCTCTCTCTCCTCCACGACGCTAACTGCGTTCACAATGATCATCTTGTCCACTGCACCCATCGCATTTACGGAAACTGCCTCCATCCCAGCAGCAAACACGTCCACGGGCCCCACCTCGCCCTCAACGTCGGCGCCCTCAACCGCCACGTCTGGCACCAAGCGCCAAGCAGGCGAGACGCCGCTGCTGGGCTCGGAGGCCTTCGCCAAGCCGAAGGTAACTGCGAGGTCGCTTACGATCAAAGGCGCAGGTGAGGTTGTGCACACTCCCACGCAGGCTAGCGCGACGGCTTCGGCAGGACACGATACGCCCAAGCGCGGCACTACGTCTCCTACCAATGGTGAGCTGAGGTCAACGCAATTGTCTCCTCAGCAGAAATTGATCTGTCCGCTTCTCCCTTCCATCAATGCTGATACATCAAAGAGTCAGCTTGAAAACACAGAGTACGGGTCGATCGGACCGACTGCCATCGAAGCCCTGGCGCTGCGTGGCGACGCCCCTTCTCTCTCTCGCATGTTTCCCTGTCGTCCTCAACATGCAAGCACGAGACAAATAAGATCTCTAATGAGCGAACCTCGTCTTGTGTCTCAATGCTACCATTGACATTGGCAGGAAGGCCTCTCTTGATGGCATCCATTCCATGATGATGGCCGTCGGTGAGAGCAGCATCCATCAAGCTCATCTCAGGTTCCTGCGCATCCATCTAGCTCGGTACCTGCTGAAGCGCGGTCATCTGTCTCGACGCATGAGCACAAGCCTCTGTATTGCGCCCTGAACTCTTGTGACGCCGCTCAGCGGAGTCATTGTCCACGGGTCAAATACCGAATCGGACTGTCGACTGGATGAGATACACCAACAGTGCGAAGTAAGTCCTTCGCGAGTGAGAGCCTGGACCAAGGACAAGCGACCGGTGAAGCTTGAAGAATTGCGTAGTCTCCAAAAGTCTTCCTACGCATGCGCTTGACTGTTTGAGGCAAGTGCAACGAGTGATGGAAGACGGGAAGGAGCAGCACCGGCAATCATTCCGAACGACGAGCGGAAGGCGGCCTATATGCTGCAGAATCGAGCGTTATATGAAGCCGATTTCTGTCTTCGCAAAAAGGTCGCAATGAACCGTATTCTGTGAAGAGAGGTCGCGCCGCCCGGGCGGCGAAATGAAGGACCGGGGTTGGTGCTTACCTTGTGTCGGATTCTCTCACGAAGCCCTCCTACGTGTGTGCGTATTGTGAACGCTTGCTGAGCTCGTCTGCAACCCTCTTTCTTGTACTCCATCATACCGTGCTTCAACTATGCTAAGCCCTGCTCGTTCAGTACCATCCCCTACCACCACAGCGCATTCTTTCCAACCGCATTCACACATGCGCACTACCGCAATGGGGACCTGCTGAAATGTATTCATTGTCTCGGAGCACGAGCGGACGAAGACGTGCACCTGGACGTGGTCATTTCACGCCTTTTTCTCGTTGTCTTTCAAAGGAATCAAGGCCTGGCGACGTTCTATATCGCGTAGGAGCGGGCAAAGAGAGTGAGTTTTCTTTCACCAGCATCGTTCGCAACCATTGTCGTCTGATGCTCACCGACGGACATGTCCGAAAATTTGCCTGAGACGTGTCTTAGGGAGTCGGAGTCGGGCTCGGTCTCGCCGTCAATAATCACTTCTCCTTCAACTTGCCCAGTAGCAGCACTAGCATCACTCGTGCCAGATGTGTCTGCGCGCGATGATCCTCCATGGATATGCCGCTGAGGTGCGTGGGGAGAAGGGGAGGTCAAGTGTACGCCCCAGCTACTGCCAATTGCCAATCCTTGGTTCAAATTTCCGTCAGCCGAGAAGCTGTGCAACAATTGGTCCTCAAAGTGAGGTGAATGACCTGACGGGACCTCTGCAGTCTCGCGCTGAACCTGATCCTGCACAGAGATCGCCAGACAGGATGTCAGCGCACCATTGTGATAAGGAACAAGCGAACGATACAGGTACGCGCTCCAAAGAGTTGTCGGCGCAAAGTTGTTCAAGGTAAGATGCCATAGGCAGCGAGGTCCTTGGCGACCTTCTTGATCTCTTTGGTATGCTTCTCCATCGCCTTGCGCTCCTCCTCGAGGAGCTTGGTGAAAAGCACCTTGCGCTGCAAGGGACACATTGGGTTTTGAAGAGGGGCTTGTGGCTGCTTGCAATTGGCATCAAAACTTTCACACTTCAAGGACATCTCATTGGTAATGGTGGATGTGAAGGAGAGTGGATGCATGCACGCGGGGTGTTTACATGCATGAGGCGCGTCAAAAACTTCCCAGAAAACTGCTCCAGGGAGTTGGAGTCCGGCTCGGTCTTGCCGTCAACACTCATCTCTCCTTGACTTTGCCCAGTGACAGCATTGGCAGCACTCGTGCTAGGTGTACCCCTGCTTGATGGGTCCCCATGAACATGTGGCTGCGGCTTATGTGGGGTAGGGGTGTCCAATTGCACTCCCCAGTGACTGCTCATTGCCAAGCCTAGCTTGATCCCCCCGGAAGCCAAGAAAGTGGACAACAGTTGATCCTGAGAAGGAGATGGAGCACCTTGCGTCTCGCGCTGAATGTGATCCTGCAGAAAGGTTGCCAGACAGGATGTCAGCGCACCATCGTGAGAAGTCTCGGCCCCAACCGAATAGGCTTCCGATCGAGTAAGAGATGGACAGAGGAATGAGAAGAACACCCACAGGGATGCGCCAACGCAGGTGAGCCAAGTACTCCTGCTTCTTGTCATAAGTCTTGGGCTGCATGGTAAAGATCGAGAAAGCGCAACGGCGCGCAGCTTCCTCCAGACGTGCGATCTGTCAGAGCTCAGCGGTAGTCAGTAAGATTGCCTGCCTCGAGGCTCGAGACTCAAACGCGCTGGACTGCTAGAAGAAGCGAGTACTAACCTCATGGTCAAGCTCCTCCATGGTCAGCAGCTCCATGCTGACGCCAGTGCTGACGCTATATGCGCTTCCTCTGTCCATTGCGCAGACTCGGCCCTTCAGAACTGGATGGACATAGGTGTGAAAGAGGAGAGTTCAATTGGTCTCAGGGATCAGATATGTACAGCTTTCAAAGTGCCGCGCAGAACGTTGGAGAGGGAGTGCAGAATCACTGGATTTGGGAAGCACAAATTGTGACAGCTTTGTGAAGCAAGCACAGAGGATGCGGCTGGGTACAATACGGCCATTACCAAGGACAAGCACGCTCCTGCTCCCTCTCCTGCAGCCACTCCCAGCACTGCTGCCTGCTCAACCTCTGCCTCAGCTGCTGCCTCTGCCCTTGCACAACTATCAAAGAGACACAAGCCACTCAAGACTCTTGACAAAGCCAAGACCACCCTAGGGCACCCCAAAAAGGCACAAAAGTACAAGGAGGACAGGGGCCTGGATGGGAAAAAGCTGGCAGCTTGTGTAAACAAAGCAAGATCTGCAAGCTCAACACTGTCTTGCAGGAAATCAAAGACGGCCTTGCAGAGGAGCATCAACACGTCTGTCAGTTGCACTATGCTTGCAGCCATTTTCAAACAAGCCACTCAGAGACAGAAGAATGGGTTGCTGCAATGAGTACCTCTGGGATGAGAATTGGTTCTTGAAGAGGCGCAACACGTACCTGAGCGGTCAAGTCAGTTGTAGGGGCAGCATGTGGGGTGGGAGACCCCTGAGACTGCATTGAGAAGCACTGCACTGGAGTGAACTTCTTGCAAACAGTGATAGCAGAGGCTCAGATGAGCTTGACAATTGATGAACCCATCTGGCAACTGAGGCCTACTTGCATATCTCCAGAGTAGAAATACACAAAGGCAAGGAAGCAAGCAGGGCTGCGACAGGACAATGTGCGCCTTGCAAAGGTTAGCAGGAAGATTCTCAGGTGCAGGCTCTTGTCACAAGAACGCAGTTGCAGTCTTGTCAGCAAGGTCCCCAACGTCACAGCTCATGACGAGGATGAGCCACTGGCTACCGCTTCCGGCGTCGAGTCTGCCGCAGAGGCCCGCAGAGCCATGCTGCCCTCGCAACACGCAGATCTCAGCAGCTTGTCAGGCATCGAGCAAGCTTGGGGTGAGTACAAAGCAGACGAAGAGAACCACAGCAACCCTGCCACTGCAGTTTGCTCCGACACTTGCAAAGATTGGCCTGTCACTTGCGACAACGGCGAGAGCTTGCTCAACTCTTATGTTAACCCAGAGAAGGATGGCTTGCCCAAGAGGTATAATACAAACTATGCAAACACCCCTTGTTGGGACGCTTCACAAGACAGCATGGTCATTGAGCATAGCTGGCAAAATTCCGATCTCAGTGACAGCGCCTTTGCTGACCCCAGCGGGGAAGAACCTGTCCCCGTTGATAGCAGTGCTACGCCATCCCACGGTAGAGAGCCAGAAGTAATACATGGACAGAAATTCTCATCTGAACAAGGAGACTTGATGGAGGTGGACGCCTAGACATCAGTCGCGCGATGTAGTGAGTGAATGAGCAACTTGCACAATGTGCTGTGACTGTCTTGGAATCAGCTGGAACTGTAAGTTGAAAGGCTGGCCCTTCAACTCGTGCGACTGGTGGGGGTTGGATGGATGCGGAATGGGGTGCGATGAATCAGCTGAGGGCTGGTGGCATGCATCACATGCTGCTTGGTGCTCACCGCAACAAAGTATTGTACTGTGGTGCTAAGAACTTCATGGATCAGCTCATGTCTGATCACCACAAACAGAAATGGGCTGCTTAGCCAGGGGTTGCCGTGCTTGTATGTGACCTTGATGCCTGGTGGATGGCCAAGACCTGGGCCGCTCGTGGACGAGCGCGAGGGGCGCATGAAGACGAAGACGAAGTGTTTGAGGGTGACTCGTACTCCCTCTTGATCCAGCGTTGGTTCCTCTTGTGCTTGCGCAGAGCGGAGGGGGACATTGTCAACATTGCTTAAGCGCAACCTGGCTAGGTGCATCTCTCTTGGGCCCCAAGGTATACCACGAATGACACCTTTGTAGCTGTAGGCAAAGAGAAAGTGATTGCGGTTCATAAAGGCATGGATGAGCTTGCTTTTGGAGTTGGCAATGTTGTGGATTGGTGGAGCCTCAATGGGAGGCATTACGTCAGGCGTTCCAATGGGCTTGGTGCATTGATTGCGGTAGCACCAGTAATTGACTGAGAATGCCTTTGCTAAGCTCATGCTTGATCACCACAAATAGAAAGAGGCTGCTCGGCCAGGGGTTGCCATGCTCGTGCATGACCTTGATGCCTGGTGGCAGGCCAAGACCTGGGACGCTTGTGGACAAGCTCGAGGGGCGCATGGCGGGAATGGAGTGTCAGAAGGTCGCTTG